GGTTTCTCCCGTGGTGGAGGCCGTGGCCGTGGTGGCTACTAAGCGGTTGCGACTGGTTGACGACGACGACGACGACGACGACGAACAAGGCGCTTACAAGTGCTGCTGCTGCTGTTGCTGCTGGCGCTGCTTGGAAAGGAAGAAAGAGGGAGTGGAAGAAAGACTTGTTGCTTTACCAGGGTCTTGGGTTTTGTTAAACATGGTCCTCAAAATATGGCTATGGCTTGTGGCGTTTATGGAAGGGACAAATTCTTTCTGCCGCATCAGGAGGGTTCGGCAAGTTGTGTTTTTATCTCTGTAGGCATCTCTCGGTTTTCTCTGTCTGCTAATTTCGGTTTCTTTGGATTACAACACATCAAACTGAGCGCATCTGGATCTGGCATTGGCAAGCCTTTACGTTGACGGTGGATGAATTGGGGGATCAAAATGTCCTTGGCACCGACATCGAGTCATGTTTGGACAGACAGCTACGTGGCTGGTAGTTGTTAACGATTATGGACAGCACCCAGTTGCGGACGTCACCATCGACCTCGAATGCGATTCTCGAAAACACGACATGTTTCCGGACCCCATATCGAACTGGAGCTGCCTAGCTGAGAGCAGAAGAGAACTCACGTCAACTTCACCGACCATCCAGCAACCAAAACATCAACGACATCTCGAGACCCAGCCCGCCAGATATTCTGCATTGAACCTCCAATACTATCGATTCTGCAACATATGCCTTCGAATCAAAGGCTTTCCACATCCCGAAATCCGCCTCCTGTTCACACCCACACTATCCGGAGTCTTCCCAGTCATCCCTCTTCCAAAACATGACTGCTACAACACTCCTGCTAGGAGGTCTGAAACCTCAATCGACCATATTAGTCTTCCTTGTTGCCGACTATACGCACAACAGGTCCCAATCTCTCGCCATATATCCAGAATCTAGACATCCAACACCGCATGCTCGTCCGCTGTTTTTATCCTGCCGGCGCCTTGTCATTGGCTTGAGAGTGAACTGGTGTCATGGTGGCTTGTGGCTCCAAATGGCTTGTGCAAGCCGCCTTTGTGTGGGCTGATGTCGACCCGTGGTGGGCTGTTCCCACGAATGTCTCTACAGCGTGTTTACATAGACCGAAAGCGTTTTCACCTCCCATTCAATGGCACCCAAAATTCTGCAACTCTTCATGGCATCTTCCTTTCATTTCGTAATCTCGTTTACATTGCATGAAATACATCCCACAAAAAAAACTTGCAAAATGGCTAACGGCTCAGAAGGCAGCAAACTCTCAACCGCCGCCAACATCATTGGCCTCCTCACTTTCGCTCTCTCGGCTCTTAACCTGGTGATAGTACGAGTCCTACAAAATGAACGAAGAGTGATTCAGCAACTCCACAAAAGGGAGTGGATAAACTCCTGTAAGGCGTTTGGAGCAGAAAGCACGCTACATCCAGCTTTTTGACCTGGATTTCGCGGGCTTCAAAGGCAACAGCAATTGCCTCATTCACGCGCCAGCAAATACCAGGATTCCGGAAGAAAAGTCAAAGTTGGACGACAGCCAGCCAGAAGAAGGGTTACAGGAGATCCTCAAGGATGTTCAGGCCTGCTACGAGCAGGCAAAAGTCATCATCTCCGAAACGGAAACCACTCTGCACCTTCTCTCCGAGCAAATCAGTGTTGCGGGCTATGCAAGAGCTACGGTACGATCGATACTACGATTGGATCTTGCGGGTTCCTGTAAAGTGTCGGTGGCGGTGTGGAGACAACTTAAGAACTGGAGAGAATCGCGCGAGAGCATGGGTAAACTTGAGGACAACTACCAGGAGTGTAAGTGCACATGGATTGCCTTTTTCTTCATTCTTAATCATAAAATTTGAACACATGCACATGACTAATAGTAGGTGTGAATATATGGCTCGCTCAACAGTGTCTTCCATTGTAGGTCAGGTGGACTGTCTCATCATGGTCATACAAGGGACTAAACTGTTGCCAATACAAAGGTGATTACTACCTCAAACCACAGACTTGATCAAAGTAGACTTCAGCTACTAACATTGACCTGCTAGCACCATCGACCGTCAAGCAAACACCATCACCGAAATCGCCAACACCGTTAAGACACGCGTACCCACCGAGCTTACACCGGCTGAACCTACACCAAGCACATCAGCATCTTAAATTACATCATTTTCTCCCATCATTCATTCCACCCACCCAACTATGCCATCCACTGTCACCACTGACCGGGAGTCAAAACCCTTCTCATCGCCTCAAGAAATGTTCGCCACTTGCTTCTTTTTCACGCGCAGTTACCGGCCCGGCCCGTTTGAGAACTATTATTTGCATCACACCCGGTGGTTGCTGTTCATCCTTTTTGATCTCCTTTTTCTTCATCTTCCGTTTCTCCAGCATGGGTGGCTCTCGAGGCTGACTCCTCGCCTCGCCCATCAGGGCCGCAAACCGTTCCCTCTCTTCTTCTTCTGGTGAAACGTCCTCATCCACATCCTCATTCTCATCATCTCCTGTCTGGCCCATTGACACACCCGAGTCCACGTCAGAGTCCAGATCAACGTCGCGGTGCCTGTCCTCGCCACCTTCCAGCTCTACCGGCGACTTGATATCCCCCCTGATCCCCTTCGCATCCTCAACCACCGGCCCCCTGCGTCCGAAAAACCTCCTGGCGGGGTGCGGCTTATCATCCCAGTTCCCACCTGGGTTTCCTAACCAGAGACCCGTCTTCTTCCGGAAGTGGTTGGGCTTATTGGGGTTATAGATCTTGAACTTGATAGTCTTGGTGTCATCAACCAAACCCTCCGGGTGTTTATCTCGAGCAATGACTTGGCAGATGAGGCCGCCTGTCCCGATGACCATTTCGTGCGGCGATGATGGTGATTCTTCGGAAGTGGTGTTGGAGTTGGATGCTGCGAAGGAAACGGATTGCTGCTGCTCGTCGTCTTCTGAGCCATTTAGTGTTGCGGACTCTGAAGCTTTATCTGCTTCACTGTCTGGCGCGGGGCGGCGTGAAGTGATTTGGATCTCGACTTCTTTGACGTGGTTGTTCTTGTGGAGTTGATGTCGAAGGGAGAGTCTGGCAAGTTTCAGATGTTAGAAGATGATTTGGGTTTTGTAAAGGTAAGGTAGGTATCATGCTGTCAGGACGCGCAAAAAGATCCCGAATGCTAACAGACGACAGGGTCATAGTAAAAGGCAATGAAAACGGCACATACCTCTCTCTCCTCCGACCAAACACCCGAAACTGCCTCGCGGTATCCTTCCCGACTTGTGTTCCCCAAATCCACTGCTGCTCGGAGACGACAAAGTAATCTTGTAATGGTGGTATTTTCTTCCCGTCTTTGCCGTCCTTGCCGTTCAAGGTGTGCTGGTGCTGGTGCTGGATGATATTCACCCCGCCCACTTTCACCAGCACCTTGAAGGCTGATTTTGAAGAGTCACCGGACATACGGATTGCAAAGGCTTTGTCATCTGCTAGGTAAACACCATACCGTTAGCTGGTTGGCTCTATGGATTCGCCGCCATTGAGGGTGTAAATGCTGACCTTTAATAGCAAGCGCCCGGCTATCCTTCAATTTTGGGGAGTCATAGACTCTGAAAGGAAAGACTGGCCGTAAAGAGGCACCTTGACCTTTATACGGGTCATGGACTCGTTGGTGACTCAGTATTCCATTGTCTTCCGCTCGGGGAACTTCACAGAAGGTGATGCTGAAACTGTTGTTTCCGTCAGAGACGGTGACCGACTTGTCGTCTGGGCCTTGTTTTAGTTCGATCATTGTGTCGAGTGGTCTTGTTGATCTTGGTAAAGTGAGATATGATAGGGAATATGATCTGAGGTATAATCGAGGTATGATTTGACAATTGAGGTGGAAAACTTCGGGTGTTACTGACTAGTGCTCATCCATGATCTGCGAGGCGCCATGGGGATAATGAGCACAACATTAATAGGCAACTTTCAAGAGGGAAAGAGAGGGGCTGCCCACCTGCTCAGGGTAACACCGCGGAGTTGGCTCTTTGCATGAGGAGGCTGAACACACCCAATTGTCGATCTTGAGGCTGATATGCATGGAATTAATGTCGTACAGAACATCCCTTTGACAGTCGTTCCACCGGCCAAGGTGGGAAGCCACCACCAACCCACCACCAATAACGAGAGGGTAAAAAGAAATTCAAATGCAGTCATCTTGTGGCTTCTTGGCTGGTCGAGGGGATTCGTTCGGCGTCGGAGTCCTCCTCCGACGAGTCTGCGGGGAGTCTGTCAAGTCTGTTCCTGTTGGTCCATCGGCCAACCCGGGGAAGGAGCATGAGAGCCTGCTTTCCAAGTTGTAGGTCAACCCTTTGTTATCTGCGCCCTTTCTTGGCCTGCAATCATTCAACACACCAAACCCATCATTTCCGCGGCTATCTCGCAGTTGTTGCGGATCTCGGCACTTAACTTGCGTAGAGGTAGAGAAGGCTATGTCATGAAGCTTCATCTCCTCGGTGCTGCCGATATCACTGCAACGCCCTTGAGGCAGCAACGGAAATTACCAACTGTCTGATTCTGATATCCTACACCAATGACATTTTCTTTCCCGTCAGTCACTGACTACATGGCTTCCTCGCGAAAGACGTCACGCACCATCTTCGGCATTAGTTTCGAATCCATCTCATTCATGGCATCGAAGTCGCGCGTCTAGAAGCCAGTCACCATGGTTTAACTTTCTAATTTTCGAAAACGTTACTAATATCAAATTGTAATGTCATCGAAGAGTGTGGTGGCATCCACTCGTCTGTTTTCCCTTTCCGCAACACATAGGGTTGATGTGAGCCAGCTCAGATGTCATAACCACAAGAGAACATGGCCATATGTGTCTTGATCGGGATTTAATGTATGTTCAAGCAATGACGAACTTCATTGTCTCATTCAAAATACCGATCTCACTTTCCGGTATCATCAGTCTATTTCAGCTCAGTTCTAGTCTTGAATTGTCGGCCATCAATATCGCTCTTTAACCGTGTAGTGCTTCTAAAGTAAGCACGGAAGGCCACAAGACCTACCTACCGACCCAAAGTCAGGAACCGCCTCATAGCATCAACAAACGTTCGCCATCTCGATCTCCGCTCCGGTACCGTAAAGAGCTCTGGCCCCCCTTGACTACCTTGTTTACGCCTCTTCCTCTTCCTTTTCTTAAATCCCCGTGGCTGAGCTTTAGCCTCTTCATGGAGTCTCTGATAGTCTCTCTTTGTTCCCTCTTCTTCCTGCTCGTCCATGTCCTCGGCGCCCTCCTCTCGCTCTCCTCCCGACCCCGCCTTTGAATTCACCGGCAACTTCGGCGGCTCCCTATCCCTATGGACACTCGGCTCCATCTCCATAGGCGACCTAATATCCTGTCTCAACCTGTCCGGGTCTGTCACAACCGGTGCAAGTCCTTGAAAGATTCCGGCAGGCGGGTTCGGCACCTCTCGGTAGTTTCCACCTGGTTCGGGTCCAGAAATACGTCTCTCCCCTACAGCTTGGTGTTTTGGTTTTACTAGACTCTGCACGTTTTTTGGGAAATGCCGCGGGTTGTCGACGATCTTGAACTTGAGCGTCACGGTGCAGTCGTCGATCCATTCGGGATGTTTGTCTGGGAAGACGATTTGCTCGATCAGACCGCCGGTTCCGACAACCATTTGGTCCGGGAGAATGTCCTCTTCAGGGTCGGAGTCGATGCTTTCTTGGTAGCTGACGGGCTGTGATGATGCTATCCGATGAGAGCATCCCATCATCACGTGTACTTCTGATGATGTCGATGATGGCGATGGCGATGCATGTACTACTATCGCACCTGGTGATGGTGGCTCGGGTGTTAATACCGCTCCTGGTCGTTCTGGTACCTCTACTGGCTCTAGTAAGCAGGCATTGTTGTCGGATGAATCTACTTCATGTTGAAAATATCCAGGGCCTGGACTCATTCGTCGAATGGAGCTACTAGGACTGTCGTCGTCTGGGGGGACATAGGAATTAATATAAGAAAGTGCCTCGTAGTTTTTCTGTGGTATTCTTGGCTGTAGCATGAGAGCGGGTGATAGGGCGGACGGACCCGCATTGTTCCAACTCATTGAAGACGAACTCGAGGAAGGCGAGCTCACGTAAGATGATCTTTTCGTTGCTTCATACCCCCATCGGTCATGGAGTGAACTACACCTCGTAGTTGGCGGAGGGCGACGGCGGGACGTGATTTCAATCTCTACCTCTTTCTTGATGTTGTCATTTCGAAGTTGATGCCGGAGAGAAAGTCTGCAGAGGGTCAGAGGTCAGCTGAGAACTCGGATCCGGGGTGTGACGGCCAATGGTAGCATACTTCTCTCTTTCACGGCCAAAAACACGGAACTGACGGGCGGTTTTTTTGCCAATTTGCTTTCCCAAACCCATTTTTGCTCGGAGACGACAAAATAATCCTGGCTCTTCTTCCCCTGGGTTGTATGCTGGAGAACATTCACGCCGCCCACCTTCACTTTCACCTTGAAAGCAGACTCTTTGGAGTCTCCGATCATACGGATTGCAAAGGCTTTGTCATCTGGGAGTTTCTATTCAGCATTTGCACAGGGGTACTTGAAGGAGTGATTCTTGTTAGAGTCAGCAGAGTAAGACGGCTTACCTTTGATGGCAAGGAAATGGCTTCGGCTCCCCTTCTGCACACCTTTGATGCTATTCTCTGTTGGGGCACCATAGATTGTGAAGGGAAAGTAGGAACCTGGGAAGCCTTCCTTTGTTTCGTTCACGTCCACGAGCGGCTTGTGAACGCGCTGGAAGCGACGTTCTGCCTTGTCGCTCGCTCTGGGGACTTCGCAAAAGGAGATTGTGAATGTGTCCGTGCCCGAAGAGACAGTGATCAGCTGGTCATCGCTTCGAGTTAAATCGATCGTCTTGTCGGAAGTCATGTTGGGTTTTGATGAGGTGCGATGCACATGACAAGGTTTTTTTTGTTACATACCATAAAGGATTAGATCAACCGAAGAGTGCTCTGGGACATTCAAGTCCATATAGAGAGAGACCCGTAAGATATGGGCTGCCCATACCTGAGCCTTGTTGGTGGTTACACCACGGAAATGGGTGTTGTATTTCATGGCTGAATCCTCCAATGGCGTGGTATTGAGGCTGAGATGCATGATGGTCATGTCGTACATCGGTCCTAAAAAGAAGAGGCGAGGTAATGGCAAGATTGTCTCAATTGGATGTTTGTTAGGAGGAAAAATCCACAAGAAAAGATTGACCCGCAGTCTGCAGTGAACACTTGACTCCAGGTGGGGAGTGGCGGGGGACGACTCGACTGCCACACACCCATCACACAACCATTCAGGCATCAAGCGTGGGGAGTAACCACCAATGGCGGCACCATGATATTGTGGCTTGAAATATATGATTGGATTACTCCAGCTGACGGTGTAAGAGGGGACTGTCCAGATAAAGGTCAACCGAGCCGGGACGGGTCTGTACAATGACAGCCCCTTTTGGCGTTTTTATGATCTGACTTTGTCTACGAATTCCCTGATTTGCACACCACATGGAATACTAAACTTCTCATTTATGTCGCATTTCCGCGACAATTCCGGCCCTCGACATTGACTAACTATAAGCTGGACCATCGATTCTTTTTCGGCCCCTGCCGAACCCCCCGGAAGTCTATCCGAAATCATTTTATACCAGGTGCAACATGTCCGACAACGCAGCCGACAGTCCTTTGTCCACTGTCAGTAATGTTGTTGGCCTGTTTACGTTCACCCTTGGACTTCTCACACTCGTTGTCACATTCTTGTCCATCACGCACAGCGCGGAAAAGGAAATGGGCGACATAGATGGGAAATTGAAGGCAAGAAAAGATCACATACAGCACATAAAAGTCTACTTTGACAGACTCGAGAGAGAAGCGCATCGAGATTGGGAAGGGAGTTCAATCAGGGGCAACTTTCTGATGACCCTTGACACAATCAAGCAGCACCACCGAACAGCAACAGCTGAACTTCAGAAAAACAGCAAAAGCCACCACTGGTGGTGGTATTATCGGCCTGACGGTAACATACTTACCTCTCTACTTTTCAACATTTATCTTCTCCACTGGAAGGAACATGAATAAGGTACTAACCGAAGCTTGCAGTGATGGGTGCTGTGGAAGCGATGGAGACACAGTTCCAACACCTCAACACCATCCAACTTACATTCCTTCTCATGTACTCACTCCCGCCCACCAATCAAATCACATAAGACGATCCTGTACTGACCGGTAACCCTCAGCACCACGAGAAGCCAAGAGGATAACATAAGCGAGATCGAAGCAACCCTCAACAAAGTGAAGCGAGAACTCAGGTCCGACTTATTTAAAAAAAAAAAAAAGGTCCAAGACTGACATGCTTGCCAACCAGAAAACTCTCAGATTCTTCGAGCACCACAACCAGCTCCTCCCGCTAAATATCATCCTAATGACAAGCTCCTTTCGTCGCCACTCCCCAATGCTAGGTTCTTCTACCGACTCCCAAGTCCCGTCTCGAAAGACCTTAAACCCTCCTCCCCTCACAAACCAAAAACGGAAACTCCACCACCGGCCCCGTCTCCATATCCCCCTTGCCAGGTTCACTCTCCACCTTCTTACTGAGCACAAACCCCCTCTCAACCCTGACCTCCTCAAACCCAGCCCCCCTTAGCACCAGTTCCATCTCCTCCTTAATAATCCCATGTCTCTCCACGCCCTCCATCTTGGCTTCGGGATGGAACCTCCTCGCCTCCGGCCCGAAATTCTCAAAATCCGTCGTTATGACCCTCCCACCCGTCCCATCAGCGTTAAGTGAAGGTGTGAGCGTACCATAAATAGTGCGAAACAGCGCCGGCAAGTCCGCGACGTGGTGCAGGACTAAGTGGGAGATAACCAAATCGAATTTCCCGTCCCACGCCAGACCCGTTACGGGGTCAATTTTCAGTACGGGATCCTCTGGGTCTTGGAGGAGATAGGCGACTGGTCGGACGTTTTTGACTTTTTCGTAGGCGCCGCCCCATGCAAGCTTGTGGGACAGAACTTCGATCATGCCCTCGGCGGCGTCGACGGCTGTGAGGGAACGGACGTGCGGGGCGAGCATCAGGGAGAGCAGGCCGGTGCCGCAGCCGATTTCGAGGACGTTGTAAGTGGAGAGAACGGAGGGGGGAGGGAGGTGGGCGAGGTAGGATTCGAAAGCTAGGGAGGTGGCGAGTTGGATGGAGGGGTTGGAGTCCCAGTTGGCGGCGTCGGCGTTGAAGCGGGCGTTGCCGCCAGTGCCAGGGGCGGTGACGGTGATGCCGGTGGTGGTGCCCGTGACGGGGGTTGGGTTGGTGATGGCTGCGGTGGTGTTGGTCACAGGGGGTGGGTTTGTGATGGCTGTGGGAGCGGTTGCGGTTGGGGATGTCATGGTGGGCGAGTGGATGGCTGGTGTATGTGGGTTCGAATGTGAATGTGAAGTTGAAGTTAAAGATGAAGTTGGAAGTATGTTAGTTAGTGGTTTAGTTAGAGTTTAAGGATGATGTTGAAGAGTTAGTGAGTTCTTAAGGTTATAAGAAAGGAGGGGAAGTTGGAGAAAGAAGTTATTACTAAGCCGCTCTTGGGGTAGTAACATGTAGTTAGCGTATTAAAACCCCTCTCTTGCTTCGATCGATGGAGGTTTCCTGGAAAAAGCGTCGTTGGGAGTCGCTTCTTTCCGGGATTTGAAGATGCTGAACAGTAACCTTGATCTGAAGTCCAGATACCAAGAAAGTGACGTCATGATATATATAATGGCGTAATCCGCAATTTTGTGGATGGCGTGGTGGACCGGTAGCAGTCCATATCGTAGAAGATAGCTGTAAGGCAAAGAAAGTATCATGGTTATCGTTATAGGAGAAACACCTGAAAAGAACAACCTCCTATACAACCGAACGGGTGCATCCCTTGCTGCCTCAAGGTAGCAGCACAATGTGAATAGAAGCAGACAGTCCAGCTTCTCAAGGACCGCACTCCATCAGCGTCCACACATCACCATTACTTCCTTTAACCGTATCCCCAACTTTCCTCTCCTTTCCTGGCTCTCCCGCAGTAATCATCATATCAACAAGAGCTTCCGGAAACGCCAGGGTTTCATCCTTATCATCCAGTTTCCTCCCCTCCTCACCACCAAAATACCCTCCAACCCTCGCATCCAACTTCCATCTCCTCTCCTTATCCTCACCACCTGCACCCATCAGCTTCCACCGCTCACACAACAACTCATCCCCCCTTCTCAAAATCCCCTGCGTCCATCTTCCTACCCTCACAATCCTCCCCTTCTTGCTCCCCGCCTCATCATCTATCTCCCAAACAACACATCGCGACTGTGACCCTTCCTCACCTTCCTCATCGTCATCATCCGGCCCCCAAACTTCCTCATACTCCTCCTCCCTCCCCGTCTTAGGGTTAACCATCCTCCCCTTCTCAAGCGTCAACCTCTGATCCTCCGGCATTCGGTACATATCCCCCTCATCTGCCGGTGCCTCATCCCCATTCTTACTATCCGCCGAGTACACAACCCTAGAATCAACCCAATGCGTCCACCTCCCCCTCACATACGGGTATTTCCCCTTCTTCAAATCCGCCACACTCCCATTCACCGTGCGTCCATCCGGCAAAATCAGTTTCTGCCCGTAGTAACCGATAGTAGGGCGGGTGGGGGTGTGCGTGGAGGTGCCGGCTATGGCCCAGTCTAGCCGGGACACGGGGAGGGTTTTGGATTTGGCTTCTTCGGCTTTAGGTTCGGTCTGGCTGAAGACAGAGGCGTGGTCGGTGGAAGAAGGGTCTTGTTTGAGAATGCGTAGATCAACAAAGCGGCCGCTGGGAGAGGTGAGGACGATGGTTGAGGTGGGTTCCGAGGGTGGGGGTTGTCGGTGCCGCTGGAGGAGCTGGAGAGCCAGCGGATGGAGTGGCGGATTGAGACGTCGGCTTCTCGTTCTGGGGCCATTGTGGGTGGTGTGCCTTTTCTGCGATAGAACTTTGTGTGTTCAGGCTCCCAATTGAAAGTGTGAGAGTCCAGGGTACGCCGTAGTGAGATGTTTGGTGTATGTTGAAGACGTGGGGTGAGATGCGTGAGGGGTTGCGAGTTGGTCCCTCCGATATGCGGCGCTAATCGGCCTTCGCTATCGCAGCGTATCACTTACCCCTAACCCTCGTGATGGTTGTTTACCAAGCCCCTGAATACTTCGACTGTTTGTGTGCTTTGTATTACGACTATGTGCGTGTGGAAAGAAAATGGTGTTGTTCCAGATGTACCACATCCTACTTCTGCTCAGACAGCTCCAAAATTATCAATATCAAGTTGAAATCGATCCAAATGCAACGGTGACTGCGGGGAGAGAAGGACCATGTTTGAGGACAATGACAGGTTGCCCTATATGCTTGATTCTCAAACACTGCCACAGTTTCATACATCAAATGGACATCTAACGCATTACATCTCTATCGTTAACAAACGCTCATGCAGGACGAGAACAAAAAAGCAACGACTTTGGCCAAGAACATGACGATTTCCGCTCATTCATCACCTTCCACCCGCTGCCCCAGCTGCCGGTCGGTTGGGGTCGACCGGTGTCGCCGAGACCTCAAATGGAGCCACTGGTGACCAAGGCGCGTCATTGACTGAGTGATGAATGGGCCCCGTTGGTACAGTCCCGCCAATTTCATACGCCGGGTGCTCAGTAGGCAGCTCGGGTGTTGTATGGGCACCAGGGACGTGAACCTCGTGTACCTCGCTGTGTCCAGGCAGCTCAGGGATTGTGTGCGCACCAGGAGCGTGTACTTCGTGGATCTCGTGGTGGATGGGCAACTCGGGTGTGATCTTGGTGTCGTCCAGTTGGGAAACGGAGTACACGGCAGCCGCATAAGGCTTATGATCCCCTGGGACTTCCTGCGTTGGGTAATCTGCGTAGACTTGCTGAGGCGCTCCAGCGGCTGAAGAACCAGGCGCTCTGGAAGTTTCCGTTCCCACAAGCGACCTCGTGGGGTCAACAGCAGAGTCGCTGTCATCGCCGGCCTCAGGGGAAGCTTGAGCGGCGGCTTTCTTTTGCTGGTTCCTCCGGAATAACCACCCTACGGGGAAGAGAATCACAAACATTATCACACCAACAACCGTGCCAGCAACTGCTCCTTTGCCCATTGCTGGCTTGTCCGTGTCCGTGTCCGTGTCCTCTTGTTTTGACCCTGTGCTATCCAAAGTCTCGGTGGTGAGCGATGCGGAAAGGGTTCTCGTAATTGTGACCAGGTTGGGGTTGCTGCGACTCGCGGAAGCGGAATCAGATGTCGAGTCGGAGTCGGAAGCGGTGGCCGAAGTCTCGGCCGAGGTGGTGGTGGTAGTGGCAGACTCGTCCCGATCTGAAGCCTGCCAGTTGATCTGAACCATGTTTGCAAACAGGTCGGGCTTCCGAGAAGGGAATGTCATGGTACCAAAATCCGTCATCTGCCCATTCTTGCACTTTGCGGTAGGCTGTTCCATGGACAAGGTGCCCCATCGGAGAACACACGTTTGGCCTTCGCTTCCAAGGTCGCCGCATCGGAACCCAGTCGGGCAACACCCAACAGCTGTCTCACCCTTTTGGAGTGGATATTGCGTCTTCCAACCGGTTGAAGTGACGCCATCCACGACACTCGCAGTGCAGGCTGATGTGTATCCTTCTGGGCAGTACAGACCAGGGGAATGGAAACCTCGTGCTCTCCCCGGCCAGCAGTCTTTGTTGTCCGTAATCGGCTGCCCATCATTTATGCACATTTGATTCCTCCATCCGAGCTTCTCGTTCAAGAAGATGGCAGTGGAACATGCTGCAGGCGGTGTGAAGACCGTGGTGAGAGGCCCGAGATTGACTCTATCCGCCAAGGCCATCGTGCCATTGGCTTTCGGCGTGTTTCTTGAACGGCCGTCGTATCTTCGTCTTGGTGCCTCAGCTTTCCGACCTGGTGAAGAATTTGGAGCCCAACCGATACCGCGGTGATCACCAAGGCAATGTTATCCTCCTGAATTGGGGTGGTAGTCCAAGGTATTTTGGTGAGGTCCGGTATGGTGACGGGGACGATCAGGACACACGACCCTTCAAGGTGATTTTTGATAACCCTGAAAAGAGAAACGTAGGGCAAGAGAAGCGCGGAACGCATCAGAGCATCGTAGGGCGGCAGACCATCACCTTATCTTTTCTCTCCTAGCGACGCGCCAAGGTGACCGAGGATGGTCCTCATCTCAAATTATTCAGGGGTGTTGTCAGCCCTAGCGATTTACCCCGTGCGGGTCGCCTAGGCCCCCAATCAGGGACTGTAGCTTTGCGGAGGAAGAAGCACACCAAGCTCAAGAAGGAGATGGTGTTAACAATAGCGGGCACTGAGCGTTCTTGGCAACTGTGGCTGGACCTGCAAACAGGGCTGGGGACGGGACTTCGGGGATTGCTCCAGACCCTCACCCACAACTTCCGACCCAGGCGCACATGCCCCTTTTCTCTTTCATAGGCCGCCATACGCTGTGCAATGTCTCCATCCCACCACGGTCTTCTCGCTTCGCGGTGCAATGGCACTGACCTTTAACTTGGCGGCGGTGGGTTCGTTCGTACCTCTGGAAGCGGTTTCAAATCTCAACGCCGATGTCGCGGAAAGGCCGGGTTGGATGTCAGAAATTACGGGTAGCCTCAGTGGATTGATGATCTGCATTCAAGTCAGAAACATGGAGTTGGGCTCTTTGCGGTTAAATGATAAATGAAGCTCGAAAAAGGCAGAAATTACCTGGGTGTGCAGGCGACCATGGTGTTGTGAAAATATGGTACTCTGGCTGCGGAGCCGGGTCTTTGGGGTTTCAAGACTTTGCTGGTGATCGAGGTATGGCGCCGTGTTTTGATCCGTGAGGTGAATGGAAAAGAAACATCCTTGGCGATACATCAAGAGAAACTTCCCATCGGCGAGAACTTGCCCTTGTTTTGGGTTGTGGCTTCCGCTCCGTAACTTCAACGTGCTCCGGCTTGGAGGCACCTGCGGTCTATGGACAGTCGCTTTTCAGCGAACCTTCCCTTCTTCTTTCAAGTAGCGATCGAACTCGGCCCCAATGGATAAGAGCGCATGAACATGAAGAAGGCACGAGGGACAGCTGTTGCCTCAATCCGCAATGGGATGTCCATCGTACTTCTCTCATTAATTTTGCTCGCTTTACTCCAAGTCGAGGTGCTGGATCTGGACAAACTTCTCCTCTACATCTCCGTCCATCATCTCTACATCCTTCAACCCTCGAGTCGTCTTTGATACGCACACTTGTCCACAAAGCTCCTAAAAGAAGCCTCCTCCTTGCTTGATTATTGTTAGGTCGACCATATATATGCTCCAGTATTCCCTTTGTCGTCCCTGAAATTTGTTCCTCCGCCATCTCTTGTAAGTGCCGGAGTCAACAACCCTCTCGCGACTTTTCTCGCTGACCTCCGAGTCCAGCCATCTGCCATCTCACCGATTATGCCCCAGTCCACCCGCATCTTGCAAAGAGACAACGAAGAGCTCACGCCCGTCGAAGAGGAAAAACTTCGCGAGCGACTCATTTTCCTTCGCTCTCCTCCCCTGCAGAGAAGACCCTCAGACACTGAGCCGCTCGTCATCGGCTCTGGCTCTGGTACCCAGGGTCACACGCACAGCAGCTCTGCTCGCACCAGTCTAATGAAGAACCTCAACAACGACCCCTACAACTACTCTGACGACGAAGACAACTACGACCAGCAGCAATCCTTGTCTTCTTGTCCCAATAACATGGACCACAAACACCATCACAACCTATTGAACAGCAAAATCAACAAGATCTCCCACAAACACTCAACAACCTCCACATTTGATACATACTCCACGGCCCCCACAGCTCCCGTCTCCTCCTCCAGCAGGGGAAACGTAACCAATCCCTTCGAGGACCCTGCCCATATCGAACCCTACGGCTCCGGTTCTTCCACTCCCTCCACCATCCCCTCCAGCTCATCTTCTCCCCAACCTCATCCTCTCTACCGAACCAACCCCAACCCCAACTCCAGTTCCCTTCACCCTCATCCTCATCCTCACCCTCCTCAAGCTTTGCACAGTAACCACGGCCTAGACGGCACGGTCTCTGCCAACACCGGTTTCAACGCCGGGGCTACTCACAGTGGCCTGCCCGTTCCGGTGACCCACAAGCGAGTCCACACTAGCACCACGATCGGGTCGAGAAGGTCGGGCAGATCGACTTCTTCCAAACTCTCAAGGAGGGTGAAGAGGTTCCCAAGGGCGGCAAGGCGGGCCGTCAAGAGGTTGCTCAGACGGGTGACGGGCAGGAGTAAGAGGAAGGATAAGATGAAGGTTACTTGGACTGCTCCGCAGGTTTGAGCTGATGGCAGTTTAAGTAGGAACGAGAGGGGAAGGGAAGAGCTGTGTGTGATTGGTAGGGGAGTCTTGTTGATGCTGGTGAGGCAATGTTGGTCAGAGCGTATGGACAAGGGTGAATTGTAAAGATTGGGGAATACGGAGTGTATGTTGACGATTGTTGCTTGTTTAGACTTGTGGAAGATGCAACAAGGATTTGGCGTTGATGTCTATTGTCGTCCTGGGCAAGTGCTTGTGCCCGTAGGGGCTTTCCTGTCGGGTGATTTTTGAAGGGCGACGATGTTTATGAAGAAACCAATGGTTAGTTAGTACATGAATCGAGACGGTAAAAGAAAGAAGCAAAGGCATGGATGGATGACTTACTCTGAGCTGCTTAGAAAATAGAATGACATCCCTCGAGGTTCTTGGGAAAAAAGCAAATCTTGAAACATACCAGCAGGAAATCATCAAAGCAGAAAACGAAGAAAGAGATCGGTGAGCAAAAGCATTGCACTGCGGCGGCAATGTATTCCTTTTCCTCCCTCCACCACCCTTCCACCACCCTTTTCCGATAACCCTATCCCAGCTCCTCCCTTCGACGCGCTCGCTCGCAATACCAAAGTTGGACATTACTACTAGTATAGTACACAGAAGTTTTGTAGAACCCTTCCCCCGACCTCCAACCTCCAAAATATGGAATATGCCAAAATGAAAAACAGCGGGGATATCAAGACAAGAGAGAAGAAAAAAAGGGAAGAGACATGATATAGAGAGTTGCTGACGTTGCGTGACAGTCGTTCGATGATGGAAGAAAAAAAAGGAGAAGAAAAAAGAAGAAAATGATGAAGGATGAGGGATGAAGATGGCAAGAAAGAAAAAAAGACCGTTAATGCAAAGGCTCGCCCATCCCAAGCAACCCAACCATGTCCGCCACCAAGAAAGAAAAGGCATATCCAGTCCATGACGAGCCGCCCAGATTCGCAACCCGGGGAGGGTCATCATTCCCTCGGATCCTTCCCGCCCCCTCCCAGCCCAAAACTCATCCCCATACTCATCCCCAACCGATCCATCGTCCCCCTCCTATGTCCATGCCCCAGCTGCTTCCCGTCTCCTCCTCCTTTCCCCATCATTGCCCCCCTCTCACTACCCGTACCACCATGACTCAAAGCCCCAGGCGTCTGTCCCGTCACCCGTCCCCACTCCTCCCACTCCCTACTAACCTCCATCAGCACCCCGCCCATGACCTGCGCGCTAGCCATGAGCCCGTGGCCTTCCCCTTCTAGGATACGCACCTCGCACCTTCTCATCATTTTGCCTAGCCATTTGACGTTTTCCACGGGCACCCGCGCGTCGCGACTACCGTGGTGGATTACCACGGGTCGTGTGATATCCACGTAGCGAAACCCAATGGTGTGACGGCGCTCTAAGCAGACTAAAAGGTCCACGGCCGGGTTGGCGCCTGTGGTGGCTAATTGCCAGATAGCGTGCGTGAGGCGGTGGTCGTATTGTTGTTGGCGTTCGCGCTCGGCGAGAGCTAAAGCGGCGGCGATGTCCGAGTCGGAGAGGGTGGAGTGGCGACTTGGTGTGTGATTTTCGTCGATGCCGGCTAGGTTGGTGGATTTGGAGCGGGTGTGCTTGTGCCCGTTACTACCGCCGATTCCTTTGTTGCTGTTGGTGATGGTGGGCCGGATGCGGTCCATATTTTCGTCTGCACCTTCAGCAGCTGCAGCAGAAGAAGTGTGGATGATGCCGGAGGAGGTGGCGGGGCGGTCGGAGTCTTTGTTTTCGATTATGCCTAGGGAGGATTTGTCCTTTTTCTTGTCGCGCTTGGCGCGTTTTTGCTTGGGTAGCGAGGAGGTGATGCTAGAGCTGGTGGCGGCCATGAAGTTGCTGTTGGCGACTTTGAGGATGGGTGTTGGTAGGGCTCTGAGGATTTTCTGGCTGGTGGGGATGGCGTTGGTCGGTGGTAAAGGGTTCTGGGAGCCACCTCCAATAACGTTTATTTGGGATGGTGGAATCCAAGGAGCCAGGAGATGGATCTTTCCCCTGATGTGTTGAGGCATGCGTAGCGCGGTTGCTAAGGCGTAGATGGCGCCAGCGGAGTGGGCGAGGATGGAGAACTTTGTGATTTTGAGAGCTTGACATATCGCATAGACGTCGTCTGTTGAGAGTTAGCAATTTGACTACTCAGATACCATCGGGGAAAAAGCATACCAGGCCAGCTCAAGGGCGTAGTGTTGCCATCACTGTACGGCTCACTATCGCCCACTCCAGGTCTATCAGGGGTAATCATCCGGAGCTTCAACGTCAAAGCCAGCTCGTCGTAAAAGGCCGTGATGTACCTCGTCAGACCCATGCCCACGCAGCAAAAGACGGCACTCCCGTTGGGGTCGCCCACTTCGCTGAAGCTAATTACGCGACCCGTCTGCGGGTGTCGGATCTTCTGGCTCAGTCGGGGACTACATAGGTAAGCCTCCACCGCGTCGTCGATGCTGTCTGCGCTCCTTGGCCTTTCGTACGTGACGTGCGGTCCGATTCCCTCTGTCGAAGAAGATTTGTCAGGATGATTTCCATTTCCAGGTAAAATAGCGCCCGAGAGTCGTTTTAGCTTACTGCTAGCTCGCTTGTTTTTCACATCCGAATTCCCGTTACTATCACCGTTACCGGCCAAAGAGTCCGGGTTCAGAAAAGCAGATTTTCGTTTCGATTTGGGGTCCGCATCGCGATCCTGGGGCCGTGACTGGGCAATAGCGGGAGACGGCGCAACATCGTCGGTTTCGGCTTCTGGGAACATGTTGATTGTAGGCGTGGATAATGCTGGTTTCACATGTAAGTCTGCAGAGAGGCGCAAGGGGTCCAGCATCTTTCTTTCGCGACGTTTCGGTCTCTCGGTGGATGGCTCGGGGGGTTCGCTGGGATATTCTTCGAGTTCGTGAATGGTGTCGTTTGCGCCAGTGTCACTATCACGTCTCGACATGCGCGAAGCCCGGGTAGATGACCGCTTGGGGTTTTGTGACCTCCTTAATGATGACTCCCTGGTTGGGATACCAGGCGGGGAGCTCCCGAAGCCGCTGGGAGGTTCCCACTCGGTCGACAACTTGGGTGTAAGAGGAAAATCGGTGCCTGGTTCCTCGCTGATGATGCTCTCTACCGAAAACGGATCAAGACGTGGTGTCGAGCTGCCGCTTGTTGTGCCCGTTCCAACCAGTCCCGTTGTTGAACTTCCCGCTAGTGCCGAAATGCCAATGACGCTCGCCCTCTTGTTGTTCTTCTCAGCTTCTTGTTCGCGCAATCTCTCCTTGCTGCTCATGTACATCAACCCGCGCTGACTGCGACCTGCTGTCCTCCAATTCCAGCTATCGGCAGATTTTTGTCGGCGCAATGGTTTTGGGTCGGTTACAACGGGAGAAACCGGTTCGCTTCCTCGTTCAATGCTCAGCCTGCCGATGCTCAGCTTGCCAATGCTTTCGACTCCGGATGCAAGGGAGGCCTTGCTCGACGATCGCGACAAGGCGCTGCTGCTACCGCGCGAGAGCAAGCTCCTGAGACCGGAGGGTTCGCGCGTGTGGGCCGGGCTCTTTGGTGATTTTGCGCCCTTGGAGGAAACGGATATCTTGGATGTAGGACGGGATCTGCCAGTCCGGACAACGGGAGGGCTTGCGGTGGCTTGGTCTACGGGTACATATTCGTTCCACTGACTGTCGTTTGGCTTGGAATATGCGCCGTAGTCAACACCGAACGAACCGGACTTTTGGGTGGGGGAGTCGTTGAAGGACAGGCCGATGGGGCTGGTGAGGCCTATGGGTTCGAGACAGAAGGGCGACTCGAAATGGGTGCTCAGCGGGCGCGAGATGGTGGAGAGGGATGTGATGAGGGACGAGATGACCTCAGGAGAGGCGGGTTGGATTGGCCGGTCGCTATCCCTGTGATCCCTGTCTCGGTTGGGGTTGGCGTTGTTGGCGCTGGCTGCTAAGCTGGCGGCGGCGGACGCGTGGTCGGTGCGTCGGTCTTTGTCTTTTCGTTCGGGGGTTCGGTTGGGATCTCTCCGGTGGTTTTCCAATGTTTGCCTCCAAGTTTGTCCACTTGTCTTTTCCGGTTCGACTTTTGTTGTTGGCTTGTTGGTTTCGTCTTGTTGGTTATCAAAGAGGTTTCGGATGCGGTCTCGTTCGCGGGATCGTCGGGGGATAGGGGGTGCTTCTGCCAAGTAGGCAACCGACTCGGACAAGTGCTGCTGCTGCTGCTCCATTATTTCAACTTATTTGGTCGACGACGACGAGTATGGCGGTTCCGGAGTTTGCTTATGGTGGGCGGCTGGGGACAGCGTCGAGCCTCCAACTTCTCCTTTGCTGGGGAAGCGGCAGTGTAACGAGTGGTGCGTATATTGGATTGTCTCAGAGTCGCTGTATAGTTATTCGATCTCTCATCGAGGTAGCTGGTTTTGCTTGCACTGGACTCCCGGCTTTCTGGACCATGACCTTATCCCGCTGCAGGTAGTTGAGGCTGCATAAGCAAGCAATCAACTTTGCGTCTGCAGGTACGTCCAAGCGATTGGGCTGAACCGACGAGGTGGGATGGAATGGCAAGCTTTGGGTGGTAAGACCAATCGAGATCGAGTCGTCGCAAGAGTCACAAGCCGAATGTGTTGATGGTGTCGTCGTGGGGGGGTATTAGGTAAATGAATATTAGAGATAGAGTAAGTTTTATCGCTGTAAAATTAGAGGGGGATTAGAGTGCGATCTGCTTCTCGTAAAGCCCAAATTCGAAGCACCGGGTATCGTAGCGAAGGTATGATATTAGGTTGGTTTGGTAGTTGCGTCGTCGATAGGTATGGTTGTCGAACTGGTAGAGTGGGAGAGAGGAGAGGTGTTTCCTCAGACCATATCGATATCGACAGACGTCGATAGAAGGTCGAAAAAATAAAAGGTGGGTGGAAAAGGATTTGAGATTAGACTAAGCAAGATGACAGAGAGAAAAAAAAAAAAAAAAAAAAGAAGTGCCGGGACTCTCCAAAGTCTCCAACCAAATCCCAAAGAAGTGGAAGAGATCGAGTCTCGCCGAATCTGAACAACCAGCCCCGGACACATGTAGAAATCCCTATGAACCCTAATCCCGGACTGGTCGCTCTCTTCCTTGACACAAGGGAGGGAAACGAGCGAAGAGAGAAATGGTATTGGACGCAATTCGCGAAAACACTGGGATCATGGAAAAGATGATCCATTCAAGGTGGGATTGGTGCTTGTCAAATGTCCCTTTTGCTGTTGCAGTGAGTGACAGTGCTGCCCTGTGACCCTCCAATGCGCTCCAATGATTTTGAATGCTTCTTCGGTTCCAAGATTTCAAAAGGGTTGTGTTGCTCCAGTTGACCCAATTGCTGCAATGCTGCTGCAGGTACCGCTAATAGCGCCGGTGATGGTGGGGACCTGGAAAAGCTTGTGCTTGTGTCTGTGGTTGAAGACTTTGCTCAACTTATCAGACTGGCTGGCATCATCCAACAGGATGAGCTGGAGATCCTCAAAAAACAAAACAAAAACACAAGATGAGGATCTGTGACCTTTCAAGGGAACGATGCTTGGGAACCGGCATGATTGGCAGCTCAGATTGACGGGAGTGATGGAAAGTGACTTGGGACGGTGCGCACCCACGCACAGAGCTCTTCCTTCACATGAACAAGTTCCCGTCAAAGTCCCGGGCAGGTCAAAGTTTCGATCTCCTGCCCTGGTAGCGCCAGTCTGTTAGTGGTCACCGCTTCCCATCACCTAAATCACTAACAGCAACAATCATGGAAATTGGATCTTGTATCACCACCGGGGAAGATTCCCGTCTGGGAAAGCTTCGCAAGAAAAAACGCAGGGACTGTCGTCTTGCCTTCTCTAAAGTTCTTAGCGCACCGACCCCTCATCATCTTTTCTTTCTCTCTCCTTGTCTTTTTTCTCTGATCCCTCCACTGAACCTCATGCTGCCCCTGAATATTCCCTTTTTGGTCAATAACCTCCAATCATTCATCCCTTTCGTTGTCCAAATCCACTTTTCCAAGTCCCAACCCCTTGGGCCCTAACCTTTAGGCTTGAATCTTGAGATGCGGCCGGATTAACAGGCAGGTTTTCTCCGCGATCTTGGGAACTATCGCTGCGTCCAACTGTTCCGAGACACTGGGATTGTGGGAGGTTGTTGCACTTCCAGATTTGGACAGCAGCTATGTATAACAGGGAATTCAACCACCACCACCATCGATCGCACCATGACCATGGCCATGGCCATGGCCATGACAACTCTCCTTTGCTTGCGAGCCTCATTGCCAACTGTACACTTACTGTCCTCGGATAGTCGGGATGCAACATCAAGGAACACCAAGGAAACGAACGGTACGAGGTGTACCTACGTACATACAAGGTAAGGCGAACAAAATGAGGTGCAACCTCTTTTCTGACTCCTCTCGGTAACGAGGGTAGGTACTTGAACGACCAGGACCCTGGAACAACCGAACAAGTGGCTTGAGCTTCAGCCCACCGGACTCGAACCCGCTCACCCATGAGAGAAAGCTTCTGGAAGGGCGGGTGGAACAAATTTCCCGCTTCTATCGTTCCTTGTTGATATAACGGGACGGATGGTAGCCGTGTTATGTATAAGGAGAGGGAGGGTAGGTAGGTACGAGAGATGATCGGTGCATCGTCCCTCTCTAGACTTTCTCTCCTTTTACTTCAATGGGGGAACTCCAGCAAAGAGTTCAGCGTCACCGTTTGAGTAAGGCCTCGAACTTCAGATACGCAACCAACCATCTTGCATCCAACTTTTACACATACCTTACATACGTGACCTCAGACGGTAAAAAGCAACAAGTCGAAACGGAACCGAAGCACATGGACCCAACTGGGAAGCCCCTTGCTCATTACCCATACATCAACTCAGATCATTCCCGCTTCCGTCCATTATAACTGGCTGCTTGTGCCCAAACCGTGCTCCAACGGCCGCGGGACCGGGAACCAGGAAAACAGAGGACAAGAGAAGATGAGACGACACGAATAAAAAACGGGTCGGGAAGGCTATCCGAGATTGAACTCTTGTCATCGTTTCGGTTGGTGGTGGGGGTTTTCGGGATTGAGACGGACGAGAGGGGCATGGGCCATGGAAGAAGCTATTGTGATGTGCTTCTAACTGTTAAAGCTGCTTGGGCCACCTTGGTCGAACTTGGCATGAGAGGGGGTTATGACGTCCAGCGTCTGTGAGGTTTTGGAATATCGCTGATATCATCGCGATATCTACTTGGAAAGGCCGTCTATCTGGGTAAACTTTTTTTTTTTGGGGGGGGGGGGGGGTTGTAGAAATGTGGAAAAGAAAAACCGAGAAGAGCCACCAGATATCCAAACAGATCATGTACCAACTTTTTCCGAAACAAGACCTCCCAGTTGTAACAATCATCCATCATCCATCATCATACAAAATCATACTTTCATCCTCCTACCCCAAATCGTACCACCTCACCTCATCACCGACCCAGCCCTACTACTCCTCTCCCTAATCCTTCCACTCCTCCTCACCCCCATCCCTTCCCCAAACTCCTTGATCCCATCCACAAACCCCTCTCCAACCTCCCGCAATCCCTCAGCAACCTGCTTAATCTCGTCCTCCAATGACTTGCTCAGGTCATCCCTCTGTGTTCTCCTCGAGCTGGTCCTTGTTTTCCTCGCAGGAGCACTGTCACTGGCAGCAGCCTTACTTCTGCTCTTCCTAGCAGCACTAGAACCTCCCTTTTCACCCTCAACAACAACCCCTCCCTCCCTAATCTCATCCTTCAAAAGTCTCGTGCCCAAGCCCAAATCCACCAGCCCCCAAGCCCCAAAATTTCCGCTCCTTCCCTTCATCCCTTCCACCGTCCCAAAATGCCTCCCTTGCCTCTTGGCTACTCCTCCCAACAGTATGCCCGGGATAGGAACCAGAGTCAAAAGCGTCGTGTACCCGGCCAAGCTCAGCGTCTCTTCCAGGGTAACCAGCACCGTAAACAAATGCAGCGTCAACAGATGCAAATGGTGAGTAGAGCTGGGGATGACCGAAATGGGCATGTAAGGTACCAGAAGCGGGGAAATGTGGAAAGAGAGCGCCAACAAAAGGGGAGGGAGGTAGAGAGGGACGAAACGGTGGAGGAGGGCGGGAATAGGATGGTCGGCGAAGAGGGTAAGAGGTGTTGGTTGGGATGGCTGAAAGGACGACGAAGAAGGTTTGCGCCAGGAAGAGGTGCTGGCGGTGGTGGTGGGGGTGTTATTGGCGTGGGCGTAGCGGATGTGCAAGTTCGTAAGTCTATCGGCGAGCGAGGAGCCGGAGCCGCGCTTCGAGTCTTTTTGGGCGTGCAGAACGAAGCGGTGGATAGAATACGACAAAACCTCCCGCAGCAAATACAAAATAGCAATATGCTTCGCCATCTGCCATGGCAACGGCAGCGTGGTAGTCGTTCTGTAAACTGGGTTCTTGAGGAGGCTGCCAAGCCCAAACGAAATAAGAGCCTGGACAGCGGTCGAAGTCAAGAGGTTGAGCACCCCCAAGCCAATAAGGCGGGCGTGCGTGCGGACATCGCGGTCTTGCAAGTCGACGGCGCCCTTGTACTTGAGCGAGAGAGATATTCCAGGGCAGAGCGTGTCGAAGAGGAGAAACACCAGCGAAGGAAAGAGCCAGAAGACGAGGCGAATAGCGAGCGTGCCGAGGATCTCGAGCTTGAAGGGAGATTGGCTGAGGACCAAGGTTGTCCAGGTCATGTAGAAAAACAAAAGGTTGAGGGAGGTGGACCAGGCCGTCATGGAGGACGGTAGGAAGTAGGAGACGAAGGGCAGGTTTAGAAGTGAGGCCATCTTGACAAGCTGATGGTTGTCAAGGGCCTGGAGGTTGTGATTATATCACCAGAAGAGGTTTGTTTACATCCGGTGGTGTTTTGGTTTTAAACCCAAAGAGGTCCGAACTTTTTTTCTTTAATTCGGATCGAGGGGTCCAAAATGTGGGCTGAGGAAGAGGGGTTGTTGATTGACAGCTTTGGGTCAAAATGTGAGTATGCGCTGTAACTGACCATTCAACGTGTCGTGAGGAGACTGGAGCCGCCCATGTTACAAGTAAGATCTTAGCTCACTGTTTTGAAGATATTGTTAGCTGAACATTTGGATGATTTGGTCTTTGGACATGAAGCCTCCTTCAGATTGATATCCCTGTTTACTGTTGGTCCGTGAGTTAGTTGCCCGAGTTACACAAGTGAACAAACCTTGACAGCTCTCATTCCATCGCTGAAATACTAATATTGCGGCCTATGACGTCGAACCGGGGTTGTTGCCATCCTAGCCGCCCGTCCCGCTGCCGGCCGGCAACAACAATTGACTGGGTCAGAATAGCGGTCAACAATGGCATAATCAATTGCCTGCCGGTGAGGCCATTCGCAGGATGGTGCGAAGGAAGTGTCTCGATAAGGACGGAAGATGAGGTCTTCAATGGACGGAAGGAACTGATGGAGAGATCCGAAGAATCGGCAGGTTGGAGTTGATGAAGGACAGAAGTGAGCCAAAAGAGCCGGGGAGCCGGGCATCGCTCTCACACATACACAATTCTGGGCGCCAACCAGACTTCGAAGCAGCTGTCCGGCGTATGCTTCTGAATTGCTCCTTCCTTGCCCGAGTGCCCACCCTTCTTTCCCCTCCGTGATCCTTCGATCCTTCTGCCCCGCCGCTCTGTTAACAGCCTCCTTCTCACCAGGGGACGCACCTTCCGGATGTACATGCCTTCCTTCCACATTGTTGAAGGCCTGGAAGGAGGCAGGTGCGGTTGGCTTGTTCTGGCAGGCACCCTCCAGGGTGCGTCCGTCGGTCCCGATCGAGGGTCCTCATATCGCTGTGACGCCGTAGATCAAGGACAGTTTTGTTCACCCTCTCCACCATATGTTGTTCAGATACACTTGTGCATAAGATATATGTATAAACCGTGTCGTACCGTTTCCAAGAACACCAATGACCAAAAGAAAACACGAACCGCATAGGATGTCGGACCCAAACACCAGCAAGTCGCTGTGTAATGCACGCGGTCTAGCATCCAAGGTACCCCTAAACTGATAAAAAAACACAAAAGCCGCCCGCTTGACCCGTTTCACGCCCTTCACGCCCTTCTATGCGAAGTACAAAAACTACTCGCAACAATTATCGTGACAACCACCTTGTCTTGAACCGGTGAGAATCTGATGCGAAAAAGTCATCACATCACATCCAGCCCTTCTTTCCCTTCAACCACCTCACGCTATCAATACCCGCCTGGACTCTCATGCCAAACCGAGCATCCAGAACAAAGCCGTCCCATTTGGACACCTTGTCCAGATACAGCTGGCACTCGTCCGTCTTTTGCTTGCGGAAGGCTTCAACCTCTTCAGAGACTGATGGCCAGGCTTCGGGGCTGCAGACTTCCATCCAGGCGACGGCTGCGACTTCGTAGTGGGCTGCGGCGCCGCAGTAGTCGTCTCTTGTAGGGCCTTTGAAGATGTTTCTGCATTGAACAGTCAGTATACGCAATCGTAAGCAAGAAAATGGAAGGGGAGAGAAAGAAGACCACACACCTATCAACACCCAAAAGAGGCTCCACCAGCTTCCTCGCCTCCTGTCCTTTACCCAGCTGTCTCAACAGCGCCGACTCAGCCAGTAGTCCAATAGCCACCTCATCTTGCTCCGTCGCCTTAACCTTGGCGACGAGTCCCTTTTCGACCGGCGTCGTGCACCGCTCCCAGGCCAGGTACTTCCGCGCCTTCTCCAGCAAGTGAGGCGGCATCCGCTTGCTACCGTTCCACAAGTAGATCATCTCGACGGCCGGGCTGACGCAGATGACGTCGGCGAGATCCAAACCGTACGCCTTGGTGCGCTCCTCCCATTTCTGCAGCTTGCGCAGCACAAACACCTCGAAGGGCATCTGCTTGGCCATGAAGCGCTTCTTGCCGGCCACGGTGGGTGCCTTGCGGAAGTACTCTTCGGCGAGCTTCTTGTGCTTGAGGGCAGCGGCGCTGGCAGCTTCACCGGCATGGAACAAGTCACGATACTGTTCTAGTTCGGCGCAGCCGGCGAGGTAATAGTACAGCGCGTGGCTCCAGCTGTTGAGCTCGACGCAGCGCAGGAAATGGGCGGGCGCAGATTGGAACTCAAGGGCGTAAATGGAGTTCATGCTCAGCTCGAAATTGTTCAGCGCCGCGATCTGGCGCATCTTGCTGTCGTTGTTGACGGCCAACATGGCCAGGGCCTCCTCGATGCGCCGCTCGTTGGCCATGACGCGGGCCTCTTCGAGCCGCCAGAGGCGCGAGTCCGGGTAGCGCTGGCGCATCTCGGCGAGAAGGGCAGTGCACTCATCGCGCGGGTAGCCAACGGCTTCGATCTCGTTGCCGCCGGTGGCGGACTTGGAGTGCTGCTGGATATCGAGCTTGCTGGGGAGGATGTCGGCGAAGCCGAGGAAGAGGTTGTAGTACTGCAGGAGGACGAGACCAGCCATGGCGCCGTTGATGTTGTTGTACTTGGTGGATTGCCAGAGCATCTGGACGCCCCGGTCGCGGTCGCCCTTGAATCCGATGACGGAGAGCAGGCGGGAGAATGCTGGGGGAACCATGGAGATGATGAGCAGGAGAATACCGAAGCACATGCTTGCGCCGCTGTGGACGAAGATGTCAACGGGTGACTTGAAGAGTGACCTATCGGCGCCGAACTTGTTCAGCTGGTCTAGGTGAGAGAACTGGGGTGTTGATGGTGTCGATACCTCGGGGGAGGCATTCTGGGGCACGCTCTGCACGCTCGCCGCATCCGTGTCGAGTTGGAGATGACCCAGTTTCTCGTTGAGTATCTCCGCATCCGCTGCCGTCTTCGCTACGTTGGAAGCTGATGCGGAAGCTGGTGTCTGAGGGCCGGAGGGCTCTTTGGCGACACTGGCAGAGTCTGTAGCGGCACCGTTTTGCGCAGGAGTATTTGTGCCTTTCGAGTTTTCGAGGCTAGCAAATTCCGAGTCGCTGAATCCACCAGGCATCTTGTCGAGACTCGTCTTAGTTGACCTTGCGCTCGTGGTGATACCCTTCCTTTCCAACGTCTGCAGATACAGCAACTCGGACTGCATGATGCCATCCAAAGTTGCGTACGCCTTCCTCAGCTTATAGAATCCCTTGATCGCTTCCGTCAGACTTTCGTGCATGACAGCCACGACGGCGCCCATGAGCTGCGCCTCTGCGTTCACAAGCGCGAACTCAGAGCCCGGAGGATAAATATGGCTTCCTCCTGATGCATGTCCCTGCGGGTATGTTGAACCAGCGTACACCCCATGCTTCTCTGCCTCTTTCTGGGCCTTCTTCATGTCATTCCATGCCCGTGTTTCCGTCTCTCCCAGCCTCTGTGTTGTCTCGTTCATGATCTCCTTTTCGAAACCCAAGATGCTCCTCAAAAATGTCGACACGCCCAGGCCGAGCTGGTGGAATGTCGAGGCATCTTCACGCAATCGCAGCATTGCGTCTGCTCCGTCGATATCGTCGTTCATAATCAATGCTACTGCTGCCATGGCATCTTCAATGTTGTTTGCCTCCTGCTGGGCAGCGCTAATTGAGGCGGTCCTGGGGCGTCCATGGAGGTGTAAGTGATCGCGCAAGGAAGTAGAACTGGCAGCGGGGCTCGGCGCAGTACTTGGCGCCTTGGACGATTGTTTTGAGGGTGCGGACGAGCCGCGGAACCAAGAGCGCAACGCAGACATTTTGGGAATTGTCGGGTGGGTGTGTGACCCTCCGTTTATTTTTGGTGTGCGCGCGGTCCGCTTGTGTACTGTAACGGTAGTGGTTGAATTAGGTGTTGCACGTCGTTCGCCGAGGACGGGAAGCGGGTTGGCGCGGGGGATGGGGGCCGGATGCCCGGGTCGCCAAGCAAAAACCGGAGGTCCGGGATCACTTATATAGATAGGGTGCCGCCGGCGTCACAACTTTTTGGTGTTGAAAATAGCGACAAGAAAACCTGCTTTCTTCTACACAGGCCGAGGGAAAAAACGTAAAGTAACAGCGAGATCCGGACCCCGCTCTGACAAAAGCAGAAAAAAAAGACCGGAGGCTCGACAGAGAGATATACAGGGGTGCCGGCAAGCCCGGTGAAACCGGGTCTAAGACGGTGCTGCAGACCAGGGCAAAAACTGCCAACAAGGAAACCTGGGGTTCTGGGGGTTACGCTTGTTTGGGATTGGCACTGACGGGGGCGCTGACTGGGAGCGGCGCTGCGGCCCAAGCCGAGTGGGAATGGTGCCCGGGCGGTCGTGGTGGAGATCTTTGGATATCTTTCAGCGCGGTCCAGCTTGTCCAGGCATTCAGCGCCGGGCCGGGACTGGAGTCGTTGGAGTCAGTGAGCTATGGTGCTGTAGCAATTGGTCGTTCAGCGCGGCGGGCGTACTGGGAGCGTGCAGACGCGAGAGAACCAGGTCGGAAGGTGGGTTTCAGTTGGTCACCGAGGAGAATGCCAATGAGAGGTCGCCAATGTGTCGAGAGATACGGTATGTCTGCCCGGCGATATGTTGGAGAGGTATAGGAGTGCCGATATCAAGTCCTTTCGTTGGTTCTCTGGCTGGACGAACTGGTGAGGGGGTGGATTGGGGTATCAGTTGGGCGACCTGGCATGAACGGCTATGTAGGAATTTTTGAGGAGAGAAAGGAGGAGAAATGCTAGTAAGATCGGATTAGGTAGGTTTGTTGGTTCAGGTTTGTTGTCAGGTTCTCGTTTTTGGGCTGAGCTAACTGCGGCTTGTTCCTGAAAGTGCGTTCGTAGTAGTCAGCCTTTTTAAGATTCGTCCAAGTACGTGAAAGAACTGGCATTGCCCCAGACGAAAACAAAACGAGGGGAAAGAGGCGACGAGGCGTCCAAGATGGTGGTGCTGTTAAAGACAATCCAAAAGCTCCCCATCCCGTCCCGGGTTTTTTACCCCTTGTTCCATTCCAAGGTTGCTGCCCTGGAACTTGGGACAAACGGTGTCATAGGTCCGATTGCTTGGATTATTACAAGTGGTGTCTTGATACTGTGTCGTGTTGGTTCCCGATACTGCTTCGAGATGATTATCCAACGAAAGCCGGCACGACTACGCCGCGCGCTTCTGCACACCTTAACGGTACAATGCACGTCCAAAGGTAATCAAGCCTTATGTTAGCTGACACTGACAGCGCGGACGAAGTGGGCAAAGTGACGACATCTCGTATCGAGACCTTCTAGGTATCTTCCATTATCCGAGCGTATCAACAAGTTCTAGATGACGGAATGGTTAATTCCCATCGAGTCTCCAATAGAGATTCCGGGGTATCATCCAGTTCGATCAATTCAGATGTCTAAGAGGACGAATGGCCAGGGGAAGCAGATCGTGGCTCAATGGTTCCCTCAAAGTTAGATCCGATATAAGCGGATATCGGCATCTCATGTCGTGTTACCACTTGTTAACATCACAGCCTCGAACTGGTTACCGCAATTGCTCAATTGGGCTGATGGTAGTAACAAGAGGGAAATCGGGGGAGAGATGTTGTGAAAAGAACAACGGTTTCAGAACATTGGTTTGATGCCGCACCATAGCAAAACAGCTGTTTGCAACCAGCAAGGACCTCCCTCTTGTCGTTTGTCCCTGGTGAGCTGACTCGTGCCTTGCGTCTTAAGATGGAGATAATGAAGACATAAAGTTGGGGATGAGAAGCAGCAGCTACCGCATGTACTGCTCGTACGGGTGCGAGAGCCGATTTGCAGCTGTCATGTCAAACCCGAAATTTGAGAGTTGCCGCAATGCAGACAAGAAAACATGGCGATGCCAAAAGATACCCCAAAAGCACATCACAGCTCGGCGGGGTACATACTAGAGTGGGGCCCCTAAGCTTTCGGCCAAGACCTGCCAAGACATGGTCCGTGCTCTTGCCGCCCCTGGCTCGGCCAGACGCCATCACGTCGTCCGCTGCCGCCTTGGGTTGGGGGGCAGGCACTTGATTGCGGCGTCCATTACGACCGGCAACATCTCAAGCTGTCACGACAGACAAGCATCTAATAAACTACCACCCAAGAACATCTTTCCTCCCAACTGACGATTTCGATCTCTCTCTCCGCGCGCACATAATACCAGACAACATTTCCACGACGCGACTAGAGCACAACCGACGAGCTTACTTTTCGAACGATCCGTCTATAATCCATCCATCCAGCTATCTAGCGTCATCAGCTTCAGTCCACGACAGCTGGTCCATTCCACCCAACAACCCTTCACGCAAACATACAAACCACAATATCCGCAATGGCCTCAACACAACCCAAGACCGACATCAAGTCGACTGAGCCCAAGCCCGAGCAGCCTGTTACCGAGAAGAAGACGGCCGTGTTGGAGGAGGACGACGAGTTTGAGGATTTCCCCGTTGATGGTTAGTCCAACACCAGCACCACCTTTTGCGATGCGGATCGCGACCCGAACACAAATACAACACAACCTATACATTATAGCATCGCCGACCTCTACCCCTACACTCCGCTTTGGAACCAAGCTATGTTCGGGGCTTCTTCACCCTTGCGCAGCTCCGAGCTATGCTCCTCCTACACACCACACCACATCAACGCCGCCACTTACGCCACCTCTCCCTTCTTCTTCTCCTACATTCATCACTCTCATGGCCATCGCAAACCCCTATAACGCAAAGAATCCCACTGGAAACGTCAAATAAAGGACCGTAGACTAACAAATCATGACAAACAAAACACAGACTGGGAAGCCGAAGACACAGAAGCCGCCAAGGGCAACAACGAAGCCAAGCACCTATGGGAGGAGTCCTGGGACGACGATGACACGAGCGACGACTTTTCTTCGCAGCTAAAGTACGTTTTCTACACGAACCCACCACTCTCCCCCCTCCCCGTTGTTCCCTTTACTCCACCATGTCCTACCAGGCGATGATCTGGGCATGGAGGGCTCGTTAGTGGCCTGGGAACCAGCAGCTATGATGCACAGTAGTTGGGTGTGGCCGGTAGAGAGGTTGTCGAGATCATGCGGGAACCCATCCCCTTGTACCCTTTCACATGAACAAGCGTGCGAAGGGTCAACTGAGGAAACATTTGCTAACGTGTCTCTTCGAACTACAGGGAGGAACTCAAGAAGGTTGAGGCTGCCAAGAAGCGGTAATCATCTGCGAAACGTCAACCTTGATACCGGGAAAGGACAACCTATGAGGAAGGGAAAAGGAAAGACAGGCAGGAAGCAATCAATACAATATCTACCAATGTTTCGATATAAGACTTAGAAGCGTGACTGGCGACTCGCGGTTATTAGGCTCGGCAGTGCCTCGCGAAGCCTTTAATGGGCAATGGAGACCCTCGTTTGAGCATTCTTTGGCCCCCAAGTCCAAAACAAATGAGACGGACCTGGAATCCAAGCGAACGGAAAGAAGGCTCTGGGTGATGGGAAACATTTGCGATAAAGGTATTGGTGTGGTCTGGGAGCTGCCACGGAAGACAAGATGGACGACATCAGTTAACAGGATACACAGTGGCTACCCAAGGGACTAAATGATTCCATAGCCGGGTCTGAGTCGATCACTGTACAGACTTTGCGACACTTGATACTGTTTAAGCCTGACCGTCACAACCACATCCGGAAGCCGCAATTATGGTCTTTTAATTGTTTTGTTCTATTTATCGGATTGAGACTCAGAAGTACCTAAAAACTAGCCCTGCTAATCCGTCCAGGGATCCTTTGTCGTCATTTTTTGATCCATCAAGTCATGATCTCCCACAAACATCAGGAGGTATCAATCATAGCATCATTATTTCGGCCCAACGCCTCGTTTTCCTCCTCTTTTAAAAGGCCAAAGAACAAACTTACTGACGCTCGCTAAGAGCAACAACACCAGGGAGAGCCTTGCCCTCAAGGAGCTCAAGGGAAGCACCACCGCCAGTGGAGACGTGGCTGAGCTTGTCCTCAACGCCGTACTTGGCAGCAACGGTAGCGGTATCGCCACCGCCAATGATGACGGTGCGGCCCTCTTCGGCAGCCTTGACGGCGGCATCGAGGGTGGCCTTGGTGCCGTTGGCGAACTTGTCGAACTCGAAGACACCGGCGGGGCCGTTCCAGAGGATGGTCTGGGCCTCGTTGATGGCATCGGTGTAGAGCTTGACCGACTCCTCACCGCAGTCGAGACCCATCCAGCCGTCGGGGATGCCGTCCTTGTCGGTAGCATGGCCAGTGTTGGCGTCCTTGTCGAACTTGTCGGCGGTGATGTAGTCGACGGGGAGCACGATCTTGACGTTGTTCTTCTCAGCCTTCTTGACAAGGTCGGGGACGGTCTTGGCACCGGCCTCATCGAAGAGAGAGTTGCCGATGGGGATGTTGTAAAGGGTCTTCTTGAAGGTGAAAGCCATGCCGCCGCAGATGATCAGGGTGTTGACCTTGTCGAGAAGGTTGTCGATCAGCTGGATCTTGTCGGAGACCTTGGCGCCACCGAGAATGGCGAGGAAGGGGCGCTGGGGAGACTCGAGGACCTTGGCGAAGTACTCGAGCTCCTTCTTCATGAGGAACCCGGCGGCCTTCTGGGGGAGGTCGACACCGACCATGGAGGAGTGGGCGCGGTGGGCGGTGCCGAAAGCATCGTCTGGATGAGGGGGGTTGTTGTTAGCTGCTGTCACTTTTCCGGAATTCGAGTTAACCTGGGAGGACTCACTGATGTAGACATCACCGAGCTTGGTGAGGCCCTTGCGGAACTCGTCAACCTTGGCCTTGTCGGCCTTGATCTTGTTGCCCTCGGCATCGGTGCCCTTGCCCTCCTCCTCAATGTGGAAGCGGAGGTTCTCAAGGAGGACAACAGCGCCGTTATCGGCCTTGTTGACGATCTCCTCAACCTCGGGGCCGACGCAGTCGTTGGCAAAGGTGACGCTCTTGCCAAGGAGCTTCTCGAGCTCAGGGACAACGGGCTTCAGGGAGTACTTGGGGTTGACCTTGCCGTCGGGACGGCCAAGGTGGGACATGAGGACAACGGCCTTGGCGCCATTGTCGATGGCATACTTGATGGTGGGGATGGCACCGACAATGCGCTGGGGGTTGGTGACCTTCTTCTCGGCGTCAAGGGGGACGTTGAAGTCGACCTGGAGAGTGAAAGTGGCATGTTAGAAACTTTGTTTGGTCATCGTCATCATCACCCACATGAATCGCACAGCAACAACACAAGAGCTAGCTGGGGGAGCTGGTGAAGCTTACACGGATGAGGACGCGCTTGCCCTTGAGGTCGACGTCCTGGATGGAGAGCTTGTTGGAGAGAGACATGATGACGGTTTGGTATGTGACTAGATATTACGAATTGTTGGAGGTCAAGGGAGAAAAGAACAAACAGAATCACGAAAGGATGACTGAAGGAGGAGAGAGAAAACTACCTTGTCTTATCAACAAAGGAATGGAAGCGAGAAGGGGAGAATCAGGTGGATCGGTATGCCTCAAGACGCAATGATGATAGGTCAGCTTTTTATTCTTGTTACGATCCCGCCGTTGCTTGGCCAGTCTCTCTTCTACACTCAACAAACGGGGGAAGAACTCTGTCGACGCCGGGCGGCCCCCCGAAGAGCGGTCGCAATGGGGGGGCTATGATCAATGATGGAGGGGCAGAAGGGACAGAAGGGGGTAAGCGAATCGATAATGGAGGGGTAACACCGAGCTTCTGTGGGGCCAATTGGCAAAGAGGGGCCAGTGACGTCGAGGCGTTTGGGGGTCTGCCGTTGCGGATGGGGTGATCCTTCCACTGAAGAGCCTCTGGGCCTTTGGGATGGGTCCTTCTACGACAGCGACAGCGACGGCAGTGACAGCCCCAGCGGGTGGTGTATGCAAGATGGCTCCGATTGTCGCAATTGAACATTCGGTCCGATATGCCTAGAGGCAAAAGTTCTAGACGGGGGACTAGACAATCATTATTCGTTATCACTTATACCAGTAATTTCAATTATTTCCCAAATCTCCAGTATATCTTTAAACAACTGCATCAACTGCAGGAACAACCGTAAAGGTTGACGGCAAGTACGCCTGCACGACGAACCTGCTTCACATGGCGGTCAAGCATTCCCATACCAGATTCGGGACGCGACTTGGCAACATAACCTCGGAACCGGATCGACAAGTCGAGAATATGTCGGCTTCTTTCGACAAATCGACCCGGGTCGAAGTCGTACCATCCTTTCCATGAACCCGGATTTCGGCTTACCGGGGAGGAATAAGAGACAACGTGATCATTATTCGGGGCGTATATAACATTCTCACGATCGCATGGCAGACCTTCCGACCGCTCATTGCCGTTCACACGTTAGACTTTTGAGTATCGCGCCAGGTACATCACAAGCGGTCGGGTGCTAAGGACCAACAGCAGATCAGAGATTGATGTTTCAATTGAGACCGGGCCTAGCTAAATACAACGAAAGGAAACAAAAGGGCACTGTTACCCTTTGTCAAAAACTCCAGGACGCCTTTACATGGGTCGGTCGGCTGTAGAAAGACATAGCCGTGGTATAGTATCCTCCGAACCCCCCTCTGTGAACTCTTTTTTACAACTCCCCTGCAGAGCAAAGCAGGAACAAAGGTAACCCGGCAGATGTACTGTTCCTCCATTTCGTTATGCGGTTATTCCGCTGCAGTTAGGTGTTGCGCCGGTTGGCGACTTATGGTCATCGAATGCATGAGAAGAAAGAACCTTGATGGTTAACGTCGCAACCATTTAGGCCAGACGGATGTTGGGAGAGCCAGGCGCCGGGTGAGCGGTGCTCTGTTGCGCATCCTCGGCAGCATTGGTAAGGGAAAGGTAGGCCGTCCAGGCGATACCAATAGTGGAAACGAATGGCTATTTGTGATTATAACCTTGTTAGCAACGTCTTCTTTCTCGCACAATCAGACCAGAACGGAGCGAAACTCACCAGCTGGAGCGACACGGGCATCAACCGAAAGTTGATAACCTGGACCGCCGGCCAAAGAATGTAGTTGGCCTTGAGCGTCGGCACATACATGTCCCTCATCTTGTCATACACGCCCCTCTTTCCGCCACCCTCGGCCAGCGTCATGGCAGTAAAGAAACATCCGAGACCAAAGGGCGCAAAGATGAGCTGGTCGAAAGCCACCCTCTTCAAAGCCGGCAGGTAGGCACTCGTCTTGGTGATGGGGAACATTCTCTCGAGGAAGCCGAACCACTTGAACTGCAGGGGCGCCATGCAGAAGCCGTACGCCATGAAGCGGGTCAGACGCTCAAAGTCGAACGGCGGCGGCAGGTCCCGCGACTCGGGAATCAATTCTTGTTCGTTGAGGGGGTTCTTCCGGTCGAGCTCGTGGATTTCGTAGGCGACGGGGTCGTCGCGCGCGTTCGGCTCCCGGCCGGGTGGGTACTTGCGGAGGGCTCGCTGCCGGACCGCCGTGATGGACTGGGCTACCGTGTCGGCGACTCCACCCAGGACCGCATTGGTCACCATCATCGTGAGCACTGCCATCCATGGAACCCTTTGTTAGCAATACGTTGCGCATGGCAACGAGAAGAGTGCGCGATGTGTAAAAACATCGACCTGACTCGAATCTCGTTGCTATGGGAGAATGGGACTTGGGAAAAACGCACCAGGTCGTTCATCGTAGAACTGGTTGAAGCGGCTCGTGAGCCGGGCGAGGATGGACATTTCGATTATGAAGATGATGGCATGCAATAAAGGCTAAAGCAGGCAATTCAGGTCATTGTTCAGTCAGCACTCGGTCGTTGTTGTACTCTGTGTCGATTTTTGTAGGTAGTAGTGATTCTCTTGTTCAATTCTTGTGTGTACGAAAAAGAAAAGGACAAGCGCAACACAGGCAAGAAACAGAACAAGAAAGATCAGATCACAACTGCGGTTCGAAAGTATGCAGGTTGGTGGATGTCTTTTTTTGCCAAGTGAAAATCGAGGTGGGATATGTTTTGAAGTTCGGCGTTGTGTCGGTTGAAGGATGGGGGCATGCGAATCTTCCAGAACTTGGCTTTCTAAAAAAAAAAAGGGAGGAGGAAGAGATCTGATGAAGCCAGAACGAAAAACATCACCTACAAAGCGGTCAAAGATATATTTGCTGTTCAGTGTTCGCATCCATCGACGACGGGTGAGGTCCCAGGACATGATGAAGATCAAGTAGCCAAGAGGAGTAGGTCGGGCGGAGGAGGCGGCGCGCACACTAGGTGGCAACGAGAAAGGATGACAGATGAGTGACAGTTTCAGGGTCCAAGTAGAGAAGGGATCTGAATCAAGTTTGGCAGTCAATTAGTAGGGTAATCCGCAATGACACGGGGTCTAATCTTAATGTTGGTTCGGTTGCCAAGTACGACAGCCTAGACAAACAAGACAGCCGGCCGTGTTGCCGTGTTCTTGTGTCGGTTGGACTGGAAACCAATAACTGATGGTCGACCAAGAGTTGTCGATGCGCGGGAGTCGCGAAGTGAGGGTCGATGACGTCGGCCGAACGGTCCCTTATCGTAGTGCCAGCGATAAGCAGCTAGCGGGTAAGGCGGACCCCGTCGCAGTGTTGACGACCCCAATCGATTGGCGCTCTGAGGCTATCGTGGCAGAGGCCTGGAGCCGTGGGTCCCGTTGCCTAGGAGGAAGATGACGATGAGGGGTCGCGCGCCACTGGAGTTCGCAATTTCTTTCAATTTGGAGATGCCACAGCGCGTTCCACAGGTTGCGCCTTTATGGCGATTTTTGTTGCGAAGGTGCCGTCGGTGGAAATGGATTGACAGAGGAAGATGTCGAGGCGAGAAAACAGCGAACATTCAGGGACCAAGGAACCGAGCTGACAGTTTGCTCTTTCCCTTCGGATTCACCAGCCGCTACATGCTTATCTCTACATATGCCCGCGGGCGGTTGCTGCTGCCGTTCAGCCAGATTGTGCCGATTTTCCATGTCACGGCAATGCTTGGCTGCCATCTCCCAAATCAGACGCGCATTCTCATCAGTCAACCTGGCTGCTTCATCAATTTCTCTCGCATTTCGACCACATATTTCGTCCGTGAAAGGACATCATGCACATGATTTTTTGCGTTCAGCAGGTCCAACGCGCAGCAACAGCAAGACGCATCGGATGCTTGGCGGCGGAATTGTGTTGAGACCGCTTTGCATGCTTTAACCCCAACCCTCTATACCCAGTATGCCCGTCGACGCCGTCCTTCGACAGACACATTCCAACTACCTGTCACGAATGCCGATGAGATCAGCAGTGATTGAAATTCATACACTTCAAGTCCAAGAGAATTGTGTCCTCGATAGTCCATCCGGTCTGTAGGCTGTCATGATCCACCTGCCGGACTACACGAGTGTCAGTCAAATGACTTGGGTTAGCTGTGCCCGGGTTGGAGCACCAACACCAACAAACTGACTACGCCCTCAACTCGGCAGCATGCCTAACCCCCTAAAGTACTCTCCCAAACCATCAATATCATCAACACCAAGCACCGCACCAATATACCCATCCGGCCTTAATACCACGGCCCTCCCCTTCTCAGTATCAATCTCCAGCCTTTCATACACCCTCCCATGTCCCTCATGCACACTCTCAGCATCCGCCAACAACCGCCAGTAATCATACCCTTCACTATCACTCCATGGCCTGAACACCTCAGGCAAGTCTCGGGGTTCAACCTTCTCGCGGTCGGCACTATGCACCATGAGCACCTCCACCGGCGCCGCCGCTCCGCCAGCCGTCAACACTCCCAATCCTGTCTCTGGATTTGCAAGGTACTTTCCCAGCTTTTGTACGTTCTCGGACAAGTGCCGGTGAGTAGCAACATCTCCAGCGAACACGATCACCCGAAAACTACCAGTAGCTTGTAACCTTTTATGAATCCAGCATGTGATTCCGTCCGCTTGGTAGACCGCCTGAAAATCCGGTAACCTCTTCCCTGGGACCAGATCGGCTTTGAGCAAGCTTGGACCTAGCTGCTCTGCCGTTTCGACTCCCCGGGGAAGTTGGACGGCGCACGAGGGCGGGTAGCGGATGGAAAGACCGGTGGTGAATTTCATGGCGCGCAAGAACTCGGTGTCAAATTCGGATGAAGGAGCAGCGAAGAGCTTGAGATAGCCCCTATCAAAGGCAATCAGATCTTGAGCCACTGGCCTTCGTTCGGACTCGTACGTCGCCAGCAGATTTCTCGCTGCTTTTGGGTCGAGCTGCGGTTTGGTCGGTTGCAGAACAAATCGTAACTTCCAACCAAGGTTATACGCATCCTGAATACTGGTATTCATCCCCTGCCCGGCCTTGGGCGAGTGCGTGTGGACTGCATCTCCCACCAAAAAGGCCTTTTCGTTGTGCCTTGAAAAATGACTACCGACGCGCTGACCGACGCGGTAGGCGGACCACCATGACACGGAGCCCACTTCCAAAGTATAAGGGGAAATGATCTTGCGCGCAGCGGAGATGATGCGGTCAAAGGTGAGGTCTTTGGGGTCTGACAGCGAGCTGCCGCTCTCGACGGGGACGTAAAGACGGACTTCCTTGTTACTCCGTGGCACGAGGAGGATGGTGCCTGTGGAGGCGCGGAGGTAGCAGACGCGGCGGATGTCGGGGAAGTTGGATTTGGGGATCATGTCAACGACGCCGAAGACAGAGTCGGTCAGGTCGCCCTCGAGTTGGACTTGGAGTTGCTTTCGAAGCCAGCTGTGAGCTCCGTCACAGCCTACAATGTATTTGGCTCGGATACGTTCTTCGACTTCCTCTGCATCCCCGTTCGCGGTCTGTTGAGGGTCTGTTAGTGACAACTTCCTTCGTCTGCCCAGCTACGCAGGTTTTTCTCACATCTGGTGTCGAGTTCGCGAGGATATTCGAGGCCGCTTCGGACTGAACCTGCGTCTTGACCAAGCGCACCTCGACAGGGTAGGCTTCATCTTCATGAAGCGAGGACTCGTCGATTTTGACCTCGACTGGTTGGGTGTTGTACTGGATCGTGATGTTCTTGTGGCTTAGCAGATTCTGCTGCATGTGGTACTCGACTCTTGCTGTTCGCAGTATCTTCCATGTTAGCAACTGTTTCCCGAAAATGTAGGGAGCTTGTCACTTACATTGCTGCAACATGGTCTCTCGCACCTTACCCAGCTCTTCTACCTTATCCTGGATCAGCTGCTCTCTCTCGATCCCGCTCCCGCCGTCCTTCTTTTGGCCCCAGATGGCGATTTCCTCCAGCCTCCATGACTCTGCTGCGATCTGAGGTCCGATGCCATACGAGTTAAAGATCTCGTTGGTTGTTGACTTCAGTCCTTCGGCTTTGCCTCGCCGTGTAGGCACGGGTTTCTTGTCGACGAGGAGGACCTTGATGCTGGAGTTTCTGAACCAATTGGCGAGGGCCAGCCCTGCAAGGAGAGTGTGAGCCTATGTCCTGTTCTGGTGCTTAATTTTTCGACTTTGCTTACCAGCTGGTCCAGCGCCTATGATGAGCACATCTACTGTTTTGACTTCGGTCATCTGGAACAACTGTTGGTGGTTTAACGCTGGCGTGGTATGAGTGAGGGTCAGGATGAATACAGGTCATTAAGCTGGCCGATGCTTGGCGGGTTTCGAAGCAACTTTGCCTTTGACAATCGCGACAAGTAGCTTAAGTTGGTAAAGACGAGGAGTCCTTTTCAGCACTTGAACCCCAAATACATAGGTCTATTTACTCCGAGAGTCTGCAGGCCACGACATAAATGCGATTGTACAACCCTGTTTGGTCAATGGTTGGGCTGGAACCTTGATGGCTGGCAGGGACAAGTCCTGGAGCAGCTCATGTCCCGGATCAGATCCTTAGATCCATCTCCATACGGTTAACCAATGCGGAAAAGTCCATCACAATCACGGGCACTTCGTCGGGTTTGTCTGTCTCATTTCCCGAGCCAAGTTTCGACATGTTTGTTTTGATTCCGGTGTCTGGGCCCATTGTGTGGGGGATCGCCATCGTCATCGATTTTTTGATTGTTGGGCATGTCGACACTGCCAATTCTTTCTTTGAGACATGACCGGAAATACCTCTAGTTTACAAAACCTTGGTCATACACGTTGTTGAGATGGAGATTCGGCAAATTTGTTAGACTGGAGGTAAATGATTGTTGAAGGTGCCAGGTGTTGTAGCGAGGAAGGTGCAAGAGATTTGCAGGGCACGACGGAAGCTGCGTCCCTCCGTTTGGTGCCCGATGTCGTACAAAAAAAGGGCTGCTCAGCCACAGCGCAGAAATGCATATTGCCCCTCATTTTTGTAGTCACACAACAGTAGACCCTGCTTCCTAAACGATCCAATGCAAACTTCATCCTCCCGCTCGTGTGTCATTCAATCTCCTTTCTTCCCACAAATCCCCAGCACAACAGCCAATCTGTAACCAGTCGGACATATCCCACAACTGGAAATCTATAGATCACATCATGGTGGCTTTCTCTCTCCAAGCTGAAGATTGCCATATTCGTCTACTGGTTCCGATTTGCCGTCTCGGACTCTCCCTGGATTCCCTCAGTACCGCCCAGTGCTTCCATCTTCACCCATTCAGTTAGTCGTTATTGTTGAACACCCTGATCCGGATTCGTTTCAAAGAACAGTTCGCGGGGCTACCTCAAGACTGCCTACCTCTGCTGCTGGTCTACCTACCCCTGCTCACAGGAGCTTTCCTTTGGACACCACAACCCCCGTTGGTACAGTGTACTGTGTACTTATTCATCCATCACCATCACCACAATCTTGACCTTCCGATTAACTATCTTCGATCATGGTCATCACAGGCATGGGGGTCAACGTCACGTTCCCGATCTCTGTCCGTCTACCCCTGGACCAGGAACAAAACAATCGGTTCAGGCTGTCGATTAGATCACTACATGAGAAAGTTCTTTGTAGTCTTTGCGGCAAGCACATCATCATCTCCCAGCTAGTATGCAATCCTGGGCTGTGTCCCGAACGTACCACCTTGCATACGGAATCGGGAGGTCGGTTGGGGGTAAAGACCCCTCCGAATGGGCACAGGATAACACAACAGGGCTAATGCTGACCAGATCTTGTGGGTTTCGTTACCTTGAGGATACGATCTCCATGACGCCTTTCACTCTCCGGTGTCCTTGTAGGCAGTGTTCGTAACAATGCAACAACATCATGCCGTGGACGGATATGCAGTCGGAATTCCCATTCATCAATAATGACAAAACGGACATGATCTACTTCAAAAGTCCATGGTGTCCAGCACATGATTGTCAAAGTTGGAAATCCTTCTCGTGTTGAAGCTGTTTTATAACACAACCCTCCTCCAACGAAGACACATACGATACCGCCAATTTTCAGGATAAGTCGACTTCAACACGACAAACCTGAGCATCACTTGTTACACCTTACCACCTTCAACAACTCAAGACGCCACTTCACAGCCGTTGTCTTACATCTCAACCCAAGTACAACCCACCATGGCTCAAGTCCTACCTTCTCCCGGTGTTGAATCACACCCTTTCCACCAAACCACCAAAAAGAGAGATGTCTCCTCCTTCAGCCCAGCAACACCATCCCTGCTCTATCACTACAAGCACCAGCTCTCCACCCCCTCGCCCAACATTTCCAAAGACCCCTCGGACATGATCGACATCCGCTCGTCTGAAACCTCCCTCCTCGATACCCTCGACACCCAAACCCTATCATCCCTCACCCAGCATACCGGAGAAAAATCTTTCCCCTCCCTCCTCCTCTGGGACGAAAAGGGCCAATCCCTCTACGACTCCATTCTCGCCACACCCTATTACTACCCCTACCGGGTCGAGAACGCTTTACTGCAAAAACAAATCAGCCATATCGCTACCCCCATCGCTTCTTCAACAACTGACATCCTCGTTGAGTTGGGGGCAGGGAACCTATCCAAGACTGCGCTCCTTCTTACCGCGCTTGACAGGTGTCTAGACTCTTGCAGTCAGAGACCTGGGACAGGGAAGATAGTCTACTACGCCCTAGACGTCGACCGCTCCCTCCTTGAGTCTTCACTCAAACAACTCCGCAAACGTACCGCCCTTAAAAACATCGAACTCCGCTCGCTTTTGGGTACCTACGAGGACGGTGCCAGGTGGCTGAGTCAGCCAGACCTGGCGCCGTATAGAAAGACGATGGTCTGGTTGGGGAATAGCATCGCCAATTTTGAGAAGGAGGAAGCTTCTGCCCTCTTAACCAAGTTCACTAGCCAAAATGGGATGCAAAATCTAGCCGGTTTCCTGTTGGGGGTGGATGGCTGTCTAGACGAAGAGAAAGTGGAAAAGGCGTATAATGCCCCCGGTGGAGAGAATAGGCGGTGGGTGTTGCATGCGCTGGAGGCTGCTGGGGAGCAGTTGGAGCTTGGCCCGGACTCACTTGAGGGGGGTGATATGTTTGACGAAAAGAACTGGAGGTTCGAAGGACGATGGGACTCGGAAAGGCAGCGGTATGAGAATTATTTGATCCCAGTAAAGAAGCTGGAGGCGGTGGTTCACAGTAAGGAGGAGGGGGAGAAGAAGAAAGTGGTGCTGGAGGAAGGGGAGAAGGTGTTTGTGTTGGGAAGTGGGAAGTGGACGGCGAGGGATGTGCAGACAATCTGTGAGAAGGGGCCGGGACTGGGGCTGAGGAGGAGTTGGCATTCTGAGGGGGATGATTATGGTGAGTCAACATTTTCAATTACTTTTGCTTATAATGGTGCTAACGATGGTGATTATAGGTGTCTATTGGCTGCAGCCGGGGAAGAAGAGGTTTGATAGTGGGATTGAGATGGATGATGATGATGGTGATGATGACGATGATGAGTTTTAGTTAGACCAAGGTCTACCATAAAAGTTGGGCGTCACGGCTTTCAGATTCGGAATGTAAAGCGTAAGGTCAAATGGTACTTGTCGCAGAATAAGAAAGGCGTTCGGGATACAAAGGAGTTATGGAGTTGGGTTCGTTCAACTTTCTACGCATTTCGTTCATTCAATCGTGGAATCAATGAACCGCATCATTCAAACCAAAATCAGCCTGTGCGATTATTCGCCTTCCAGGCCCTGAACATTCACTTCCACTGAATGGGCCTCATAAGGTTCCGCTTCAGCACCCTCCAATAACTCTCGTACATCGTCCACCTTGTACGTGGCCAAGCGGCATGGTGAGCGGGAGCCAGATAAACATTGCTCGTTGCGTTTGGTAGCGGTGGTACAGTTTTCGTAGGCGTGTGCCAAGAGTGGACGGCTTCGACACTGCTCGTGGCCCGCTGAGCTTTTTGTCTGTTTTTTTATTCTGGTTTCGTTTTTGTAATTGGAGTTGTTGCCTGTTGTCAATCTTGTCAGTCAGTGTTCGAAAAAGAAAAATGGATTGAATTTTGTTTCTTTGCGCACTGCTCAACGTGCCTTCCTTCCTCATTATTGAAAAAGGAGGCGGAACCAACCTAACCTCGCGCACTCTTTCCTCACTCACATAACACACATGCATCCATCCCCAAGTTGCGCCTTCCTTTTGATCTCGGCGAGAAAGCAGGCGGAACCAATGGACCTCAAGCAAGAAAAAAAAAAAAAAAAAAATACAACACCAGATTATTCGCCGGTCGTCACCGATCCGACTACTAGTCTGGCGGCCACCGGCTTATCTGGGGGAGAGCGGACGGGATCCCGAGTTTTGCCCTGGTGCCTATGGTCGTATGTGTTTATGGTTGTGGTCTGGTGGTTCTGGTGGATGTGGAAGGTGGGGGTGATGAGGATGGTTATATACTGGATGGGAGGTGCTCTGATGGTACCTATTTTTGTTGTGCTACTTACTTCTTACAATGTACTGCGGCCCTTTGTAGTACTGGGTCCATCGTAAATGTGAGGATTTGACGGAAAGCGAATTTTAAACTTTCTTCAGGCTTGCCAAACATCGTCTTCCGTTTTCTGTTGATTTCTTCATTCGTACATATTCTACAACTGGTGTTTTCTAAAGTGCTCTGCTACAAGTACACGTATTACATCCAACCCAAACCTCACCAATTTTTCTTTTCTTCCACTTTGTATCTTACAAGCCCACCTCTAGATTCCCGTGCATCTAACCCGTCTTCACCCCCATTAAGCAACAGTTGAACCCTCCTCGCCATCCCTATTTTCCCCGTTTCCAAAAGTGCCGTATCCAACCCTCTGCCCCCGCTCCTCCTGTCCCCCCGTACCAGGATGACTACCACCTCTCTTCTTGTGCTTGACAGAAGGCGGATGACTCAACTGACTATCCTCCAACTGACCCTCCTTCATGATAAAGCTAGCCGCAAGAGCCAAACACCCAGCAACAAGGGCATACAACCACACATAAACAAAGCTCCTCGTGTACGCCCCCTTCACCACCTCCTGCAACCAACCAGGTAACTCCCCAATGTTGTCAATATTCGACATCATCTCCTTAATGATGTCCGTTTTGTCCGGCACCACCCCATCTAGCTCTTTTCTCAGTGTCTTTTCCACCACAGAACTGATGATCAAACTCGCTCCACTGACTCCAAACAGACTGCCCAGATTCAAACTCAAGTAGAAACCAGATGTGGCAACCGCCACCTGACTTGCCCCCTGACCAGGTTTACTCTCCAAAACAGCAGTCAACCCGATAAACGCCGCCGACAACGACACCCCAAAACCAACACCAACCGGGAACCCGTACCCCGTTTCCCACCAGCTCGTCTGCCCCTGCCCCTGACCTCCTCCAAGTCCTCTTCCCCTCCAGCGCAACCAAATGGCAGTAAAACTCGCATCCGACAACAAAACAGCCACGACGATAACCAACTTGTACAACCCTGTCCTCTTTATCACGAAGCCCGACACCAACCCGCCCAACACCGTACCTACGGAGATGAACAACAGTCGCATAGCGACTTTGACGGACGAGTCCCCGTTTACCAACCGGAAATAAAGCGGGACGGAGGTGAACAGCGCCATTTGCGCTACTGTTTGCAGGAACTGGATTGCGTAAGAACTCAACACGTTCTGCGTTAAGAAAAGGAGGCGTAGAGGGAGGATGGGTTCGCGCGCGTAGAAGGATTCGATTAGCAGGAAAAAGGTGAGGGAGAGGAGCCAGAGGGAGAGGGCGGTTATTGTGTAGGGGTCTTGGAGGAAGGTTGTTATGTCTAAGGAGGAGGAGGATGAGGAAGTGGAGGGTGAGGTGGGGTGTTGGATCCGGTCGAGGAGGAGGAGTAAGGAGACGTTGGAGAGGCCGAGGGTTAGGGAGCCGGGGAAGTCGATTCTGGAGAGTTTGGATTTTGCGCTTGATGATGGGGTTGATGGGGTTGATGAGGTCGGGGGGCAATGAGAGGGGGCAGAAGAGTGAGGTGACGGCGGGGAAGGAAAGGACATCTTCCACCAGATGAAGATCAGGCCGAAAGTGTTGAGTGGCACTTGGTAAAGGAGCGACCAGCGCCAGTTGAAGCTGTCGGAGATGATCCCGCCTAGCGAGGGACCGATGGCGCGGCCGACTTGGTTAATAGCGTAGACGTAGCCGCGCCAGACGGCGACTTCGCGGATTGGGACGAGGTCTTGCGTTTTTTTCCCTCCCGTTAGTGGAATTTGCCTCTTATCTGCTTCCTGGAAAGGGGGGGAGGGGGTAAACATACCAACAATCAGCGTAGAAATCAACACCGTAATGCCCGCATTTCCCACACCACAAAGTCCCCTCCCAAGCAAAACTCCCCAGAAGGCAAACCCAGCACCGGCCAAAACACCACCGAGGATGTAAAACACATAAGCTATGATGAGCATCGGTTTTCTCCCGTAAATGTCGCTCAGTTTTCCAAACAGCGGCTGGGTGACAATAACGCCGATGATGTACGAGGTGATGATCCAGCTCGCTGAGCTCAACTTGTCGAAGTCGCTGGCGATCTGGCGGAACATGGCCAGGAGAATGGCGCTATCGGAGTTGACGAGGAAGACGGCCAGGAGGAGGACCAGGTTCTTTCGCCATTGTCCGCCTGAGAGGTGGTGAGGGTGGTGGCCTTCTCCATGGTGGTGGTTTCCGTTGGGAAGGTTGCTGAGGGTCGAGTTGGAAGAAGGGGATAAGTCGCGATGGTAGAGAGAGTCATCACCTGTGAGGGTGGTGGCTTGGCTTCCTTCGTCTTGATGGGGGTGGAAGTTGGTTGTAGGTTTGACGATGTGAGAGAAAGCTTCGACTGTAGAGATTGATAAGGAGGATGAGGATGATGATTCTGATCTCAATGGTGGTGTTGGCAGTGGGTGGAGGAGGGAAGTGTGCTCGTCTATGGCCTCAACCGCGTCGAGCGCGTCGGCTTCAGGCCTCTGTTCAATCATTCTAGACCTGATTGACCCTTTCCTCTGATGACCTGCTATACGTCAACGGATGAAGACGGGGTGGATGAACCCTATGTGCAGAGATGCTTACTCAGTCCTGATGTTGACAGGTAAGTCTAATGGCATAGCTTGTCATTTTCTCTCTGACATCTTCCTAGACGAGACCAAACAAGGTCTCAGATCGATCGAAGTGATAAGCCCTGGCTAACGTTGTCTCCTCCCCTCCAGTTTCTTCAGTGGCGAGCGGCTCATTGGGAAGCCGATCGTGGGCCCATCGCCTCTGATAGAGGCAAACCTGGCTCTTTCTGACCACTTGTCCAGCAAACTAGCTAGCAGGGTTAGTAACCGTCAACTTTACCAACCTATGTTCCCATCAGTCACCTTCCCACCTGGAAGTCTTTGTTCTCTGATAGCGACTGAGAATGCCATTTCCACCTTTGGCCAGCCAGCCAGCCAGCCAGCCAATACAATGAAGCATGTCTCATGTCTCATAGCTGAACAGACTTCACTGTGGATAGCAGACAAGACATGCCATTGGATAGAAGCTGCTGGTAGTAGTGTAGGTGATGATTTAATCGATAATCACAATCCCAGTCGTTGTCGTCGAGAAGAGTAGCAAGGGGCTAGCTGTCGTCGACGCGTCCACTCCATCGTGTCCGGCCTTTGACCCATCAGGTACACAGTCTCAACCCTCCCAACTTCACACTCATCTGGCCAAATATGGTGCCCAACAAAACAGCTTGAAGAGGTAGCTCATTCACGACTGCGAATATCCCATTCAACAGAAGCATAATGGGGTGGGGGTCGGAAACGCACGACAACAAAATGTCTGCAGTCATCACTGCAATGGCTTGGAATCTTCCAAAACCAACTTGGTGTATCATAGCATGATACCAATAATCTGGATGGTATGGGCAAAGAGTCTCAGAGGGGGGAGCGGTATCCAGCTTCCGGAAGCAAAGTGTTTCGGTTTGAAAAGAGAACGTCGGAAAGTGGTGACGCTGCCAAGAAAATGCAATCGAGACACTCACTTTTGTCTCTTCAGCCCCTAACTCTCACAGCCTGTAAGTCAAAATTGGCCAATTATATCTGAGGGTTGGAAGAGGTGGAGCTTATGTGAGAACGTACCTTTTCCGTCCCCGCTCCCTGCCCTTTTCCCGTCCTCAACTTCTCAACTTCCACTCCCACTCATCGCCAAGTCCATTGGGAACCATCCTGCCATCCTGCCATCTTCCTTCGGACCACCCAACATCCCAAATTCCAATCAGCTTCCAAGTCCCTCGTATCATCATCGGCGTTCTTAGTCCATTCTAATTATACTTTCAGCTCCCTCTACTTTTGATCGGCTATCAAGTGTGTGCTTCAGCAGTCACAAATCAATGATCATGGAGAAGTCAAGATCTGCCCATCCGTACCTTGGAAATCGTCAAGATGGCGGACCTTTCTATGCAAGATGTCCGACACCAATCTGGTGGAGATGGCCCTGCTCCTTATTCAGGGGCAGGATTCTGGGGCTGGACGGAGAGCGGCCGAGTGGGCAACTTCGTCCAGTCAATTTCCCCCCCTCAATTATGCGGCTGTCCTCCCCCGCGCCGAACATCACACGGATCTTCCCGTGTTGCTTCCAGTCCGTACAAGTGTACTACAGAATCCATGAGATACGAGAATGGTAAAAGCCCGCGTTTACGTGACATGCACCTCTTCGGACAATCGGGTGTCCTACTTACAGTACTCTGACATCTCTACAAATCCACTTCTCCTCCTCATTTTCCAGCTACCAAGACACTTCCACCTAACCCAGTTCCGGAACGGAAGTGAAAAATCCACCGGTTACACAAACCACACAAGGAAAGTCGACGCACACCACCAACGCAGATCTACGACGCCATGGACATTTCGGATTTCGACCGCTCCAGAATCTACCTGAGCTGGGAAGTGAACGGCAAATTTGTAAGTAGCCATGCGTATTTCTTACTCAGTTCTTTCTCGTGACGACATCGCTGACATGAGTATCACAGCATAGTGATGGCCGCGAGGTTGCCCTTCTCGAGTACATTTACAACCGTCCCGACATTGACCAGCTTCGTGGGAACCCACAAAAGGTCCTACAGGCCATCGATGACTTTGCCCGCTCTGTCACCGGCCTAATCAACATTGGCGAGACGAAAGGTGCTGTTGTCACGGACCTCATTGCCCAACATAAGCCTGACACCATCCTCGAGCTGGGCGGCTATGTCGGTTACTCTGCCATCATGTTTGGCGATGCCCTGAGAAAAGCTGGCGGAAAACAATACCATAGCGTCGAAAAGAGCCCCCTCTTTGCCGCTGTTGCCGCAAGCCTCGTCGACTTGGCTGGCCTCAGGGATGTCGTCAGGATCACCGTCGGCACCGGTGCCGAGGGTACTCAACGCCTTTACGATTTGGGAGTGCTCAAGTCCCAGCTTGCCATGGCCTTCTTTGACCATCACAAGCCAAGCTACACCAGTGATCTAAAGCGGTGCGAGAGACTGGGTCTTGTCGGTCCAGGCACCGTCTTAGTCGCCGACAACATGATCTTACCGGGGAATCCACCATATGCTGAGTGGGTTAGAGCCGGTGTTGCCAAGAAGCGAGAGCTTGACAAGAATTCCGAAGAAAAGGGTAACCCTAATCTGCAATACAAGAGCAGGTCCATCAAGAGTTGGGAGCCGAGTGGCCATGAAGACGCACTGGAGATAACCGAGTGCGTGGGCATTGAAGCTTGAACCAGGTCATCTTATACATCAATATGAAGCTGACACTGATGGTCTCGGGAACACATACACTGCAGAAACCTGTGGAGGGGGAGACCAATTCGCCAGCCAGCCACATTCCCCAGATTCTTCCTCAATGGGGAACCATACCTCAGACATGCTTCTGGAGGCGTTAAGACGTGGCTTTTCCTGGAACATTGCGGTTCAGTCCGCTCCTTCGCCGGGATACAGCTCAATGAAACTATAGCTAGTGTTTTGGCTTTTCGATTCGGTAAATAGACTTGTCGGCTCTAGCATGAACCGCAGACACACTGACACAAGGGTCCAAGACACACGATAATTCATTGTTAGAGTACCCGAGAACATGTGTTGTGTTTTCACGCTTCATTGGTCGATGATTGAAACCGTGAGGATCATGGCCTATCGTGAGAGTTGATCATTACGTTAAAATCACAACCCCTCACCATGGCCATTCACTTCTGGAACAGACAGTCGGTTAGGTACAGACAACGGGGAAGCCGAACACTGCAAGTTGAAGGCATCTTGAAATGCGAGTTGTACTTTGACCGTTCTACAACTGATATGCAAAGCACCAAGGTAGCGGTTTCGCCTTCCCCACACTCCTAGATGATACCAGCATGCTTATGATCGAGCCACTGACTTGACAAAGTAGTAAGCTTATAAAAGCATCAATGATGAGCTGTTTTCCTCGGAGAAAGACCTAACTTTGTTCGCCTCCTATGTCACTTTCTCGCCCCAAGCCCGATCAAACACGTTCTTCACAACTCATATTGCCCTGTACTGAAACACTCTCAAACCGTCACCAACGCCCACCATGAGGCTCACCTCAGTGTGGACCAGTGTCGTGCAGGTCTTTAGTTTCCTCACCTTCTCTTCCCCCGAGGACGGTGTGCAAGATCTCTCCTCCCAGCGTCCCCAAATTCCCATCGCCCTGGAAGATGTCGTCCACCATCCCCTGTCCCCGCCCTCCTCCCACCACGGTCACCACCCTATCCCCCCAAGCTCCAACAATGTCAACATTGACGGCGATGAAGTAGTCCCCCTCTACACCGGCGGCAAAGAACGTTCCTACATGATCAACGACCACCCTGTCGTCGGAACCCCCAAAAGTCCCCAGGAAGGAGGTCCTGGTGGCGGACTCAACTGCCATTACCCCGACATGCAGGATTGGGAGCCTTGCTACGGCCCCGAGAACAGAACCTGCTGGTTGAAGCATAAGCATGATGCGGATAAGAGGATTGATATCATGACTGATTATGAGAATGAGTGGGAGATTCCTAAGGGGAAGGTCAGAAAGGTATGTCATACGTGATCATCGTCCTTACACTTGCCTTGAAGGAGCAGAGCTGACAGACACTCTAAAAGTTCTACTTGGAAGTTTCTGAACAACCTATTTCTCCGGATGGGGCTACGATGGAACATGGCAAGGTGTTTAATCGGACTTATCCGGGGCCTTGGCTTGGTTAGTATTTTTCCCTATAAGGTATCCTTAAGGATGTCTCAATGCTGACTGATACTGAACAGAGGCATGCTGGGGTGACTGGCTTGGCACGTATTCACCTTCCTAATCATCATGATTGAATATTGTCATCACTAACAGAACCACAGAGGTAACCGTCAAGAACAACCTCCGCTGGAACGGCACATCCGTCCACTGGCATGGATTCCGTCAATTGGAGTCATTCCACATGGACGGCGTCAACGGCATTACCGAATGTCCCATTGCCCCAGGCGACACCTTCACCTACCGGTTCCGGGCCATGCAATACGGTTCAGCCTGGTATCACAGCCACTACTCCCTTCAATACGGCGACGGCCTTTTGGGTCCCATCACCATCTACGGCCCCTCAACAGCTAACTTTGAGGAGAATGAAGCCTTTAAACCCTTGTTGCTGACAGACTGGAACCATCGCAGCGTGTTCGAGGATTGGCCGCTTATGTTGGAGTCGGGCGAGGCGCCGTCTATGACAAATATACTGATTAATGGCGTGGGACAGTTTGGCAGTCATACGCCGGATAAGTATACGTTGTTTTTGGACGAGGGGAAGAAACATTTGCTGATTCTGATTAACACGGCGGTTGATACGACGTTTGTTTTCAGCATTGATAATCATACACTGGAGGTTGTGGAGATGGATTTCGTGCCGATTGTGCCGTATAATACGACGAATTTGAAGATTGGCATTGGTACGTGATGCTCTTACTCGGACACAAGCTTCTAAACTGACAAAGAGAACAGGCCAAAGATACCATGTCCTCGTCCACGGGTTACACAACCCATACGAGGCCGAGAGATATGGCAACTACTGGATGCGAATCAACCCAGCACGCAAATGCAGCAAGTTCCCCTACGGCCCTGACGAGCAGATGGGTATCATCAGATACAACACATCTTACCAGACCATGGATGTGCCGGCGCCCGATCCCATGTCGGAACCGCCTCTGTACGAGATGACCTGTGCAGACGAGCCGCTGGAAAAGCTGATACCGAAGATTCCTTGGACGGTTGGGAATCCGGTGAATATTGGTAAGTCCGTCCAAGTGTGTCATGAGGATGGGGATCCGTGATAGTGATGAAAGGGAGCTAACTGAAGGTTCACAAGATCCAAACGTCGACCCAAAAACCCTCGCACCCAATAAGCGCTACATCTTCAACGTCGGCCTGACCATGTCCGGCGGTCCCAACACCAGCACGCCTTATATCCCCGATGACCAAGCTTACGTACGTTCTCTCTACCCTTCCCTGCCTCGCAGCACCTCCTTCCTTAATTCACGCACCTCGACACTCAAAGCTAACATATACCACAGGCCCGCTGGGACATGCACATAGCCCCCTTCCGGATCAACTTTTCCGACCCAACCCTCCTCTCCCTCTCCAGCCTTGACTCTTTGATAACCCAACCACACCTTGACATCGTGACCCTCCCCAACGTCGACCCCAACCTAGACAAATGGGTCTGGATGGTGATCACTGCGCCCGATAAAGTCCCCCAAGAAGGAGCCCGCATCTTCTTCCCCGCTGCACATCCGATTCACTTACACGGCCATGACTTTGCGGTGTTAAGACAGAGTAGCAAGAATTGGTACGACGACCCTGACATTGGTCACATTGGTGAGGGAAAGAGGTGGTTTACACCCGACAAGCTGAATTGCGAGAATGAAATGCTGGATTGCGAGAATCCGACGAGGAGAGATGTGGTGTTGTTGCCCGCAAGCGGGTATGTGGTTATTGCTTTTAAGGCTGATAATCCTGGGTAAGTTCATGTGATTCCCAGCCTTGCCCAATCTTCCATAGAGGTAGCATCACCGGCTGACCTTCAAAACAAACAGCGCCTGGATCCTCCACTGCCACATCGCCTTCCATGCCTCGTCTGGCCTGGCTATGCAGATCATTGAGAACAAGGACTTGATTCCGGCTATCATGGAGAAGGATAAGCTGCTTATTGAGGACAGGTGTAAGAAGTGGAGGGAGTGGTATGGCGAGCCGAGGAATCTGTGGGATTGGCACGAGCCGAAGCATTTCCAGGATGACTCGGGTGTGTAGGTAGGCAAGGTAAGGAAGGAGTGGTGAGGTTTTCTTCTGAGCTGAGATTTCTTCAATCCGGGGCATCTGTCTTGGTCTCGAAATCTCCGGGTGGCAGAAGACTTGAAGAGGCCGAGACTGAGTGGGAGGAATCTAGAGTGTCTAGATAGTGATACTTTGCGGATGGGTAATGATGAGGATAATCAGGACCTGGACTACCAAGTAGAAAGTTCCGTTTGTGTAAATGGGGAATCCCTACATCGATTTCTTGGATGTGTGATAGAATCACTTGAGAGTTATCTTCTTTCGGTTTTCGGCAAGTCAAGCCAGGAAAGGGCTCGCTTGTATCGGGTACCGGCCTTCGCGGCGACGACGGCGCAGCGGATGGTCCTAAGTTTCCCTCAGGATAGCAGTGTTGTTCTTCAGTTTTATGAGGTCGGCCGGCCGGCGCTGCCGCAGGCACAGGCGCCATATAAGGTCCGTCATCCAATCCCTCTGGCACAGCGGAAGGGCCTACAGTGGTCTTATGGCTCAGTGGTTAAATGTCCCGACCCCGTTGATGAAAACTGGCTATCTCGTTGGCATACAGTCTTTTGTAGGTTAGCTGGAGCATGTTGGTTCGATGCCAACACAGTCTTAGGCGCGACCGAGCTTTTTGCTCTTTTTTGATCTATTGGTAAATAGTCGAAAGTATTTAAAATGCAGTTTTTTTCTTCTTTTGCTTCTTGTGTTTTGGCTCCTCCAAGAAATAAAAAATAAAGAAATAAAAAAATGATAGGTTGGTCCTTTGGGATGGGAAGGGTAATGAATTGAGGGTGTTGCTTTCGAAACCCCGCCACGGCTCACATCGATACCTCTACGCTGCAACTTAGCCCCCACCTTCAAAGATGCGAAGCTTCCATTGCGATGTTAAATCGATCTACATAGACCATATTCCCAATTGTAAATGCCGAGAATCTCAATGATACAGTTCCGACGATCGAAACGGTGCCGTCCACGCCGGAGCGGGAGCATCAGGGGTCCTGCAGCGCCGATGCCGTAGAGGTACTCATGACGTCAGCGGATCGACGTCATCATTAGACCCTTTTCCGCAGCGGTTCGCATTGGAATCACAAAACTACAAAACCACCATCCTCTTCCCAATTCGCAATTCTTCTTTTCAAAGTACACTCTCAGGATAGTAATCAAACATTACACCAAACTACATCCTAACAAACAAACAAACAAACAAACAAACCACCACCCAACATGTCTTCCAACCCCAACCAGAACACCAACCCTCACATCGACGACCGTGACGCCCAGCCGCAGCCGGGTTTGATCGCCGGACACGCCGAGTACATCAAGGGCGCTGCTGAGGTATGTTTCTCCCTGTCCTTTCCCTCCTCAGTCTCCCCCTTCCCCCTTTTAATCTACACACCCCCTTCCTTCCTACTTTCCATGGTATACTAACAACACTCCCTACACAAAACAGGCCGCAATCGGCAACATCACCGGCTCCCACGCCTGGACCACCTCAGGCGAGCAAGACAAGGCGCACGCCAAGGCCTCGCTACAAAAGGCGTCCGAGAGCCGCGACCCAGCCGCGAGCGGGTACGGATCGGTCGAGGAGACGGCGGGCAAGCTCACCGGCTGCGAGTGGATGAAGAAGGAGGGCGCGGCGTCCAAGAGTCATCATGAGTAAACTACCTACCATAGACGACTGGACTCGACTCGACTCGACTTCTGGCGAGAGGAAGGAAACAAACAAACAAACAAACAACGGGACGAGGAACGAAAGAAAGGATTCGCGAACATAATGATTTAACGACATACGGATATGAGAACGGGAAAGAAGGAGAGAGGGAGGGATTGTATTAATAGGTGGATTGGGTACGGGGTGTATTGATATGGCCATGATATTGAAACCTACGCGCCCTTGTTGAGGGAGGGCTGAATAATTGGAGCTTTACAGATTTTACACGGTTGGGTTGTCCTATGCTTTGGTGTGTTGTGCGGTTAAACGTTCCGAGCTTGGGTACCTCAACCCCTGGGAGCTGGTCACCATGATATTTGACGGGGAGTGTCTCGAAACTTGGCGTACAGAAAGATTGATCCCTTCATGCATTTTTACTTCACTCCTCCAGCAATCAATACAAGGAGCCATGCGTTTGTCAGCCCAGTCAAGAACAAATAGGATAGTACTTTTTCTATTCCAGTCTTGTATATTCAAGATCTAAGCTGGCAACGTGGCTACTCGTATATAGGAACTCCTCAGCAATTTCTAAAAACAAGATCTCCTAATCCAAGATAAGTGCTTTGGTTGTCGGTTTTCCGGCAAGCGGCAAGAGGCAAGAGCTCATTAGCGCGGGAGTCAACTTACTCCTGTGGCAGATAACTCACATAGTCCTCTTTCTTCCTACTGTTAAAAGAGTTCAGAGGCATCGGCCGGCTGGTGACGGTAACCAACGCAGTAGAACTACACTTGTAGTATCACCACCGATACTCATAGGTTCAAGCCCTGACTCTAACAAGACAACGGGTGGATGATAGCCACCAACGTCGTTATGGTATCAAGTAGTCCAATTTCCCAACCACGGCATCGGAGACGGAAACCAAACGCAGGCGTACGGGATCGAAGTAACAAATGAACAAGCGAGGAGGGAAAAGATGGTGGGCTCCCTACTTAATTTAAACTAGTTGACAGAAGAATGCGTCGTTAGTCCCAAGATGCTCTCAACAAAATCTCATGCAGTATGTACAAGTTGGAGTTTGAATGAATTTCCGAGAAAATCAGTGCGTGTGAAGTTGGTCTCATGGCCCGAGGGCTCTGAAGTAGCAAATACTTTTTTTATAGAAAAAAAATGCATGCATCATGGTGTCGGGATCCGGATTTGGGTGGATAGAAGGGAGGTTATAACGTACCTTTAAGAGATGAACGGGCAGAAATGGTGAGGAACCGTAACATGAGATACGAGGACCACTGTAGCTCTTCAGGCACTCTAGAACTAGGTATTCTTGCTGCTGTTACTGTTCACCGAGGACCTTGATGCCTACCTGGAAGCTGACCAGCTCTGACAATTCCCACATCTGCTGGCCAGACAGACCCCGTGGCATATGCTCCGGGATACATCTGATGAGAAAACATCCAGGCGGCACAAACAGGAAGGGGCGAACAGAGGATTTGTGTCATCGCCCATGGGACAAGAAGTCTTCCTGACGATTCACGGCACCTGCAGCCACGGTCCCGGCGCATCGCCCGATGTGGCCGGCCAAGCCGGATGTGCACCGGGGCAAACGCTCCTGATGTTGCCTGGTGAACAAGCCGGATGGCGTCGTGGTCGGCTGGAGCGGTGATGGTACCCGTTCCCGGTGCGCGGACGGCGTAGTGGCGAGTTTCGGCTTGGGACGGGTATCAGTGGAAGACTAAAAGAGGAAGTTCCGAAACATGGAAGATTTGAAAAGAACATCGATTTTGCCTGTCTGAGAAAGTTTTTCTTGAAGGGGGGGTCGAGACAAAGCTTGCTGGGTTAAAGTTTCAGCAATATTTTGCCAAGACATTCTCGAAGACCCATCTCGTCCGGGCGTGCCTGGCCATTTCAATGTCCTGGCACTTGCACCTCATACGGGCACGAGCCACGCACACACAGGCACAGCCCAGACACACACAAAGAAGGCCCTGCGCCTAAGACGCACTTGCCTGCCGCTTGCGGCAGCCTGCCAGGGACAAAATCCCGTGCAAAGAGACCCTCGGGACCGTAGGGTTAACGAGGGCCGCCGCTGCAGTGAGCGAACCAGAGCTTGTCTGAGGTCAGCATGCAACATGCAAAACCGAGAAATCTTCCAACCCCCCTTCTCGCTTCCCCCACAGCTGCCGGCCTGCCGCAGCCTGCACTAACAGGGACCCATAGAAAAGTTGACTGTGCATTGTTTATCGTGAGCTAGCAGGCATCGTTGGCGTGGGCGGGGATCCCGATATGCCCCGGATTTTGGCTGACGGGAACGGAGGGGCCAGACCTGACTTGGGTATAAAACGTAAGAGAGAGAGGAGGGGTACCGTACGCAGTATACGTGTTCGCGATGGTTATTAACAACATTAAGGGTTGCGAAGGTGCGAAAAGTTGGAAAAAGAAGCAAAGGAAGACAACGAAAAGATGCGGTGAGAGACGTGGCTGAACAGCCAGAGTCCAGCAAAGAGAAGCATGGCCAAATGTACTGTAAGCAGAAGTTGGGGTTGGAGACAAATGAACTTCAGACGGTAGAAGTGAGGTGACGCAGGCCGCAGCTGGTACTGAAATGGCAGACGGTATCACAGCCCCAGGGCATGAAGCGGGTGCCGTACGCGCATGTGGGATGCGAGCTGAACTTTGATAGGCAGGAGGTACCGTGAAGTACATGACAAACGGACGAGGCCCTCCCTAACAAACTTGAACAGTGTTCTCGAAGTGTTCCCCTTTAGCGTTCCCCTTTAGCGTTTCTTTGTCAGAATCATCAAGACATCAGAGACTGAGCTGGGTGGCAACGTTTTGCCAATGACTTAAGGGACGAGCTATGGTGATAGGATGGAGGGAGGCGAAAATATTTCCTAGCAAGATGGCTTCAGTGGTATAAACTCGACAATATCGTGAATGAGAAGTACTACCCTCGATAAGGCAACGTATAGTGTAAACGGGGACGTACTATGGGTGGCAAAGAAAGAACAATACTGTGTAGAATGACTGGAGACAGAGCAATGTCTATGTACTGATAGGCTTGCCCGATTCCCATCTCAATGAATCTCTTCGGCGTGACAACCATATCTGGGGCTGGTAAAGTACAAACTTGTACAGTCCAAGGACGGAATACGGGCCAAAGGTGATGAGTGGAAAGGGACACGGCAGAGGGCAGCATGTGTCGCATCCGGATCTGGTTTCTGGTGCTGATGTCTCCTATCGAAATCATCCATCTCACCCACCATCCCACGTTCACAGCTTCATGCTTGATTGATGTGATGCTTGTGATTCCCCAACCCTTTGTGAGGCTTATCCCCGAGATTGCATCGCAGTCATCCACGCCTCAACTGTCCTGGTACTATGTCTGGATGTACAGACAAAAACACCACACAATCATGAAGAGAGGAGAGTGGTTTGTCAAGAGACTTGATGGACTCCATATCGCAGACAAGAAACAGGGAGACACTTGTCATTGCTTGTTTTTCCCATCCTGAAGCTCATACCACTGCCCCACCAAGGCGGCCATGGCGATGGAGTGTGCACTCGAACAAACCCCATCAACTTGCCACACGAGTTTGATGCTTGGGACTCTGGTACTCGGACTGTCGAGGGGCCTGCAGTCTCAGAAGCTTGGCCCCCTTTGCCGAGGAACGCTCTCCAATAACGGACACAAATGAATGATGCTGATGATGGACATGAAGACGCCGTTCAATGCAGAGACGACGGAAAGTCTGAAACTCTGGCCAGCACTCAATTTTTGGCACAACGCTCCGGCTCACCGCCCTCTTCGGCGGCCAGATTAGGAATGGTGGGGGCGTCTGATAAAGAGATAAGCAGGGATCCTCAAGGATAGGCAGGGATGTCTGAGTCGGCAGCCCTCCAGCGTGTTTGGGCCTGAAGCCAATCAATGGAGGGGCAAAGAGAGGAGGGAGTCGTTGAATTCCTGTCAACCACCAGACGCCTGCTTGTGATGATTTTGCTTCACTTGTGAGAGCGCCATGAATGCCCGAGACCGAGTTCAGACCGAATAACCGGGATTGCCCCAGAGCTGTGAAGTAGCAGAGGCGACGATTGTATGTGCAGGGTTCGAGTGAATGACGAACACCACCAAACCTGAAGAGGCAAATGTGCCAAATTTGGTGATGCCAAATCCGTGAAGATGGTCAGTGAATTGCACCCGGTTGCGTGGGCTGGGGGATTTGTAAAACCCTGGCCACGTTGCCAGGTTCCCGTTCTTTGCCTGGCCGGCGAACGAAAAAAAGGCTGCATCAAAACCTGGGCCAGTGAATGGGTGGAAGGAGTGAAGGGAAAGAGAGAAAAAACTTTTTCGGCCACGACGCCCTCCAATCACCCCGCCTCCTGGGCTCAGACCCCCCTCTTTAGCCCCTCTACCCCCCTCCACCAGTGCCATTCAAGTGGATCCCTCAACCACTTCACCACGCCCAAACTTTTTTTTTTGCTGCTGCACAAGGTTGCGACGACAGAAAAAAGCCTGTGCGCACATCCGTCGCCGCCTGCAGCAAAATCCGCCGCCCAGCAAAAACCACTCCACAGGGACCTGGTTAAATATTTTGCTCCGTCCCCCGGCCCCATCCAGCTGCCCTCCTCTCCTCTTCCTTTTTTCTCAGGTTTGACCTCCATTCTTTTCTAATCGACTGTTTCGTTCTCCGCGAACGCCCTCCACTCAGTCTTTTATTTTCTTCGCGCGACTTCTTCAGAAGAGCCGAATCTCGAGTCAGGAACCCTTTTCGACCCTCCATCGAAAACCTCCGACTCTTCCCACTTCAAGTCGCTTGCTTCGATTAGACCGACGGCACTTGTTCTTTTTTGTTCTCCCGATCTAGACACCAACTCTTTCAGTCGACTCCGACCAAATCAGTCATCATGTCCGCCAAGGAGAACGCTCAGAGCCTCAAGGTTCTTGATGAGCTCATGCAGAAGCTCACCATCGCCAACGAGGCCGATGCCGTCAAGGAGGCTTCCGCCGCTGTTGCCTCTTTCATCAACGGTCGCATCGAGGACCTTGATACCCCCGTCAAGTAAGGCTTCCTCACATCACACTTCTTTTTGTTGCTGGGCCGCATCAGCCTGTCCATTGCCCATCCCATGGGATACATTGGCGCTGGGGAAAATTTCAGCATCGCATTTAGCGCTCGAAGTGTGTCTGCCCCGCCAAAAGTGGAGTGGGGGGCTCGCTCTGTGTGTAATGCTGTTGAAAGACATGGATCACAAATGCCTCTCCCAAGTGGCCTTCCAGCATGACGGTGCCAAATTAGACGAGCCGACTCTTTGTTGGGGTCGATTCTGTCGAATGAGCATTGTGTATCACTGGATACAGGCACCGATGTCCAGTCGGGCAATCCCCTACTACGCACAAACACAGACACAAAAAAATTGGAGAACCCTATACTAACATGTGAACCACCACCAGGACTGTCGAGGCGCTCAAGAAGCAGCTCGCCAACAAGAAGGATGCCAACGCTCGCGAGAAGGCTCTTTCTGCCATCCAGGCTATCGCTCAGCACAGCGAGGTTTCCGCCCATGTTGAGCCCTACCTGATCTTCCTCCTCCCCAGCGTCTTCGCTGCCGCTGGTGACAAGATCACCGCTGTCAAGAACGCCGCCATTGCTGCCGCTCTTGCCATCGCCGAGGCCATCAACCCCAACGCTGTCAAGGCCACCCTCGCCCCCCTCATCGACACCATCCGCAACGCCCAGAAGTGGCCCGAGAAGATGACCGCCCTTGACTTCATCGACACCCTCATCCGCACCGCCCCCGTCCAGCTCGGTCTCCGTGTCCCCGACCTCATCCCCGTCGTCTCCGAGGCCATGTGGGATACCAAGAAGGAGGTCAAGGAGCGCGCCTACCAGACCATGGAGAAGCTCTGCCAGCTTATTGTCAACCGTGATATTGAGCGTTTCATTCCCGAGCTCATCAAGTGTATCGCCAAGCCCGAGAACGTCCCCGAGACCGTTCACTTGCTCGGTGCCACCACTTTCGTCACTGAGGTCACTGAGCCCACTCTTGCCCTCATGGTTCCTCTCCTTGATCGTGGTCTTGGTGAGCGTGACACCGCCATCAAGCGTAAGGCCGCCGTCATTGTCGACAACATGTGCAAGCTCGTCGACGACCCCAACGTTGTTGCTCCTTTCTTGCCCAAGATGATGCCCGGTCTCCAGAAGAACTACGACAACCTCGCTGATCCCGAGGCTCGTGAGAAGACCAAGCAGGCTCTCGACACCCTTACCCGCGTCGGTAACGTTGTTGACGGCAAGATCCCTGAGGCTCGCAACCCCGGTGATATCAACATCGTCCTCGGCCACCTCAAGGAGATCATCGGCAGCAAGTACGCTGCCGCCTTCGAGAAGTTCACCCCCATTGTCGACTACGTTGCCGCCGTTGCCGGTCAGCTCGTCGATGAGAAGGCCACCGAGTCCTCCATCTGGGCTGAGGCTGTTAAGCCCTACCTCACCGTCATCGTTGGTGACGCTGAGTCTGAGTCTGTCACTGATGCCCTCCGCAAGGCTGCTACCCCTGGTGCCGCTGAGGCCGATGAGGCTGAGGCTGACGACGAGGAGGGTGAGGATCTCTGCAACTGCACCTTCTCCCTTGCCTACGGTGCCAAGATTCTTCTCAACCAGACCCACCTGCGTCTCAAGCGTGGCCAGCGCTACGGTCTTTGCGGTCCCAATGGTTCCGGCAAGTCCACTCTCATGCGCGCCATCAACAACGAGCAGGTCGAGGGCTTCCCCAAGCAGTCCGAGGTCAAGACCGTGTTCGTTGAGCACGACCTTGATTCCGAGGATACTGAGATGACCACCATTGACTGGACCATGAAGAAGCTCAAGGAGGCTGGTGTCGAGACTTCCCGCGAGGATGTCGAGGCCAAGCTCTCCGAGTTCGGCTTCAACCCCGACATGATCAAGAACGACATTTCCGCCCTTTCCGGTGGTTGGAAGATGAAGCTCGCCTTGTGCCGTGCCGTCTTCGAGGCTCCCGATATTCTCCTCCTCGATGAGCCCACTAACCATTTGGATGTCAAGAACGTTAAGTGGCTCGAGGATTACCTCAAGAGCTCCCCTTGCACTTCCATCATCGTTTCTCACGACTCTGGCTTCCTCGACAACGTCTGCCAGCACATTGTCCACTACGAGCGCTTCAAGCTTAAGCGTTACCGTGGTAACCTCAAGGCCTTCGTCGCCCGCAACCCCGCTGCCAAGTCCTACTACGAGCTTGGAGAATCCGAGATGGAGTTCTCCTTCCCTGAGCCCGGTTTCCTTGAGGGTGTCAAGACCAAGGCCAAGGCCATTCTCCGTGCCACCAAGATGTCCTTCCAGTACCCCGGTACCGCCAAGCCCCAGATCTCCGACATCTCCTTCCAGTGCTCGCTCGGCTCCCGTATTGCCGTCATTGGCCCCAACGGTGCCGGCAAGTCCACCCTCATCAACGTCCTCACTGGTGAGCTCATCCCTACCCAGGGTGAGATCTACCAGCACGAGAACATCCGTATTGCCTACATCAAGCAGCACGCTTTCGCCCATATCGATAACCATCTCGACAAGACCCCCTCCGAGTACATCCAATGGCGTTTCCAGACTGGTGAGGATCGTGAGACCATGGATCGTGCCAACAAGATCATCACCGAGGCTGATGAGGAGGCCATGAACAAGGTCTTCAAGGTCGAGGGTACTCCCCGCCGTGTCATTGGCATTCACAGCCGTAGAAAGTTCAAGAACTCCTACGAGTACGAGTGCTCTTTCGCCCTCGGCGAGAACATTGGCATGAAGAACGAGCGCTGGGTCCCCATGATGACCGCTGACAACGCTTGGTTGCCCCGTAACGAGCTTCTCGCTTCCCATCAGAAGATGGTTGCCGATGTCGATATGAAGGAGGCCCTCGCTTCCGGTCAGTTCCGTCCCCTTGTCCGCAAGGAGATCGAAACTCACTGCGCCAACTTCGGTCTCGATGCCGAGCTTGTTTCTCACTCCCGCATGCGTGGTCTCTCCGGTGGTCAGCGTGTCAAGGTCGTCCTTGCCGCCTGCTCGTGGCAGCGTCCTCACTTGATCGTCCTCGACGAGCCTACCAACTATCTCGATCGTGATTCTCTTGGTGCCCTTTCCAAGGCCCTCAAGAAGTTTGAGGGTGGTGTCATCATCATTACTCACTCCGCCGAGTTCACCAAGGACTTGACTGAGGAAGTCTGGGCTGTCATGGACGGCAAGATGACTCCTTCCGGCCACAACTGGGTTCAGGGCCAGGGCTCCGGTCCCCGCCTCAAGGAGGATGATGGTGAGGAGGAGGAGAAGTTTGATGCCATGGGCAACAAGATCGTCTCCACCAAGAAGAAGGCCAAGCTTTCTTCCGCCGAGCTCCGTAAGAAGAAGAAGGAGCGTATGGCTCGCCGCAAGCGTGGTGAGGAGGTACGTCTAACAATCCACTACCCCTTGATGTTTGCTCAACAGGTTCACTAACTCGTTTTCAATAGGTCTTCTCCGACGAGGACGACTTCTAAATCACTCGTTGCTGATGGGTGGTACAAGACTGATTTCACTTTGTCAACGGAGATCAAAAGTTGCTTTTTCTGGGTCCGGTTTGCATGGTCAGGCATCGTGGGTTTTGCGTCTACTTTGGTGTTATGAGCTTTTAGATCATAATTTCTCTTGCGTGACGACCGTTGCAGCGTATCGTTCTAGAACTGGGTGACCGGAAGGCAAGGATCAGGAACGCTTGGGGACTGGAGACCCCTGAGATGGTCCTGTCCATTCTGATGTCTTCAAGGTGTACCCGAATGGAGGATTAAAATGGAGGATACCCAACGTGGATATTACGAAAGAGATGCATGATGTTCTAGATGATAGACGACTTAAAAGTCACACTTGATTACAACAACACATGTCTATTTGTGCAATGTCCTTGTGCTTCTCGACGTTGAATTTTGTGTGATTCTTCGGAGTGTCTTAGCCGTCTTTTGGTGTTTAAAGCTGGCCTTTCACACGTCACGTGACTTAACACATCAAGACAAATACTAGGCAAACTTCTGGCGATGATACTTCCAACATCATATTCCTGACACTGACAATCCCATATATTTGTTCCGTTACCCTCATGAACAATGCATGGCAGCGCACGTTCGCCATATGATGTAGCGATTCTCGTACTTCGGTATCCAGTGATACGTCGAGTCACCTCATTTATTTATTTACACTCTACAACAACGGGCAAGCCTTGCATCAATCACGCTCTTCGTTATCTTTCTTTGGGTATCATATGTACGCAGTTCGCTTATACAACCAAGTACTCCCCTCTTCCTATTTACAACACCATCACTCCATCTCCCTCCGTATCCAACACTGTCATGTCATATCCAAGAAACCTCCCCCGCTCGTCCATTCGTACATTCATTCAAGGAATAACCTCCAACCGATAAACAGCCTCCCAATCCTCAATCTGCTGCTGCGTCTTCTTACCACCCTTACCCAGTCCAAAGCTGGAAACACCCATCTTCGACTCCTCCTCCCTGATAATCTCCGACAGTCTCTTACCACCCTTTCCATTACCCTTACCGGCTCCCGGGCGACCGCCACCATTGCCATGGCCCGGCTTGGGACCCTTGCCCTTACCAGCCTTGATCCCACCAACATTACACTTGCCCTTGTTGAAAGCAACATCCGCCGCTCGCTTCCACACAGCGCTCACATCCTTGACCATATCCAGCGTCCAAAACAGCCTACACTCGGACTCCTCGACCACGAACTGGGCCGGGATGCCGTCGTTGACGTTATCGCGCAGAATCTGGTCGCGCACGTTAACCGCCGCCGAGCTCGATCTGTTGATCGGTAGAAGGGAGAACTTGGACAAAGCCTTCTTCTGCGCTTCGGTCTTGGCGAAGGGGAGGTATTTCTTGGCATAAGAGTAAATGTTGCGATACTGCAGGACCTGCGCGCCCTTGACGCCGCCGACGCCCTGGATGAGGTTACGGTTAGGACGACCGCCCATGGCGATGGATTGGACGCCGGCCTGGATGCGCAAGAACTCGGAAGCCAGGGTGCAGGTAGAGGCGCACACGCCGTCGTAGAGGATGACGATGTTATCGGCATCAAAGGGCTGTTTCACTACGGAAGGGTTGAGGGACCCGTAGCCGGTGATCTCGATGCCCATCCCGTACGTGTCGTTGGTGGTGGTCAGGTTATCGTTGAGGTCCCAGCGCATGAGATTGGTGTATTTGGTGTTCTGGTAGATGTGCGGGGCGAACTTGGCGTCGAAGGTGCGGAAGGGCTGGTTGGTCAGGTTGAGGTCGTAGCGGTAGTTGAACCAGGACTCGTAGTCCTCGACCAGGTCGCCGTCGGGGTTAGTGTACGGGTTGATTCCTGCTACGCGGTCGGACACGATCTGCGCCATGGCGTTGTACGAGTCGGTTTCCTTCCAGCGCGAGTAGCCGTCTTGCACGATGGACGGGAACAGCTGGCGGAAGAAGTCGTACCCTTGGAGGATGTAGCCGCCGCCGTTGTTCTGGAAGTCGACGATCAGCTTGGTTTTGCCCGCGGCGACGGCTTCGGCGATGAAGTCCTGCACCACGGCCTGGAACTCGGCGATGGAGTCGGAGGAGAAGGCGAGCAGGGCGATGACGGCTACGTCTTCGTAGCCCTTGCCTTCGAGGAAGTAGCCGGATACGACGGCGTCAGAGGTGATGATCACCGGCTTGGGGTAGCCGGGGACGTTCGCTGCGGGAGCGGCCTCGACGGCTTCGGCGGAGCTGGCGATGGTGGAGACGCCGTTGGGGTTGCAGAACTTGGCGTAGTAGGCCGCGCCCGAGGCGACGCCTGTCATGTCGGCCTTGACGGCCGCCTGGTTCTCGAGAGTCACGCTGGTGCCGTTGGCGAAGGTCAGGGTGGTGTTGGCGCCCTGGTAGATGTACCTGATACGGCCGCCGTTGGCGAAGTAACCCGTGGACCCGCTGTTGGCAAAGGTCGCCTTCTGGTAGAACATGGAGTTGTAGTTGGCGTCGGGGTCCTGGCTGAAGCCGGCGGCGTCGATGGTTTTGGCCAGGTAGGTGGCGGCGTCGATGCCGTTGATCAGCTTGACGACGGAGGCGGTCTTGGGGTTGGCGAGCACGTCCTCGTACACCTTGATGACGGGCAGGGACTTGCCATCCTCGCTGATGGAGATCAGGGAGCGCTGGCGGCGCCACTCGAACACGCGGGTCAGGGCGTCCGGGTAGAAGACGAAGTGGCCGTCGTGGCCGGGGCCGAAGACGGTGGTGTACAGCTCCTGCTGGAACTGATACTCGTTGGCGTACTGGTTCGCCTGCAGCTTGGCCTTGACGTTATCAAGAGCGCCAAAGAGGTCGTAACCCGGGTAAGGGTACTCTCTGGGCGGCTTGGTCTTGTATGCCGAGTCACTCTGCCAGTCGATGTAGGGCCTGAGCGAATCCACGAGCTCGATAGCGGCAGCCTTTCCGAGAGGGATCGAGTTCAAGCACTCATAAGCAAGAGCCGCTGCCACAGTTGGGGTAGCTTGATGTCTGTCAGCCCAGGTTCTCCCATCAAATATGTCAAGATTTCAACTCACCTGACGGGTTGGCAGCCTTCTGGGAAGCCCATGAGCTGCTCACAATGGCACAAGGCTCGCTGGTAGGGACAGTTGGGCTTGCCGTTGTGGTGGTGACTGGCTTGGAAGCGGCCGAGTCAATGACGGCGGCCAGTACGGCCGGTACGGCCCAGAAGTGTCCACGCATCTTGATACTTGGAAAAGGCTTGACGGCGCGTGAAGAGGCCCGAAAGCCAAAAACCCCAAAGCACGAGACATCGTGACTCTTATACTTCACGATTCGAATCGTTCAAAATCGCCTCTTATTATATCACGCAATAAGTCCCCGGCTCGAGGCCGGCCAGCCAGGATAGAATCCGGCAACCGGAAACCATCTGGAGGACTTGTGCCTGGCCATGATGCATGAAACCCTGGAAGTTGATGAGAAATCGGAACTCGGACGGAGAGAAAAAGGCGTGATGACAGGGGGCCAAGAGAGTCACCTTCTCGTTGTGGAAGGTGAAGTTGCATCTGTTAGCGGGAACACTAAGAGGAAAAGGGGGGTAAACATGGGGTACCATGGTCCGCCGATGCAGAGAACGGATGCCGGCTGAGGGAACACTGGAAAGGCAAATACGAGAGAGCAAGAAATCCGGAAGGTCGCAAAGACGATGTTGGATCATCAACCTTAATCTACATCCCGTCGTGCATTACACATTGCACGGACGGCAGGACATGTCATGTTGATGCATGGCTCTCGAGCGTTGCCGTGTTTACTTACTACTGTTAGGCGATGATGGATGAATGCCAGATCGAGATGGTGAACACTAACAGCTTCACTAACAATTGCACCAACACCAACAGTAGCACTAGAGGTGCGCTAGCAGCTGCACTAACAATTGGAGAACCCGACCTGCAGTCGAGAGCCGCGGCATCCCGTCTGGAGTTACGGTGCCGGTACAGTGCGTGCATGAACCACAGCGGTGCCTGACAGTTGACAGCTGGACAAGCAAATCCTGGGCACTTGGCAGGTGTCTGAGCTGACCCCACACTCAACAACACTCATTACGAGGTACATACCTCCTCCCTCTTCTCCTCTCTTTTCTTCCTCCTTCACATCTTCATGTTCCCGATGCCAAACCATGAATCCAAAGATTCGCGACATAGGATACATTATGGATTCAGATGCGTTGAGCTTTGCTCACCATTGTCCTCATTCATGGCTGGTCAAAGAAAGCCAGAAGCGGAATCAAACAAGGACAAAAACGGGCAGCTTCACTACGCCGGAACAACCTCTTTGTGTCGGGAAGTCTACTCGTTATTTACATGACATACTCAATATACGTTTCTAGTTTGCTCAACATCATGTTCTTTTCTCCTATCGTCATTCCTACTACCCAAATTTGCAATCATGAACGCCGACGACTCCGACGGCGACGACATCAGAGGCTGGATGTGGGATAAGTTCCAAAACGCCATCAACACCATTCATGAGAACACCTATGACACAGTCCTTGAGGAAACGCAGGAGACGGACGTTCCCAATCTTGTCCCACGATGGACCCATCCCAACTGGCCACAGCAGGGCATCCCACTTCCCCCAGAAGAAATAGTCCCGCAGGAGGGTTCAGAAGCCGTCATCAAGGGTGATGCTACGTCTCGGCTACGGCCAGCTCTCCTACCCGAGGACAAGTGGCACACTCCGACCAGATATGCCCTGCGGTATGGCATATTCCCCGATGATGACTTCCGCGGTCCTCGACATGGCCGGTCACGCATGTCCCCTATAACAGAGGCCTTCGAGCACGAGTACGACAATTTGGATCAGCCGGCACCGTACTCGCTTGCCAACATCGCTGAAACCATTGCTCAATTCAAGACGAATTTTGTGGAAGAAGAGGTCTATGCAGATGATGAGGACTATCAAAGGGCCTTGTTCCATGGATTCACTACCCACGAGGTGGGTATTCTCCAACCAGACCCGTTTATCCTGTATGAGAATGTGATTAGGAATTGAGATCGGCTAACGTCTACTGGTATTGGGTCAGAGAATTAATTGGAAATCTGAGCCCTTGCACCCAGACTTTGACCCTCAGGAGAGTAATCTCAGTGGAAACCTTCACAAGTACGAATCACTCATCCTCTAACTGCTGGTTGGCTCCATGTAGTAGCGAAACTGACTGTCTATAGTTTGCTGGCGAGAGACCAGAAATGGCTCAGTGTGGGCGAAGCCAGTCGCCCGAGGTACAATCTTTGCGGTAAAACAGGTGAATATTCTGTGGTACGTTAGCAGCACTTAGTTACATTCCCACCATACCACTGGATATGGGTGTTGACATCTTTTTACAGGACGATGAGGAACTCTGGACAGCTTTACAGCCAGCTCTCCAGCTCGTCACTCGAGTTTTACAAATGAACCATCCTTTCTGGCGAGCATGTCTGGACTATCTTTGCGCAATCGAAATTCCGGAGCATCGCAAAAGCGAAAACCATCAGGATAAAAAGCTCATCTACATCGACCCCGACGAGCCCAAGGACTTTTTCAGAAAACTGGGCGCTTCGACAAGAGCAAGACTCGCCTTAGAGTATCTCCAGGAAAGAATCTGGTTCAGCATCAAGTCAAGCCATCATTTCAACGTTGTATGCACAGGAAAACGGAATCCAGACGACACCACCGGTGAGACGGTGCCGTTCCATCGACATAACCCTGTCAATTTCCGTCTCGAAGTCGTGATTGCTGCCGAGATCATGTGGCCTCTGCTTGTGCCGGAGTACAACATCGTCGAGAAACAGAACTGTTCACTCGTAATTGGGACTACCATTCTTCACGAGCTAGCTGTATGTTTGTCCTTGCCCCATTTTCTGTCCCGCTGCATAATGCTGACTCAAGCATCCATCGTCAATAGCATGCCGCCCACTTTGCCATGCATGCCCAGAGCGCAGACCCTGCAAATCCAGAAATCCGTGATCGAGCCTGGGACGATCCCTTCTGGGTCAATGAAGGAAAAGCTGAGATCGGATATGCCTTTGAGAATCAAGTAAGCAGGCAAACCACTATCAACCCGTTGTGGCTCTTAGTTACTTAACCATTTCCACGTTATTACACTGCTGACAAGATCTCACCACAACAGCTATGGGGCGGCACTCTCAAACCTCCGCACCAAGCCGACATCGCCCGATTCTTGCCCTACCGCACCTGGCCCATCGACATCTGCCTCTGGCAATGGCCCAATCCATCAGACATCAAGGACCATGCCAACAGCGCCAACTACCTGCCCGACGCTTTCCTGCCCACCTCCAACGTCGGCACGCTGATCCAGCTGCAAGATGTCCACCGCCTGTTTCAGCAGAGCTTCTGGGACAACAATGTGCCCATCTACGGTCACCGGGCTCTGCGGTTCCCCACGACCGGCAGACCCTCTTTTACCGCGCCGGCAGGTGCGGATGAAGAACAGCGGAGACAGGATTGGTACGCGATCTTCGGTCTGTCTAGAGGGAAATGGCTGAGCACGGCGGTGAGGGCGTTCAGGGCGGCTGGGTATGGCATGGTGAGTGAGTACCTAGGCCATCTCGTCGACGAGGAGTTGGTGGGCGTGCGAATCAAGAGCCGTTGGGATGAGGAGAAGAAAAGATGGTCGGGCCGTGATGCGAAGCTCAAGGCAGCAATGGAAAAGATCCCACTCAGCGCACTGTCCAACATGCCTGGTGAATCCGCAACAAGCGTCACCCAGATGAATGCCCGCTCTACCACCCAGGAGCTGCTCTCCGCTTTGCAAGACTTCCGCAGCCTAGTGCTAGCTGAGCTTCAGCACTCCCAGCGCATGACAGTCGAATTCCTGCAGCTCTCTGACGTCGACAAGAGCTACCTCCAGGTCCAGCTCTGGAAGCTTCAGCAGCGGATGTCGTCCTACGGACGCAAGGTGCACAGAGTCAAGGAGCTGTCTCTTCCGGTCAAGATAACCCGCTGGCTGCAAATCGTGTCTCTCGATGCGCAGCTGATCTCGTCCATCAACGAGGTTGTCGCGTCCCTCACGATGCTCGACCTCTCTCTAAAGCAAACCAGCGAATACCTGAACAAGAGCACCATTTCGAAAATCGAGTTCACCGAGTTAGCAAAGACCATGCCCTCCCTCGTGGACACCGTCCACCGCTCCCGGTCCCAGCGTCTGCAGAAGATTGCGCAGCGGGATGTGTTCAACATGCCGCGCATGTTCCGGCAGCTGTGGGATAAGTTCCATTCGGTCTTTGGACGAATCGCGATGAAACTTCAGGCGGGGACGCTGAGGGTGAAACCATATCACAAAAGAAAGAACAAGAAGGGGAAAGGGAAACAGCGAGCAACAAGCCCTGGCACGGATTACGACTCTGATCTTGACATGGACCGCCTTAACCTCAGTGACAGCCCATCCAAACAATCAAGATCACCGAGAACGGCTTATCCACAGGGTCCGCCGGGTCCGGCACCAGCACCGAGACCAACGACGAGGGTCATCTCAGAACGGGAAGCAATCTTGTCAGGAGAGGCCTTTACCAGTCTGCAAATTAGACCACGGGGGGCACCGGCTAACAACCTCCCTCAAGGAATCTCCCTTTCAAGGCACAACTTTGGAAACCTGGAAATTAGGTCCCGTCCACTACCGCCACCAGCAGCCGGCGCTAAGCGTGGACGAGGAGATGATGATGATGACGATGAGGATGAACAACAGTTGCCGGCTACCAAGCGACAACTGCGCCCAAATCAAGTCCTCCCGCCACGGAGATTCGCTTGTCCACCTGTTGGTGGCGGTATTCCATCTTCATCACCAGCGGCTGGTGCTTCCCGTTCTGCTTCGGGTGCTATTTGGACTTCTTCGTCTAGTTCTGCTTCTGATGATGGTTCTAGTGAAAGTTCCAGTGATGATTCGCGCAGTGATCCTCGTGGTGGACCTTATGGTGGCCCTGGTGGTGGTTCACCAGGTGCAGGTGCCATGGAAGAAGACAGCTCCTCAGACGACGAGTTGATACCTGAAGAGGATTATAACGAAGGCGACCCCTGGAGCCCCGATAGTCCCTCAGTATTCGGAGATGCCATGGACATCAGTCCCCCCGGTGACAACGGCGGCAGAGGCATGGGGATGGCAGCGCGCTCCCAACACCCTCGTCGTCGTCACGTCGGTAGTGATTCTAACTCCGACTTTGACTCGTCTTTCTACAGCTCAACCCGCTCCTACTCATCCTCGTCTTCAGAGTCCGGCATCGTAGCCAACGACCCCAATCTCGCCGACCCCTTTACGGACGCCCCTCCCCCTCAACCCCGTAACACCACTAATACCAGGAGCATCACTAACAACCCCTCCCAACGAGGCCGATCTACCACCACACCGACCACTCCCCAACGCAGCCCCCGTGCTGCTCGCACAGGCAGCCCCCTCCGTACCCCTCCCATGCGCGCCCCCTCCCAGTCTCCCTACCGCACCCCACCCATGCGCGCCCCCTCCCAGTCTCCCTACCGCACCCCACCCCCGGCCTACACCAAGACTCCCCCCGTCCACTCCAAATCGCCTCGTCACATCCTTGAAGGTCCTCGTCCCCGTCGCCGTTCCACACCAGGCCACTCCCCCCTCCAAGGCCCTCGACCCTCTCGTCAACCCCACCGGGCCAACGCCAATAACGCCGACGAAACCCCCCCTCCCTCATTCCTAGACACAGTAGGCCTCGCCGACCTCGCCGACCTCACCATGGGCAACCTCGGCCTCAACTCCCCCGCCGGCCGTCCAGCCACAGACGGCGACATCCGTAATGCTCGCACACCTAATACCCCCGAGGACTTTGTTCGTGGCGCTGGCGCTCTTTTAGGAGGAGCAGGCGACTCACCTACCATGACCCGGGGAAGAACAACGCCGGGGAGCGCCATGCGGGGATTGCTGGATCCGTTGAGTAGGTTGAATTTCTTTGGTACTTCGCCTACTACGTCTCCAACTAGGGGGTCTGCGGCACGGGCACGGGCAGCACCTGGGGCGCCTGGGGGCGCCTGGTAGGAGACGTGCTGGTGGTGGTGGGAATGCTGGGGCTGGAGCGGGAGCGGGAGCTGGAGCAGGAGCAGTAGCACTGCCTATGCCTAGGGGACGAAGGGGCATGGATATTTTTGAACGGCGGAGGGCGCCGTTTGCTGAGATGGATGTACCTAATTCTCCGAGACCGATGGTGAGAGGTGCTCCTGGGGCTCCGAGAGGTAGTCCAAGAGGTAGTACAAGGGGTGGTCCATGGGGTACAACTACTAGGGGTGCTCGAGGTGCTCCAAGGGGTGGTAGGAGTGCTCGGGGTGCTGGTCCTTCGGGTGCTGCTCCAAGGGGTGCGAATGCTGGTGCTGTTCCGAGTGGCGGTTGGGGTGGTCTGGGAGATGTTTTTGGTGATGATGGCGGGAGTTCAGCAGCAGCAGCAGGGCAGAAGGAGAATTCAGCTGGTGATATGGATATGGAGGATGGGATAGAGTAGTATAGGTCACGGGTTGGGATGAGGATGGGAAGGAGACTGGGATGGTTGTTGAGAAGGTACTTACGAAGCGGGTGAAAGGTGGATAGAGAATGGAGGATGGAGGACAGGGTGTGGAATCAAGTTGTATCATATAAGTCGGGAGGGCCGACTCCTCGGGATGGCGCAACACGGTCCGGTCAGTCATTTGGTTTATTGAGTATTATTATGTGTTCCATCTTGAATTAGTTATTTGAATGCGTTGGCGTTTCGTTGAAATCAACTTATTTTGTTAGCCCGTGTGTCATTCTCGTATACCATCTGACTGATGAGACGAGTCGCGGAGGGAAGAAGACTAACCAGTACATGAAAGATGTTGATATTGTTTGGAGTGTTGGAAGAGATCTGGTGAAGGAAATTGGTCAATTCTGTATAATATTCCGTGACTAGGGGATCCACGGCGAAGTTAAAACAACATACCCGTTTTCTCTTCCTACGCTTTCCCACTTTAGAGGCTGCATATTTAGGAGTTTCTCCAACGCTTCTGACACATATCCAAGTACAGACATCTAGCATACTTGATAGGTGGTGTTGTAAACGAGGTACTATGAGCTCCGCCGCCTATGATGAATCCATAATCACCGTTTTCAGGTCAAAGAGGACAAAACATGTAGAACGAAATGTGTAGAAAAAGGAGCCAATCGCTAGCAAACCAAGTTATCCGCTTATAGAACCAACCTGACTTAGATCGTGCTGAGTGCCGAACAAAGCCCTCCAGGGAGACTATCGTCTTCCAATGGCGTTCCTGATTCACCTCCAGTGACTGCCTGGTTACATAAAGACGCAAGCGTATTGACGGCTTTCACAATCTGCTCTTCGATTGCAGCTATTTCTGAGGGCTGGCTTATAATTTGGCCTGAACCCGGCTGGCTTAGAACTCGCCGCGTGTGCAGAGCGGCCTGGGCCTCCATCCGCGTCCGTATGATACTCTGTTTGAGTACTTTGCGGAATTGTTCTGGTGCTGCCTCCAGCCCCTCGTTTGCTCTTCTGAGGCCATCCCTCACGTGTTCCTCGGTTGCCGCGTCGATAAAAGTGCTATATTCCCGCAAGTTCCATGGAAAGCCTTCTTGCGGATCCAACCAATCCACACCAGAGATAAAGAAACCCCTAGCCACCATAACTAAAACTTCATTTAGTTTGCCTGCCATCTTCACGTTTTGCTGCAGTGAGCTGGCAGGTTCATCATCCCTAACATGTATGGGGAGAATTTCTCTTACCTTCAACAACTGAGGGAGGGAAGTAGATCCTGTGAGTGATTTGTTAGCCCAACCATGTGTACTTGGTATGAAACTGAAACGTGGATAGCCAGTGGGGGTAGGCAACTCACGGTAGCCATTCTGTATAGGCACGCGTGTCCTTATCGACGAAGGTGACAATGATGACCTTTGTGATGGCGTTTCGTGTTTTGGGATCTGTCAAGAAATGACGAATGGCAGCGAGAGCCGCCTGAGCCGCCTCTTTACTCGGGTAGCCGTAGACACCGGTGCTGATGGAGGGAAAAGCGATGGTAGTAAGTCCAGTCTCTGCTGCTATCTGGAGAGAGCGCAGGTAGCAAGAGATCAGTAGTTTCTCACACTCGTCGTGGTTAACTCCTGAATAGACGGGGCCGACCGTGTGGATGACCTTGGCGCAGGGCAAGTTGTAGGCTTCAGTCATGACGGCGTCACCCGTGTCACATGTACGCTTGGTGCGGCACTCTCTTAGCAGCTGGGGGCCGGCAGCGCGATGGATGGCGCCGTCGACGCCTCCGCCACCAAGGAGCGAGTTGTTGGCGGCGTTGACAATGGCGTCGATGTGGAGCTTCGTGATGTCTCCGGTGTGGATGGCAATGCGCTTGTTGAGCTCTGGCGACGGGACAGGGAAGTCGTCAGGGCCATCGTTGACGACAACGGGGAGCGTCTGCTTGGACTCTTGCTGCCAGAAATGCTCTTTGGGGAGTAGGCCCTTGTTGTAGAGGTCATGGATGCTGGGGATCTCATGAGCCGCTACACGGGCCGAGGACGCCATACTTCTTGTTGCTTGAGGGGGAAGTGGACTTGTGAGTGGACGTCGACTCTGGTTGCGTAGAAAGACTGGAGATACCCGGGATAAAAGTCGAGCTGAGGACATGAATGATAAACGAATGGTCTGTTTGAATATTTAGAGGTGTGTGTAAGTGGGATGGAAAAGAGTTGGAGATCCAGACTGTTCTTTAAGGTAGCAGCTGAAGAGAAGCCCGGGCCGATGACGTTGAGTACCTTACCGTACCCTCCTTCCATGAGGGAACCCGACGGCCGTGTCATTACAATGGAATGGCTTTGGGAGTCACGCCCAGCTCAAACCCAGCAAGCACCCATTTCTGTGCAAACTGAACTCCATCATAAAAATCAACACTTGGTGGTCTGGTATAGGAAAAGTAAATGTTCAGGGGCAGTCATTCCACACTTGTTGGTTGACCTTCATTGGGTAGTTAGTCTAGTGTATTGCTGATGTTGGACGGGATGACGGAAGGTCTACTCAAGGGAAGATAAGGTAGCGAGGGTAGGTACCTTTCCTTATCTTATCTTGTGCCTCCTCCCCTAGAGGTACCTTGTAGGCGGGGTACAGCGCTAGGGATGGCCTCATGCCCCTGTAGGTACCTGGACGTTCTGGCCCGTACCCCTCCCTCGCTGGCGCCTGTCGTGTCTACCCGTCTCAGACAATTTTGCCAGACAGCCGCCCAACGGACTTATCGCGGTTCCAACTTTATCAATTCGAGTGTTGCCGTCTTCACCCTTTGACTCACTCACCACACAACACATTATCCAGCCATCCTCTGTCCGACTGACCACCACTCCGGCTGACTCTATCCCGTTCGCGATAGCAGGTCCTGTCGCCCTCCCTCCATATACCCTCCTGAGAGCCCGCCCGTCTTCTGCGCATCGCAATCGCATATCTCGACAATTGAGAGACTTTGCGACAGAGCACCACCACCACCACACACACCACCCAGTCGCAAACCGCACACCACACGTCAACACATCATGACCGACGCGGTAGTAGATGCCGCTGCCAAGATGCAGCTGGCCGATGCCCCCGTCGACCCCAACGCCCCCAAGCTCGTTCTCGACGAGGAGACGGGCGAGAAGGTCTCCAAGGGCGAGCTCAAGAAGCGCCTGGCCAAGCGCGCAAAGAAGGCCATCAAGGAGAAGAACAAGGATGAGAAGAAGAACGTCACCGCTGCCACCGCTGCTGCCCAGGACGGTGCCGCCCCCAAGAAGCAGAACCCCAAGCCCGAAGACGTCCCCGTCGACACCCAGGCCATGTTCAAGCAGGGCTTCCTCAACGACGTCTACAACGAGCGCCCCGTCAAGCCCGTCTTCACCCGTTTCCCTCCCGAGCCCAACGGCTTCCTCCACATCGGCCACGCCAAGGCCATCGCCATCAACTTCGGCTTTGCCAAATACCACGGCGGCAACTGCTACCTCCGATTCGACGACACCAACCCCGAGGCCGAGGAGGAAATCTACTTCACCGCCATCGAGGACACCGTCCGCTGGCTCGGCTTCACCCCCTACAAGATCACCTATTCGTCCGATAACTTCCAGAAGCTGTACGACCTCGCCGAGAAGCTGGTTGGCCTCGACAAGGCCTACGTCTGCCACTGCAACGATGACGAGATCAAGCTCCAGCGCGGAGGTGAAAAGGGTGCCAGCCCTCGCTTCCGCTGCAAGCACGCCGAGCAGTCCGTCGAGGAGAACCTCCACAAGTTCCGCGACATGCGCGACGGGAAATACAAGCCCAGGGAAGCTTTCCTCCGCATGAAGCAGGATATCACCGACGGCAACCCCCAGATGTGGGATCTTGCCGCTTACAGAGTCCTCGACAAGCCTCACCACAGGACGGGAAGCAAGTGGAAGATCTACCCTACCTACGACTTCACTCACTGCCTTTGTGATAGCTTCGAGGGCATCACCCACTCCCTCTGCACCACTGAGTTCGTTCTCAGCCGTGTCTCGTACGAGTGGCTCAACAAGTCCCTCGAAGTCTACGAGCCTATGCAGCGCGAATATGGCCGTCTCAGCTTGTCTGGCACCGTGCTCTCCAAGCGCAAGCTCAAGGAGCTGGTTGACCGCAAGATTGTCCGCGGCTGGGATGACCCTCGCCTGTACACCCTGATCGCCGTTCGCCGCAGAGGTGTCCCCCCCGGCGCCATCCTCGAGTTCGTCAACGAGCTCGGCGTCACCACCTCCAACAGCATCATCCAGATCGTCCGCTTCGAGCAGACCATCCGCCGCTACCTCGAGCGCACCGTTCCCCGCCTGATGCTCGTGCTCGATCCCGTCCCCGTCGTGATTGAGGACGCCGACGAGTTCGACGGTTCCGAGCTCACCGTACCCTTCTCGTCCAAGAACGCTGCCATGGGCGACCACAAGATCAAGTTCACCAAGACCGTCTACATCGACCGCTCCGATTTCCGCGAGGTCGACAGCAAGGACTACTTCCGTCTCGCCCCCGGCAAGACCGTCGGCCTCCTCCAGGCTCCCTTCCCCATCAAGGCCACCAGCTTCACCAAGGACGAGACCACCGGCAAGGTCACCGAGATCCGCGCCGTCTTCGACCGCGAGACCAAGAAGCCCAAGACCTTCATCCAGTGGGTCGGCACCGACGGCTCTCGCAAGTGCGAGGTCCGCGTTTACAACCAGCTGTTCAAGTCCGAGAACCCCGCTGCTGCTGAGGGCGGCTGGTTGAGCGATATCAACCCCGACAGCGAGGTCGTTTACCCTGATGCCCTCATCGAGTCTGGCTTTGACGAGGTCAAGCGCCGTGCTCCTTGGCCTGAGGCCGCTGGCGAGAGCGAGCTTGGCAAGGGCGGCCCCGAGAGTGTCCGCTTCCAGGCTATGCGTGTTGCCTACTTTGTGAGTTTTCCCCTGTCATACTTTGGTAGTAAAGATTATGGCTAACGTGTACTCTTAACAGGCTCTTGACAAGGAAAGCACTGATGACAAGATCATCCTTAACCGCATTGTCTCGCTCAAGGAGGACAAGGAGAAGAACTAAGCATTTGTTCACAAAGCAAGAAAAAACAAAAAAAAGTAATGTCAAACAAATATAGAATAGAATGATGATGAGTGTATGAGCAGATTTTGGTCCCTAAGATATTACTGTTTTTGGTTTACGGTGTCAAGATGGAGTAGCGGAGTTTAAAAAATGGAAATGATATCACATATGTTTGTTGAGAGAATTGTATGGGTCTGCATCAGCTTCGTTTCTCTCTCTTCACTCCTGATTTTCTTTGCAATGACAGCTGAGGTTATCTGACTTTGAACGAAAACCGCCCTCGAAACAGCACCTCGTGGTGGTGTTGGGCGATACCGTACATTGTGCACATCTGAAAACGACCATTCACCAAGTTTAAGACATGGTAGAGAGCAACGCCTCATGTTGTTTAACCGTTACAAAAGCCTCAAAAGTAATGCATGTTTACTTCGCATCAATGGTCTAAGAAGAGCGTTGTTGAGAGTAGGTTGATTTCTGTCTCTTCCGTTAACTTCTTGTCCTTTTCTCGTGATGGGGTCTCCCGCGCCGGAAGGCCAAGACCAGCCCAATAAAATGAGGCTGGTAGTATTTTCTTCGATATATCGATAATAGCGTTACAACAAAGCCCATAGAGCATATGCGACCTTTCATCTACAGCCCCTCTAGGTCAGCCACCTAGCCTGATTTTTTCAAGTGGCATGTCTGTTTGGTAATGCGGGTTGTCAAGGAATTTTCACTCATGCTGCTCTTAACACTTACACAACGAACGGCATTTCCCTTTTTGGCTGACTCAGCTCGGCAGGCTACCATAGTACCCAGACTTAATCGCAGCAATCACCCAAGCATATGATGTAATAGAGCCGATTTGACGATCCCATCCCACTCATGGTCCCTTTTTGCATATGATTTCGATCCCGTCTACCTACAGTACCTATCTGTGCCACGCGGTACTTCAAACTTCGGGACGGGCCTAGATGCATATTTTTTCTCGTCCCATCTAACTCCAATCTGTGTACGCTAGTACAAAGCAACGCGCACTTCCGAGGACATACTACATACCTCATCCGAGAGTGTTCTTGATCCAGTCCAGAACTCAAACCACAATCACCTCCCCTTTTCCTTTACTATTCTTCTAAAGAGGTCGATTTGTTAGACAATGGGCGACAGTGCCGCGCATCAGGTGTTAATCGTGAGTCTTTGATAAATCATCCAATCACGCACTGCCATTCTTTTTCAAAAACTCACGCACAACCAGGCCGGCTCAATAGCAGCCTTCACCGTCGACCTCCTCGTCTACCCTCTCGACACAATCAAGACGCGCGTCCAAAGTCGAGACTACCAAGATGTCTATGCTTCTCAGAAACCAAGCTCTGCCGCCATAAAGGGGACGCTAGGTGTCCAGCCTCCCAAGCCAGCGCTGTTCAGAGGGTTATACCAGGGCATAGGCAGTGTAATCTTTGCGACTTTGCCTGCTGGTGAGTTTCCCTCTCTCCTTAACTCACTCTTTTCATTTATGATGTTCTAGACCGGACATCACCACAACCTACCTGAGCCAACCCTAAACTTATCTCTAACAGCCGGCGTCTTCTTCTACACCTACGAATCCTCCAAATCCTTCCTTTCCACCGCCCTCCATAGCGCCATCCCAATAGCCTTCACCCACTCCCTCGCCTCTGCAGGAGCCGAACTAGCCTCCTGCCTCGTCCTCACACCCGCCGAAGTGATTAAGCAAAACGCGCAAATGCTTCGACACTCGGCAAAATCGCCAAAATCAACCTCCCTCAAAGCCCTTAACATGCTCCGCCAGACCCAGGGGGGCATATGGAGGCGATTGTTTTCCGGGTACACGGCGCTGGCGGCGAGGAACCTGCCATTTACGGCGTTGCAGTTCCCGGTGTTTGAGGCACTGAGGACGAGGATCTGGGAGGGGAGGGATAGGGATCGGAAGAGGGCGAGGGCGAATCGGGCCCAAGGGAATGACTGCAGAAGTCTGGCCGAAACGGGATGGGGTCACAGACTCGCGGCCGCCGTCGCAGGGTCGCTGGCAGCGTTTGTGACGACGCCTACGGATGTGGTCAAGACGAGAATGATGCTTGCGGCGGGGGAGAAACAGCCAGAGTCATCATCTGGTGAAGCGGTCAAGAAAGGTCGACAGTACAGAAACAAAGGCCTGAGCAGCTTCCAAGTTGCAAAGGAGGTTTTTCGCGAGCGAGGGATCCGAGGACTGTTTCGGGGCGGCGCGTTGCGCACGTGTTGGGCGGCGTTCGGAAGTGGTCTCTATCTCGGGTCGTATGAGGTCGCCAAGGTGTGGTTGAATCAGGAATGATAGATGCTGCTCCGGATGGCAGGCTGGTATCTCGGTTATCTTTGTATTATCGCAGGAAATCCCATCTCAGCCGCGCTCACCGAAAAAGATGTGCAAGGGAAATGGGTGTGTTTTTTGAGAACGTTATCCACGTGGGATTGCGCCTTCCATGGTTCCAGAAACACTGAAACAGGGGGGGTTGACGACGGAAGATTTGCCTGACAAGGCTCGACCATCTCCATTATCCCGGCTCAATTCCGTCCCGGTCTTATCTCATGTCCGTAGCCGGTCGGAATTCCGAAATCGCCGTTAGCCGCGCAGCACTGCAGAAACAGACGAACAAGGCCCCGTTCATATCTAATGGGTCAGGGAATTGAGGTATCAAGCCGCTGTCGGAGGTTTCTTTTCATGACTCGAAAATCGCCCTTATCGAATGATGGCAGTTAGAGGGTTCCGAATTTTGTCGACCAATTGCGCTTTGCGATAAGTGACATGGTGAGTCTTATCACATTAACTGGCCGCCCGGTTAAAATTTGGCTTGGTTTTGGACTTGAGTCGTTCGGCACCACAAAGGCTTTCACTGAAAGTCCAAGAGAAAGAAACAAGCCAAAATCGCAGCGGGACTGGCACGTTTTAAAGTCTTGTGTACCTGACTATTGCTGACGAATGCGCTGCTGACAGATTCGCAATTGCAATCCCGTCATTGCGGAAGGCCGGCCACCCCGGACTAAGTCAGCGGTGAAGCGCCAAACTGGATGGGAAAGGGCACCCAACCTTCCCGCACGATCCCATCGTCCCTTCCAGACCCTTTCAAACAGGAGTATCCCCAAGTGATGTGCAATTTGTTTCACTCCGAGTTTTCTTGGGTTTGATGACCAAGGATCCGCCCGAGTCGGCTTGGGGTCTTTGATATGGCACCACCCTTGTGACCGATTGCGCGATCAGCAACTGTGCATGCGCATTGTCGCAATAACTGGCAGGCGCGGTCGGCCGCATCCCTCGAGTATGTCATCCATATGAACTCGCGATTTGAGAGCGGTATGTCACCAGAGTTCGTACCAGTTCGTCCCTGTTCATCCCTATTATTCCATTCTTTTTTTGCAATCGCAGAGAGACCACTTCGCCCTGAACGCCCATCCTTCCAAGACCTCGGCCGTCATATCTCATCTCCTCGGAGTCATTGCATCTTAGCCGAGACGGGCGACCAAGAAGTATAAGGATTACGTTGAGTCCGGACCTGGTTGACTTCCAATCCAGCCTTTTCCTTCGCAACCCAAAGCCCTTTTCCTGAAGCAACTGCTGTTGCATTCTGTCGTTTCCCTTCTGCTGCATCAGCCTGACCACCGCCCTTCTCGACAACATGGCCATATCTCAAGGTCCCGTCAGCATAGCTGTGGCCAACCATGTGCTGGCCCATAATGAAAAGAATTCCAGCATCATCTCTGAGATTGAGATTCAAACCACACCCGCGGAGCTACCGGACAAGGAGCGATATATCGTAGTATCACCCTACACCGAGCAGCAACACCTCCTCGACCTCACAACCCTTGGCACTGAGAACCAGATCTTGGCACTTGCCCTAACTCAGTTGACCTGCCTTCGCGAGGACTACGCAACTGCGTCATACAGCGACACCTTCAACTGGGACCAGATCATCGAACACGTTCGCGCACTCACACGAAAACGTAACCACACATGGAAGGAAACTTCCTTCTTCGTTGTCGCCTTCCGGTCGCAAGTTTTTGCGTCGACGGTCGATAACTATGCGGACCTGGGTGAGCTGGACAAGGCTGCACATGCTGAAGCCACTGCGAGTGGAGGGTTTTTGAAGTGAGTGCCCTGACAGCCGTTTTCCTCCGCAACGAGCAGCATGCTAACAGTGACGGTTCAGGTACTGGTTTGGTTCGCCAAACGAGGAGCGACGCAACCTTGCAACTTGCATCTGGAGATCCCCAGAAGATGCAAAGAAGGGGGGCACTGGCCCTGCGCATCGAAAAGCGGCCGGAGCAACCAGGTCGCTGTATTCCTTTTGGCAAATTGATCGCCATCGGTTGACCATCCGAGACAACGTCGACAGCTGGGAGCTCACCGAGTGGAAGTGAGGTGATAGAGAGAAGGTACTTGTCTCCGGTGCTGGACGCTGGACATGACGGTTGGGACTTGGAACGGATCGGGCGTCGAGGTTGGCGTTTTGGTGGGAATTGACGGTAACAAAGGCGATGTGGTAACCACACATCGGAGGGAATTATGATGATTGTGATGACAATAGAGACATCCTTAGAGGCATCGATACCAAGTAGAATAGACTCTTGCTTTGTCTTTCAAGTTGAGAGCTGAGGTGTATGTTCAAGCCGTGATGAGATTGTTCGCAAAGGTAAAGGTTTGAGAGAGAAGAGGCGTCGTGAGAAGTCGGCAGTGAAGGCGTCGGTGTCGTGCATTTAAAGATGGCGTGGACTTGAAGGCAAGAAGCGAAACTAGGTGGTTCGGCGTGGGGGAAGCGTGGGATGTTGCTGGCTCGATGTCGAATCACGCATCACCACCATGACCATTGCGCGGGGTGTTTATTTGAAAGGAGGGGCTCTCATCGAAGCTCTGGTGTTGTCACGATGCTGGTAACTTGTGACTTGTAAATCGCGAAACACTTAGTTGTAAGTTCAACATTCTCCGCATCATGAGGAAATTCATCAAAAGTGGATGCTCTCCCCAGACTCCATCGTTGCAAAAGTCGACGAGATGTCCAAAGTGGGACCAAACTTCGTCAGTGGGGTTGAGCTCTGAGAGACCACACAGTCGGCAGTGCGACAGTTCCTGGGAAAGCACTGTCCCTCTCTGTTCCTCGCAGCTGGAAAGTGAAAGGTACTTCCGCGGTACGTCCCCTTCTTAAAGCCAAAGTCATAGCCAAGCCGTTGTAAAGCACAGGCCACCACCTGCTTTCTTTGAGTCTCGCCTGCCCGCCACCTGCCAGCCGCCGGCACAATCTTTACTGGCAGTCTGTTTCCGGCAGGACACCCCAGTGAAGTCCGGTTGGTGGCCAGCGGTGCCCACAAACGAAGCGAGAGAATTCAGTTGCGAAAAGTTGAAGTCCTCCACGACTGACGAACTCGACTCCCCCAGCAGCAGCCTTACCAACCGCAACGGCATACCCAACCACACCGTCGCGTCTTCACGTGAGAATCGAGTCCCGTCAATCCGCAATCATGGCCGAAGTTCAGAAGGATGCGCCGATCAAGTCGGTCCAGGTCGAGGCCCTTGTAAGTTACTGTTCAACTCGTCGTCTTCTCTCCTGTCGCCGGAGCCCCGCCATGCCTGCCCGGCCCCAAGCCGCCCGCCCGCCATATGGCCCCCTTTGTTAACCAGCGTCGGCACCACAGGTGGTCATGAAGATCGTGAAGCACTGCTCGACTAGCTTCCCTACCGTCGCTACCGGCTCCATCGTTGGCATGGACAACAACAGTGTCATCGAGGTCACCAACACCTTCCAGTTCCCCTCCGTCGACGTCTCCAGCACCGACGACCGCAGCGATGCCTCGTCCCTCGCCGCCGCCGCTCCCCGCGCCAAGGCCAACATTGTCTACCAGAACGAGATGATCCGTCACCTCAAGGAGGTCAACGTCGACGCCAACAATGTCGGCTGGTACACCAGCGCCACCATGGGCAACTTCATCAACATGAGCTTCATCGAGAACCAGTACCACTACCAGAAGGACAACGAGAAGACCGTCGCCCTCGTCCACGATGTGAGCAGGAGCTCCCAGGGCGCCCTCAGCCTTCGCGCCTTCAAGCTCTCCCCCGAGTTCATGACTGCCTACAAGGAGGCCAAGTTCAGCACCGAGAGGTCAGCACACCGCCGAGATCCTGCCGTCGCCAATACTTTTGGGCGCAGGTCGCATATCGCATGTCGCATAGCACACATCACTGACCTTACATGATATACAGCCTTCGTGCCTCCAAGCTTACCTACAAGGACATCTTCGTCGAGCTCCCCGTCAACGTTCACAACTCCCACCTCCTTACCTCCTTCCTCCACCAAATACCCGCTCCCAAGAGCGCCGAGATCCCCATGCCCGCCTCTCTCGACGACATCCGCCGCGATCCCGTCCAGATCCCCGCCCACCCCGGCTTCGAGTCTCTCGACCTCTCCATCGACCCCTTCCTCGAGAAGACCTGCGACCTGCTCCTCGACAGCATTGAGTCGCACTACACCGACCTCAACAACCACCAGTACTACCAGAGACAGCTCACCCGTGAGCAGTTCAAGATCACCCAGTGGCAGGCCAAGCGCAAGGCTGAGAACGCGGCGCGGTTGGCGGCTAAGCAGGCGCCCCTTCCCGAGGACGAGTGGCAGAGGCTGTTCAAGCTTCCCCAGGAGCCCAGCAGACTCGAGGGCATGCTCAACGCCCGCCAGGTCGACCAGTACGCCAGGCAAGTGGATGCCTTCACGGCCAACATCACGGCCAAGATGTTCGCCGTCCGGGGCAACCTTCTCCCCGAGTAAATGGGGACCTAGGGGTTGCTGCGGTGGTGTTTTTTGATGGATGGATGGGATGATAGAGGACGGTGGCCACGATATCTCAGCCGCATTTGGTTTTGGCGTTCCGGGTTGTCGGCGTGTTATTTACCTTGCAAGGTCTAGGGCAAGGTCGGTCATGCAGCCTACGTAAAGCGGGACGGGAGGGAGAGCTGCAAATCACATCCAGTATCTTGTGGTGGCCTTGCTGATCTGACGTGGGGGGCAAAGAGGCATTGAGGCACTAGAGAAAACAAAAAGGGATGCGTCCAAAAAGGCGAGGAGGGACGCGTCGGATGAATTATCAGAAATGAGATTCCCGTCAATCAAGCGATAAGCCGTTATCTTCTATTATGTTAAAGGGGCCAGCCTTTTTTCAGCTTTCCGTATATGTAATGAATTGCCTATAATCATGAAAAAAAAGATGCGGCCGGGATGGGATGATTTGGGAAAAGGCTGTCCCAGTTCACTTGTGTCCGAGAAAGAAAGTCCGATGAGACTGAATTGTTATGAAATGGTTGTCTCATCGGTTCGGGGATGTCTTTGGTTGGACGTCTGCTGGACGCCATGTCCGCGCTTTGCTGCAGTAGACCCTGACCAGGCGCTTCGCTTCCGTTGAGGTAAGTTGGGGTGGCTTTGGGCACCGCATTCGGGTCCGGATACGATATCATAACCGATTACAATTGTTGAACTCAACCTCCCTCTTCAAAGCTCACCCGATGTCTTTCGAAACGTGTCGGCCGAAAAGTCCCCAAAATGGCCTTGCCCATCTGCCCGCAAAACCCCACTGTTTAGGCCGGCGCCATCAGCGCTAGCAAGCCATAACAGGCAGCTGAAAGAGAAAGTTGGAGTGAACGTGGTGTCGAATTGGTGGCAGAAGCACATTGCCGCGTTCGACGAGAACGGCTGGCAGGCAAAGGAGGGGCAAGCACTCGCATTGTGGTGGGGAAAAGAGCTCAATTGGGCCTAGCTCTCTGTCTGATGCACACCGACAGAGCTGTCTGGTTCGACAGATTGCCCGCGGGGTTCTCATTTTTTTTTCTGAACCCCGTCGACCCCTCCCCACTTTCTGCACAGTCTGCTTCTGCAAGTGCTGTTCCTCTCCGCCGGCTGTCACTGTGGGCACTGGGCAGTCAGGCAGTCAGGCTCTGCACATTTTGCTTGTGCCATTGGATTCCGGGCCCTTCTCACTTCGGTTTCCCCTTTCCCTTGGTCTCCCCGTGTCCTCTTTTTTGCTTGTGCCATCCGATATCCACTTTTCACCCCCCTCCCCTTCCCTTTAAATAAATCCATTGCTCTCCCATTGCCAGGAAGAGCCGTTCTCACTTTTTGTCTATTCATCCCCCTCTTTGTGAGTGCTCCTCCCCCTCCTCGTCCTCCTTCCAAAACATCACCAATTCTAACCTGTATACCCTCTCCTCAACAGATACCCCCATATCTACCCATCATGTCTGCTCCCGCCCACAAGTTCAAGGTCGCCGACCTTTCCCTCGCCGCCTTCGGCCGCAAGGAGATCGAGCTCGCTGAGAACGAGATGCCCGGTCTTATGGCTACTCGCAAGAAGTATGCCGCTGACCAGCCCCTCAAGGGCGCCCGCATTGCTGGCTGCCTTCACATGACCATCCAGACCGCCGTCCTCATCGAGACCCTCACTGCTCTTGGTGCCGAGGTCACCTGGACTTCTTGCAACATCTTCTCCACCCAGGACCACGCCGCCGCTGCCATCGCCGCTGCCGGTGTCCCTGTCTTCGCCTGGAAGGGTGAGACCGAGGAGGAGTACCAGTGGTGCTTGGAGCAGCAGCTCGTTGCCTTCAAGGACAACAAGAAGCTCAACCTCATCCTCGACGATGGTGGTGACCTTACCCACCTCGTCCACACCAAGTACCCCGATATGCTCGAGGACTGCTTCGGTGTCTCGGAGGAGACCACCACCGGTGTCCACCACCTTTACCGCATGCTCAAGGAGGGCAAGCTCCTTGTCCCCGCCATCAACGTCAACGACTCCGTCACCAAGTCCAAGTTCGACAACCTCTACGGCTGCCGTGAGTCCCTCGTCGACGGTATCAAGCGCGCCACCGATGTCATGATTGCTGGCAAGATTGCTGTCGTCGCCGGTTTCGGTGATGTCGGCAAGGGCTGCGCCATGGCCCTCTCCGGCATGGGTGCCCGCGTCATCGTCACTGAGGTCGATCCCATCAACGCCCTCCAGGCTGCCATGGCCGGTTACCAGGTCACCACCATGGAGAAGGCTGCTCCTCTTGGTCAGATCTTCGTCACCACCACCGGCTGCCGTGACATTCTCGTCGGCAAGCACTTCGAGGCCATGCCCAACGATGCCATCGTCTGCAACATTGGTCACTTCGATGTCGAGATCGACGTCGCGTGGCTCAAGGCCAACGCTGCTTCCGTCCAGAACATCAAGCCCCAGGTTGACCGCTTCCTCATGAAGAACGGCCGCCACATCATCCTCCTTGCTGAGGGTCGCCTTGTCAACCTTGGCTGCGCCACTGGCCACTCTTCTTTCGTCATGTCCTGCTCTTTCACCAACCAGGTCCTTGCCCAGATCATGTTGTTCAAGGCCAACGATGCTGAGTTCGCCGCCAAGTACGTCGAGTACGGCAAGTCCGGCAAGCTCGAGAAGAAGGTCTACGTCCTTCCCAAGATCCTCGACGAGGAGGTCGCCCGTCTCCACCTCGACCACTGCAACGTCGAGCTTACCCAGCTCACTGACGTCCAGGCTGAGTACCTCGGCCTCGCCTCTGAGGGTCCCTACAAGAGCGACCAGTATGTTACTTCCCGTCCTTTCTGTCTGATGAACAAGATGCTAACCATGTCACAGCTACCGCTACTAATTTCCTTTTCAATACCATATATCCACCCTCTCCCGCCGTGTTTTAAGGCTAGGAAGAGGAAGGTAATTTACTGAGGATCTCCTTCAACACTTTGGGTTATGGACAAAACATTCTCAGCGGCATGTTTGGGATTTCCACAAAGCATCGTTTTCAACAGGCATGATTTGCATGACAAAACCGGGTTCAATATGGGGGTCTTTCACTAGGGGTTTTCAAAAAAAAGGAATATTTAGGAATGCGGGTACAGATTTTCAACAAAAGTACGGCGTTGGCTTTGGCACATGATATCCCACAACACTCACCCTCAAGGCATTTTGAGAGGGGTGTGTTTTCGAAACGTTGGTAGCTGGTGCTGCACCTGACGAAGTGCGACAAGGAGACGATAAAGAAGAAGAAGGCTATACCAGAGGCCCGTCAACCGAGGCCTAGGAATGATTAGATACGGGATAGAAAGACGATGTTTCTTTTTGGGCATGTCTTTTGTGGTTCACCAAAGAAGCCACCGAAGTTAATAATATGTGGTTTATGGCTCACTCACACGGTTCCATTTCCGATACGCGACTTGTGTTTGATTTCCTGCATCTCTCTCTCGGGGAAGCAAGGGGTTGCTGTAGCGTGTTACAACTAGGGGACGGCCGCAAGCCACGCGAGTAAGTCTGGCTCTCCAATCATCCGAGTAGCCTCACGTTTCGTCTTTTCCCTTTTCCTGCCCGCGAACGGACGCTCTCACTCCAACCGCAACAAATCGTGATCTTGCATGTCGTGTTGTGGTTTTATTCAACCATTCGGCGTCTGTTCCGTTTTCCACGCTGCCACGATAAACCGCATGGCCTCGTCGCCTTTTACATGCTACATGCTACATACTACATACAATAACATACAAGTACTACATACCTACCTGCCTGACCTGCAACGGGACCTGGCAGCGTGCCTTCCTACCAAAAACTGAAGTGTTCTGCATTGAGGTATGTATGGTACGTAACTTTCTTTGCACTGGACTCTTGTCAAACGAACGAACGGAACTTGTTATCAGCCCAGCCATTGGATTTTAATGGCCTAGGTACATTACTTACGACCCCACTATTGGTTCTCTTTTGGTAGCATGTCACGTAGTTTCCTTACTACCACCGCTCGAAGCCACTTTCACCGGTCGAAGAAAAACCCCGCCGCGATCATCGTTCCTTCTTCGTTTTGTTGTTGATATTTATTAAGAGTGAGTGGCTGCTTCTATTTCCGTCAAAATCATGTCAGTCTAGAGAGGAAGGCAAACTCACTATTTTATTAAGGATCTTCAAGAAAATTGGGAGTGACACCCACACCCACACTCCCACACACACCGCGACGGAAGCTTTCTCTTCGTCTTCCGTAACACCAAAACACCAACAAACAAGCGGAACGTCAGAAAGGGATATACGTCACCCACCGGCTTTTTTGGTCCTACACACCTTGACGCCTTCATAAGCCTCCGGTCTCGGGTCATTACGCTGGACAACGACATACGGTCTTTCAGACTTGTTCATAGCCTATTCTGGGTTTCGTCCGGTGACGACATAGCTGGCGAGAGATCATATCCCCGGATACCGAACTTCGTGGATACCGACTGGCTCAGTTGGAAATTGAACTTCTGACGACAACTCAAGAGGTATCTCTGACGGCAGACTTTTGAGACAAGAGAAGACAAGAAAAGAAAACAATCAGTCTAAGAGTCAAGAGAAGCTTGTGAAAAGACCATCAAGATGGCTTCCTCAGAAGAGTGTCAAAAGCCCAAGATCTTATTGCTGGGTACTATTGAGCAGTGAGTTACCAAGGGACTCTATCATCTCAGTTTATACTACGATTCTCACCTTCATTTCATCTTATTACCTCATCCTCACTACCTCATCACTTGTTTGTCACTTCCCTGTCTTTCAAAGTTTCCCTCTGCTCCCCAAGCACCCTCCCTCTTCCTGCCACCCACCCCCTTCTTATCAACCTATTATTCACCGTCTTCACACCGTCTTCACAGCCCGAACCAGCTAACCACCAACCCCAATTTGCATTCGCACAGCGCCCACGACGCCTGGAAACAAATCACCTCCATAGCCGACATCATAACCCCCCAATCCACCTCGCGCACAGATTTCATCACCGAATGCGCCTCCGGCGCCTTCTCCTCCTGCCTCCTAGCCTACCGAACCTTCGACTCCACCCTCCTCACCGGCCCCCTAGACCAAGAACTGATCTCCGCCCTGCCCCCCTCCGTCAAGTACATCATCCATGTAGGCGCCGGCTACGACGCCATCAGCATCCCTGCCTGCACCGCGCGCGGGATTAGGGTGTCCAACACCCCCTCCGCTGTGGACGAGGCGACGGCTGATTGTGCTTTGTTCTTGCTGCTGGGGGCTATGAGGAATTTCAATGCTGGCATGACTGCTTTGCGGAGGGGGGAGTGGCGGGGTGGTGATGAGGAGCAGGTGAGGAGCGGTGAGAAGGGGACCAAAATGCCGGCTTTGGGGAGGGATCCCAGGGGTAAAACGTTGGGGATTTTGGGTATGGGAGGGATCGGCAAGTGTTTGGCTAAGAAGGTGACGGGGGCGTTTGGCATGAAAGTGAGGTATTTAAATCGGAGGAGGGATGAGGAGGGGGAGAGGGAGTTGAGGGACCAAGCAGGGGTGGAGGTTGAGTGGGTTTGTGGTGATGGTGATGACCAAAACGGGGTTGAGGAGGGACTGAAGAGGTTATTGGGGGAGAGTGATGTTTTGAGCTTGAATTTGCCTTTGAATGTGAGTATTGTCCCGTTTCTTTGGTGTGATGATGATGGTGAAAGAGATGAATGGGCAGGAAAAAGAAGAGGAGAGGAAGGAAAGCTGATGACAAACATGAACACAGGCCAACACGAGGCACATAATCTCCACCAAAGAATTTGCCATGATGAAGCGGGGGATAGTCATCATCAACACGGCTCGCGGCGCGGTGATGGACGAGGCAGCGCTGGTGGAAGCGTTGGAGTCCGGACAGGTGCACTCGGTTGGCTTGGATGTGTACGAGAACGAGCCGGAGATTCACCCGGGCTTGTTGGCGAACCCGAATGTCATGCTGGTGCCGCACATGGGGACGTGGACGGTTGAGACGGAGACCAAGATGGAGGAGTTGGCGATTAGTAATGTGCAGATGGCGATTGAGGAGGGGAAGTTGAGGAGTATTGTGCCGGAGCAGAGGGATATGCAATGAGGATTCAGTTGGTATCGGTAGGGAAGTTAAGGGTTCATGTCAGTTTGTAGTCAGGATGGAATGTAAGTCGGGATGGTGCTGGAGTTGGCTAACCCTCTAGGTGGATAAGCCAGAGTTGATCATCCAGGACGGAAATGACAGTCAGGATCTAGGTCAATTTGAGGAACAACAAACAAGACACGAAGAAACAAACTTCAAACCATCGTGTATCATCAGCAAGTAAAACTAATTGATGTTGAATTTTTATATAAGCCGCTCCCCAATTTTAGTCGCTCTCATAATGCTGAGTGTAAGAAGGGAAAGAGAACAGAGAGCATCCCGATTCCTTTTGTTGAATCAAGAAATAATCGATGGCGAAGCCTCCCAGATGCTATATGGAGGAGTGAACAGAAGAAAAAAATGTCGAGTGGAAAAAAAATACGAAACCTGTATGAACGCCATCTATCCGATGCAAGTATAGACATGAAAGAAACAGAAAAAAAGAACAGAGAGTCCACAGAAAATATGAAGAGAGAAAACGCTCGAGCGGGCTATCTATCTTACATGGCACGATCATCAACCCCCAACGAGGGTAACTTGCCTGACTCTATCACCAACGAGAAAGACTCCCAAAGCCGCTGACCTTGCCACCCATTTCCAGACCTGTAGTCACTTAGACATAATAGCTCGCCAGGGCGCGTGTGTCGTATTGGCTCCTGGTAGGATATACGCCCGCCACGCAAGCTGAGCAAACCGCCTTATCACGTTCGTGGTTCCCGATTCCATGATGTGGCGAATAAACTTGGTCGCTACCGCAAGCCTGCAACGTGGATCTGCCTCACTCAACTGCAGCGGCAACTCTTGCTCGATATTGACCGGATTCCAATGATGCGAATATTCGCGAACCACAACGAGGCTATACAGGAAGTCACGGTTCTCCTGACCGTCCAGTAGGCGTCGCAAGTTCTGGAGGTCAGATTTGGGCCCCTTAACGGCCAGCTCTGCCAGATGCCACCAGAACTCAAGCTCATTACGCCGTGGGCCTTTGAGGCCACCGAACACTATAGGATTACAAAGCGGATTCTCTGTCAACGTGGAGTTGGGTCCCAACAGGAGCGCCTCCAACACTCGCAGACGGCCTTGGGCTTCGTGTGGATCATCCAGGTCCGGAAGGTGCTTTGCAGAACTAAAGTTTGCGGGGAGAGCCCAACCTCGACTATTGGTAAAGAGGGGTAGCTTTGCTAGCCCCCAGATGATGCACTCCTCGACCTGACAAGCGTACTTGTCGTCCGTCCCGGGCCGGGAAATGTGTTCGACGAAGGAACCGAAAAGACCCATCAATGGCTGGTTATTGAGTAGCACTTGGATGGTTTGGCTCGTCGCCGTGCTCTTCTCGTATTTCAAATCATACCACGGCGTCTCAAAGAGATACGATAGGCCCGGAACGTATGTCTCTCCATACAGTCTTAGGATCTCGTGAACGACCTGTTTTGAAGGCGGAGAGTTCATAATAGGAGGTTCTGCGCCCCCCAGTGCAATAAGATCGTCCACCGTTTTCCTGTTGGTGGGTAAGCCCGTCATGTTGGGCAAGATAGTCGTACAGCTCTGAACCAGATCCCTCGACAGCGCGAAACTCGGTTATCTCTGCTGCGCAAACGAGGTCACCGACAAAGGGGAGCCAGCAGGAGTTGCGCCTTGGAAATGGCCCACGTTCCCAAAATTCCTGTCGTCGGGCCTGGCCAGCTGTGAATTTGGTGTAGGCGTTCCTGAAGCGCTTGGCGTGTCGGTGCCTGAGAGAGCCGGGTCAATGGCACTTCCGTAATCAAAACCCGGGGAAGTGGATGACACTGGAGACTCGTATGGTGTGTTGGAAGAATGAGATGGTGGGTACGAGGTAGGGTGTTGTTGGTGTTGGTAAGCAGGGTGCTGTTGATGTGAGTGCTGGTGATAGTGGTGAGACGGCGGGGATTGCTGCTGCTGTTGCTGCTGGTAAGGTTGAGCCTGTGACTGGTATGGGCTTGGAGGGACGCTGGAGGATGGTACAGTCGGGGTAGACGTGAGTGAAGCGGGAGCAGAGTGTTGAGACTTGGGAGTCGACTGAGCAGCCAGATTCTGCTGGTGCTGTTGCTGTTGTTGCTGCTGTTGCTGCTTGAAGATGGGGTCGTATCCCAAACAGTCCCGCTTGGACTTTTTGCAGTTGTTGCAGGTGGGATGGGCTTCGTCGCACTAGAGAGTAATCTGGGTTAGACGATGTCAAGTACTATATGGCGAGTAAGAAAATGATGTGAAGATGGTGGCTTGTTGCGGCTTTGAAATCGTGACGCGATACACGAAGATGCAACAATGTGATGATAGAAGCTTGAGAATGTTGCAGGGGTGAGGTTCCATGTGCTTTTGAAGTGAGTGGATTGGATAGCAGACAGCTGGACCCAGCTCAGGGTGCAGTTGCCGTTCAGAGGGTTCGGGGCAGCTGTTAGCGGCGGGGCCGGGGCCTAACAACCGCCGCGGGGACTTTGTGTCAACGCCGACCGAAACATGGCAGTTTGGGTTGATTCCTGTCGCCTGCTGCGCTTGCTGTGGCAGGCAAGCGAGGTAGGTAGGCGAAGGGCAAGCGGGCAATGACAGGCGCAGCGGGCAGGCAAATGGCGGGTTGGCAGCCGTCACTGGTGTGAACAACTGGGCTTGCTCGCTTCAGTGCAGACCCGACACCCGAGTCAAGCGAACAAGGCAACACAACCCAACCAACACACACAACCATAACCCAACTGCCTGCTCCCCCAGTTGCACTTGCAACAACCCCCAACAACGATCGAGACCACAAGCGAGCAAGCGAGCGAGCGCGCCTTTTGCAACACACCCGTTATCATCATATCGAACCATGGCGCTTCTTCAACCGAATGGCCCAATTGCAACATGACGACCCACTCCCTCCGCGTCTCGCTTCCCTGGCTCGACACCGTCCGGCCCGAACCCCATCTACCCCATCCCCCGCCTCGTTGCAGTAGGTCCGAAAAGGAATCCAAAGATGATGGAAGGAATCGGACAGAATACGCAAAAAAGAGCAAATCAGGATTCCGAAAGAGAAAGTGACGCACCTTTATCCTGCGCTTGCGGCACGTTAGGCACCCCGTCTTGGTTCGGCGCTTGATCTCCTGTCAGCAACACAACAAACAACATCGGTCAGCACTCTAGTGTGTTGCGCGAGCGAGCATGGATCCCGGGAAGAGGAGGAAGAGGGGAGAGGGGAGAGTGACATGTTAGGGACATGTTAGGGCTATATTGCGGCGGGCTATAGCAGTGCAGAGTATAGGTACCTTCTTGTGCCTTCCTCCGCTCAGAGCGATGCGCGGATCCGGCGTGAGACCTGTCAAGGTATAGTGCACCACGCTCTGTCCCGGATGCATCTGGTATGCTGGGTGCATCGGCGCATAGTAGCTCATCTGGTTTTGCGCCATCGAGACTGTCATGTGGTTCGGTAGGGGCATCTGGTGTTGAGGGTGTTGTTGCTGCTGCTGCTGCACATGGTCGAACGTCCGCATGCTCGGGAGTGCCGTCTGGTTCGTTCGGTAGGGGTCAACATGGGCAACCGCTTGCGCTCCGTAGGCGTACTGCGCGCCCGGATGCATGCCCGCAGGTGGATACGGTGACGGGGCGGGATAGTTCATGGTCGGTGTCTGGCGAGGTGTAGGTGGGCCAGGTCGTTGTTGCGGTTGGGACATGGGCGTGGGCACTAAAACACGGGGTGCACTGCCGCTGTGCGGTGCTCTAATATGTTGTTGCTGGTTATACTGCTGGTGCTGCCCGGAGACCGTATCGGCCAAAGGAGGAGCGGCTTCTGATGGCACGCGGGGATCTTGAGGAGTGCTGGTGGTGATGGTGGAAGCACTGTCTGTAGCTATCCCTTGGTCACCACTTCTGACGGAGCTCTGTCCAGCCCCTGTTTCGACTATCTCAACCGGAGGCGTGCAAGTGGTAGCCGAGCTCGCGTCTTTGCTTGGTTGCTGTAGATCCGGAGTAGGTGTTGATGTTGTTGTTGTTGTTGTTGTTGTTGTTGTTGTTGTTGTTGTTGTTGTTGTTGTTGTTGCTGCTGCTGTTGATGTAGCTCTTGTGGCTGTCCCTGGAGTGGATGAATGTGTCTGTGCCTGTGCTGATCCGGCGGAGGAGGGTTGCGGTACTAGTAGTGCCGGTGCTGGTGACGCTGAAGGTGAAGGACCTGGGAGTAGTGGTTGTGGTTTGTCTTGATCAGGTTGGGGTGCAGGCGATCGGAGCTTTTGTTGTAGATGATGTCGATGCTTCCCTTCGTCCTGGGCCGACTGGTCGGGGTGCGGCTCGCTCAGACTGGAGTCCTGAGGCTGGGGGGTGGACGGTCGAGACTGGATCGACTCTACAGTTCTCCGTTGAGCCATACTGGGAATTTAATTAGAATTTTAATGGAGACCGATTCCTAGCAAGGGCCAGGAGAAAAAGCGACCGGGGGACGGAGTGGGAGGGAGTGCTAGGAGGGCTAGGGGCAGACGCGACCCTGGCTCTCCTGGCCCGGGTTTCCTGAGCGGACTGCGGATTGGTAGTCTACCTACTTGACGAGCCTATTTACTACCAGGTAGGCGTAGTATGGTGGTGTAGTGTATGTATGTGTGTGTACGTATGTAGGTACGAGGTGTAGTGTGTGTAGGGTGTAGAAGGTGGTGTAAGGTGGTAAGGTGGTATGGTACCTTGCCGTCCAACAAAAAGGGCTCCTGTTGCGGTCGAAAGTGAGTGGTCAATGACTGGTCAATGGGTTGGTCAATGGGGTGCTCTCTCCTAGAGTCATCCAAGGTTATCTTGGGAATGGGCCGAATCTGTGGAAACATGCAATGCGCGCTTCTCAGCGAATGCAGCCGATACGACGACAGCCAGACAAGACTGCAGCGCCCAAGCATCCAAGCAGAAGCTGCATGTCCCAGACGGAAGAAGGTACAAGGAGAGCTCTATGTATGTGTATGTATGTACGTACTGTGTATGTAGATAGGTGTGGGTGTGTGTCTGTTTTTTTCTTTCCTTCCTCAGTCCCTTTTCTCGTCTCTCTGTCTCTTTTCTTCACGTTCTCCTGCTCTCCAAGTTCTTGTGAACCGCAGTGGACCAAAGAGACGTAATTGCTTGGCTTGTTCCCCCTGACCCCTGGGGCTAGTCGATAATATGCTAGTCTGCCAGACAAGAGAGTGAGAGACAAGTAGTGGAAAGACAATATGTAGGTCCCCTTGTTTCTGGAGTGCAGTTCGAGTGGTGTTAGGTTCGTCGTCAGGGGGTAAGGTCAATGTCAAGGGCAGATGCTCCTAACGAGGCTTACCTGTACGGGGGGGGGTGGTGGGTTGGTGTGGGCTCTTTGGAGAGAGGGGTGAATCTGATGGTGACTGGACTGGTCCCTTGTGCACGATCCTGGCTCCGCTAAAATAGGAATCCAGACCGTTGGCAGGCTCCAGTTTGGATTTTGAGTGCAGATGGGACCTGACGGGACCTGAGGATGGACCTGAGGATGGACCTAAGGATTGGAGACGCAATGCGCCAAAGAAGTTTAACGCAATCTTTTTTAACCCCGTTTCTTCCGATGTCTCCAACGGGGTTCGACCGGGGATTTCCACGGACATGTTCTTGGTATTCGATTAAGCGGGCTGCCAAGGGAGTGTCCAAGCCTATCCAAGGGCATACAGGCTGTTGATTCCGCCTTTTTTGATCCTCGTCGTTTTAGCGGAGGAGGACGGAGGGTGAGGGTGTACATACGACGACGGTACATATGTAGCCCCTGTCCAGGGTCGACGAGCCTTTGGAGAGAACAAAGTGGATCTGCTTCCATGATCCTCGTCGTCGAGGCGGGAGAGAGACGCGAAGTGAACGGGCGGGACTTGGGATGCGGAGAGAAGATGGGAGCGCAATGTGCAATCTCCAATGTCCAATGTATGCATGCAAGTTGATGCGGCAAGTTCCTTAACTCTGTTCGCAAGTCTTTACTCCATCCAGTGTAGGCTAGCGAAGGTCCAAATCAACAAGTAACATGGAAGTCATTGTTTTGGGTTTCAATTCCAACATTCTTCCTTCCGTCAGGTCTCCCGTTCCTTCCACTTCCTTCCTGCACCAACTTGTACCCTTCCAGTTTGGAGCCGACCACGGGCACAAGCGAGTGGGAATTCAAGCCGAGTGGATTAGTGGGTCCGTGGGTCCTCCTCCTTGTCCGCCAAAGGAATCAAATGCCCAGACGGCCGCAGACGGACTACTTTCGAGAGAGCACCTGCACTCACAGGGACTCGTACAGGGACTCAGGAACGGTGAAAGTGTCGGGTGTCAGGTACGATGCACGCACAGTATGTCTGCCCCATGATCCCATCTGAGCGAGTTAAAGTGACTGATCGAGTTAGATTCGGTTAGTCAGCATTGTGTAAATAACAGCAGGGCGCACGGGCAAGGGAAGCTCGTCCCGTCAAAAGGAGGCGCAGTCTTTGGCCAAATCCACACGTCAATTGACACCAGATGAAGGGAAATAGGAGAAGAGTAATTTCATGAGTATTTATGGCACTTATCAATTTCACAGACACTCCCGGATCAATTGGCAGAGGGCCGGGGAACTGTTCCAACTGTTCCCCCCCCCTCCCCTCCCCTGAGAGAGCCACTCACTTGACTGCTATCCACGGATCGACATAATACCTCTACGGTTTGGTCGGTTTTGGAGGGACGGTCTGTGCTGTGTATTGAGTGTGATGTTCACAGTCTCAGATCCACTTGAGCGAGACCGTCATCAATCTGAGGCTTTCCGATTAGCGAGCGCCCAGCCAGGAACCTCGCCAGAACTCGCCAGGAACCTCTGTCGAACCTTCGCTCGCCTGTGCTACCGTGCTCCAACGTGTAGAGCTCCCCCCAGCGTCCCCCCCTTCTGTCCAAGTGCCCTCATGATCCCTCCAAGATCCCCCCGTGATCGTCCGTATAGCGAGTCCCCGGGATTAATATCGTCAAATCATTGCCAGATAGAGACTGACTCTGCAAGATTTGATGGAGAAACTAGCCCGGATGCGCACCATCATGAAGATTCGCTCTTCTTGTCGACCGCCCTATTCGTTCTAGGGTAACGGTCAGTCCCGTTACTCGACAGCTTGACGGCCCGGGGCTGGGGCCGAGATGATTGCCCGGCTGTCTGTCCGTGCTGAGAGTGAGTGCTTTTCTCAGTTAGAGTTGACAGGAACCGGACCGGCTGTTGCTACTACTGCACAGTGATGTGATCTTGATCAGGGCACTCAAGATCGAGACACCCAGGTCATGCCGGATGGTCTCCGGGCTGTTAGTTTCCATGGCTCCGATCACGGTGGCCAAGGGACCATTTGGAGACTCAAAAGGCAGGTGCTGTTCTAATCTTGATCCCGGTGTAGTATGATGCGAAAGGAAGTGGAAGGAGCCATCGAGGAACCTAATTCTAGGGCACCAGGGCCACACAATTTTGGTTCAAACAAGTCACGACCTTGGACCTTCCCCTTGGATACACTCAGCTTTCCACTTCCACTCCGAGCTTTTCTCCCTTGATCCCTCCGATTTCACTTCTCTTCAACGGCTCATCGGAGCAACAATTACAGTCCCCCTGTCGCCCTCAAACGGCGATCACTTTGTCGAGTACAACCTTCTTTTTCTCGTGTGTGCCGTCGTGTGTCTAAGCGCCATGCAACGCGGCAAAGCCCTCATCGTCTCATCGTACCTCTTTCTCTGCACGCCGACGGCATCCGTGATGCATCCCTTGTTGGATCCATGTTTCCTTTGTCCTAGATGAGGCACCACGTCGCGCAGCTTCGCTTCTGTCCAGGACTTCAGGTTGTCTGTCGTCGGTTGTCACTGTGTCCGTCCGGCAGAATCAGCCTCGGCCAGTTTCTGACAGGTGCAGGTGCACTGCAAGCGGAGACCGGTACTACTCCCCTACGCCAGCCCAAGCCAGGTACCTGCCTCGCCGGGGGCTCGCGACCAAAGATGCAAAAAGACTGTATTGCGGTACGATAGTCAAGGTCAGGGCTTCTTCACCATGATCCCTTCATCATCTCACAGCTTTCTTGCGGCCCTCTTTTTGTTTCGGGGTGATCGAAACTAACCTGGAAGGTAGTTAGACTCAACCATACTTTGTCAGTCAACAGAGACAAGACACGGAAAACGCCGCTGCATAGAGAGCTCCAGGTTCCGCTTCCGCCGCCGGGAACTGAACTCACATGCTTTCTCTCTCGTAAACAGATTGCAACACCGAATATCACAAGCAATCTACTCCAACTGTCGTGGATTCCCACTGGTCCAAAGCTCATACCCACATGCGCAGGTCGGACCACACGGAACGGAGAATTTTGCAATGACTCTCTACAGGCCTGCTCGAGCCTCCGTCTTCAACTCGTCCTCGATGACAAGAACTACAGCAACGGTGGAAGTCAACATCAAGATGTCGATCTTGGAAACGCGAGCGGCTACGCCCCATGGCGAACAAGATTATCCGGTCTTCTGGCTGTCTTCAGGGCGTTGTTCTCGCCTAGGGATCGAGTATGGAGGCGGTGGTGGTTGCATACAGGACCGCCAATAGTTGTCCACGCCTTCACACCTCTTTCCTCCATCTGGACACGATAGTGACGATACATGCTAGTTGCCATGTGTCTTCTCCTCCTCCCTCTTCCGCAAGACCGAGAAAGCTGCCCCCAAGTGGTTACATCTCAGCATCTCAACCGGTCCGTCATGCAGCTCCTGGCGGACGGCTGCCTCAAACCTTCGACCCTTCAGTCAAGATACTCTGAGTAGCCGTACCTTGGACACAGGCGTCATTTCCCTTATCTATCCCCTGATTTGTATTGCATACTTCCCGTGATCAAAGAGGCCACGGACATGCCTTCGGCCAAATTGCTAGGTTTCGGCTGAACTCAACATGGCATATAGCCTTTTCGATGCCTCTCTTGTGCCTCTCTGGAGCCGTTGGTCAAACGAACCCCTGCGATGAGTGTCCATCAAGGTGTGTGCATGGCTTTGGCCCGTGTTCTGTGTCTTTTGCATATGCGGCCTTCAGGATTTTGCATACCGGGGGACATGTTCTGATCGAGGAGTTGTGCTTGTCGATTCCAAACACAAACCCCCATTTCTCTGTCCTGGCTTTTCCATCGGTCATCCATGGATCCGCGGAGCAGAGCTCTACGAGGCATTTCGGAACGCCTATTATCGAGACGCTAACTGGGTCAATCTACCGTAGGGCCGGTGAAGGGCTGGTAGAGAGCCAGGCACGGAAGGTATGCATCATGTTTCGTGTGGTCGATTCGGCTGCGCGGCCCGTCTGAAGCGGACATGCTTACCGCGGTTACCTGGCGCCTAGCGGCTACTCATCCCGTCCGTGTAGCCCCCCTCGCTATATAGAGCCATGTTTGAGCTCATCGTTGTCGCTTGTTTTTACCCAAACGTAACGGACGACATATCTGCTTCTTCCGGCACTGCTTGACCAAGACCCGGTGGCTTGGTGGTGTGGTGGCGGCGGCCCAGGATTGCCCTGTCAACAAAAACACATCCAATATCTGTTTCACCTTCTTCTACTATTTACCGGTACCGTGGCGCTGGTCAATATGTCTCTCTAATACCGGTGTTCATCAAAACGTCGCAGATGGTTCCCTACGTGCTTCTACGTGCTTTGGCCGTGCATCGCGGCCCGGGCTGCCAGTTCGTATTCTTCCACCGTGAGCTTCCAGAAGCCAGCACCCATGGATAACATGAGTGTCGACGGGAACACCCGTTGTCTATTACGCGAGTGCTAGACGATGAGCGGAGTTGCGTCCTTGTCCATCTGGTCTGGGAAGGATGCGACATGTTCCCGTGATGAGATAAGGTATACAGGTTAGGCAGTCTTGTTAACTCGTGAGTCCTTTATTGGCCAACAATCCCGAGGCTTCGCTCCTCATATATCCATGGGGTGCAATATCAAAGAGCTGCATATCACTTTCTGCTCCTATCACACTCGCAAATGAGGTGTGAGCAAGCTGAATGGGGACAACCACGTCCAAGGGGCATCTACAATATCAGGGTCAAAGTTTTGCCGTTAGTCACTACCGATGGTCTGAAAGAGACAGAAGCGGGTAATACCATATTCAAACTGGTGCTTTGACTATGCGCTGAGCCAAACGCACTTACTGGCCGCGCCCTGAAGCCACCAAGACACACTTTTTTTTTTTTTTTACCGCCAGCCTTCTATTATCTCCGCAATCCTATCATGTCCTTTTTGTCTGGCAATCCCAGCCGGTGTTCCTTGTCGGTATGTGCCTCCCTTCCTGCCCGCCAAATCATCATACACCTCATGGGCAGCAAACTGCTTCGCCCCTTTCCTTAGCAGTATCCTCACATCTTCCATTTGACCGGCCGCGGCGGCAGCATGAAGAGCCGTGGCTCCTCCATGATCTCTATGGTTCACGTCAAACCCTTCTCCTCCCAATGTCCCATCTTCGCTACTGCGCCCAAAGCTCATCAGCCTTAGCCGCTTGCGGACACTTCCCGTTCTGTTAACCCCCTGTCCTTGCAAAGGCCTCAGGGTTAAGAGGTAGCGTAGTATATGTGGGTGCCCGATAGCCGCCCATAGCAGAGTTGCGTCAACTGCTGTTCTGGTGTTAATATCCGCATGGTGTTTTTCGATTAGGAGCTTGGTTGTGGTCAAGTGACCACCTTCGACGGCGAAGAAGAGGGACGTGTGGCCTGACCAGAGATGTGTTTCGACAATACCACTGTGATCATGCTTCTCGCTGTGGAACGGAGCGAGTGCGTGGGCACCTTGTGGTGGTGAGAGCATCATCTCGACGATAGAGTCCAACCCTAGTCGGCAAGCTTGATGTAGCGGGGTGACTCCGAGCTCGCCCTGCAGAGCAGCGACATCGGCACCGGCCGCTATCAACAGATGGATGATCCGCTCAATCGCAGTCACCGTCACGTACTTGGCATGGGCTACCGCTGCTGATGTCCCCGGGCTGCTTGTAGTCTTGGAGGCAAGAGTGGTGGCGGCAGTCAGTCGCTCCAAAGCTCTCCATAGCAGCGACTGCCCATCATAAGTATGATTCGCATCCGCACGGCCATGCATCAACAGCATCTGCACAATCTCATCATGAACACCCTCCACCGCCAGCGCGAGAGGCGTCAGTCCGTCGTTATTTACACCATCCACTGGCATCCTAGCCCTGATCAACAGGCCCACGATCCCCTCATGCCCGCCCTGAGATGCCACGTGCAACGGCGTCATGCCGGTTGAGCTGCTCGCCACATGTACATCCGCACCGTGTGCCAGTAGCGTTTCAACCAGCTCATTATTCCCCAATGCAGATGCCATGAGCAAGGGAAAGTTCCCCTTCCCTCCAGACAGGTTAGGGTCAGCAGCCCCTGCTTGGATCAGCACCCGAGCAATGTCCGTACAGCCTGCTGTTATGGCGGCTAACAACGGGGTGGAATCGCCAACGAAGCGGTTGATGACGGCACCGCGCTCGCAGAGAAGGGAAACGATTTCGGTGCTGCGCTTGGCGATGGCCAAGTAAAGAGGGGTTCTTCCACTCTTGGTCGCAGCGTTAATATCGGCGCCGCAGTCGAGGAGTTGCCTGGCTGCAGCTAGGTGGACGTTGTGGACCGCTTGGTGAAGAGGCATGTGGCCTGTTTCGTCTGGCAGGTTTGGGTTGGCGCCATGGGAGCAGAGGATCTTGACCGTTTCTACCTTTTCATCCTCGCTGGACTTCCCAGAAGATGGGGGAGACGAAGCCGAGCCGTAGCTGCTTGCTGCGTAGTGAAGCGCTGATCGCCCAAATATGTCAACAGCGTCTAGCTTGGCGCCGAGTTCGCATAGTAAGGTGATGGATGCAGGGGGGAATCCGTTCTTGGTGGCTGTAATGATGGCTGCTCTTTCGTTCTGTTGGTTGCTTCTAGGTTTGCGCCTGAAAGGGCGAGAAAGTTGGCGGCATCGACCGAACGAGCGGCGAGGGCCTCATGAAGGGGTGGTAGGCTTGATCCTCGTCGTTGGATGTTGGGGTCGACGCGGCCCTCTTTGATGAGCTTGAGGATTGCGCCGGTATCGCTCTTATCAATGGCGTGATGAAGCTGCTCGGCGAGTTGGGTGGTACTTTGGCGACGCTTTTTTGGTACTGGACCAAGTTTGAGCGATAAGGTCCTGGTTACCCGACGGTCTGCAGTGAGGAGGGGACTGGTGTGTGGTTGCGGTTGAGTCTTTGGTGTGGATGGGTGAGTGAGTCCCCTCAATGGGGTGCTGGGTTCTGGTACTAGTGATGGGAGGCTCTCCTCGCCAGGAAAGAGGTCGTCTAAACTGGTGGCTGCATCGTCGCCGAATGTGTCTGCGCCGAATGGGCTTGTGCTGATCAACTGTTTAGTAATTCCATTGAGGACCAAAGGGCAGGTTTCCGACTTACGGTGACAGGCCCTTCGTCATATACTCAAAAGACGCGAGGTGCTTTGGGGTCATGGGCGAGGATGGCTGAGACGACATGCCCAGACCGCTATCGAGACTGAGGCCATCGTCTAGCTCTATCCTTGAAGCTCTGACGTGATGGAACATGGCTGATGTTGTTGACTCCAGACACGGACATTAAAAATATATATGAATTGGATGGAAATACGTACGAAGGGTTTAAAAGGTAAGTAAATGGATGAAGCAAAAAGCGAAAAGGGGAAGGGGATGTGCAGATCGTCGACATGTCGTACAATTGTGTAGCTTATAAACAATCCAATCCACAACCCACTCTCGCCGAGCAACCAAGCAAAGCAGACAAGGAGTCTGACCAAGGAAGAAAAACAAACCAACCAGCGACCAACCACGCTAGCGGGATCACAAAAAAGAAGGTTGCCTGGTAAGACCTGGTTCACCTCGTGGTACTACTAGTCAGGTACCAATCCTACAAAAAGTTCGGCACTCAGCACTAGTGTTGTGCTAACTAGTTCAACTTCGTCTCTTCAGCGGCAAGCAACAACAACAACGTGACTTGTCTCTCTTTGAACTAAAGAAACGAAGGGAAATTGGTGGCTTTTGACTGAGCACGTCGGACGAGAGGCGTCAACATCAGAGGTGCGGCATGCCTCTTACAACACTGCAACCGGGGAAGCCCGTAGCGTAGGTCCGTACCTACCATAGTGCACGTGTCGTGATAGCGCTGCAGTGTGCGCTTTTCCCGCAATCACATCGTGGTCAATATATGTCTTCTTTGGGGAGGATTTCCTGATCGGGACCAATTGAGGCGTTCGTGAGGCGCTTGCTTGAATGACACCAACAAAAAGATGGCTGGCTGAGACGCATAGTAAACTAGCTAAACATCACTTGATATTTTTCTGCGGAGGTAATTTCCAATACTCATGTCCCGTTTCAATGGAGGCCTGAAATGTAGGTGAAAAGGGGTTCAGTTCAGTTCAGTTCAGTTCATGGCGTTTTCGGGGCTATCGGGGAGAAGGAAGAGTCTTTCTTTCTTTTGAAGGAGGGGGGAGATGACTGAATGGCTGCATGGCTGCATGGTGTCCACTTGAGATATTGAGGGAAACGGTTGCCCCGGATTGGAGGCTTGAACGAGAGGGGGACCTGACCTGAGGACCCTCAGAAGAGAAAGGACCATAACGAAAAATCTGGGGACGGAAGATCGGAAAGAAACCAAGACGCAAGACGGGAGATCCAGATGGCCGGTGTTCGTTCAAACGGCGAGCGGCGTCGACATCGGTTTCGGATCTGGGGTGTGCGGAACGCTTTTGTTTTTCTCTTCGATTATGAGGTTGACATACAGGATCTGGCGTTCTCTTGAATCCGATGAGCGATGAGGGTTGTGGTAGCAGATAGTAGAGACGGGAGGTAGAGGTACTTGATGACCTGAAGTTGGGGGATGATCGTATGAGAGGATGTGTTTGGGACCACAGATGTGACTGATGGACGACACCGAGAGAAATGTGAGATGACAGTCGGAGTAGAGGTGCTCAATGCCGGTAGCGCGTTGTTGCAGCGTGCCGTCCGATGCGTGGTGCCTGATGTCTCTATGGTGACGGCATGGGTGTATATGCAGTAAAGAGAAAGCTCGCTTGGCAGCTGGCATCTTTGCTTGGCGTCGGCTCCGAAAGCTACCCCGGCTTACTCCACAGCAGGTTCCCCACCGAGCCGCTTCCATGATCGTCACCAGTTGCTTCCACCGTCATTGAGACTTTTGACAATTGAAATCGGTAATCCGTACGGTACCCCATTACCATATCAACGATTATCAGTGCATTTCGACATTAAAGGGTGCGACATCCGTGATAACCTCAACAAGCACATTCAGCAAAAAGCGACAAAGTGGCCAACCTTCTTTGGACAGCGCAAAAGGGGGAATCCGCTGCACCGACCGGCCATACTGCTGCAGCGCCTCCAGCCGACATCAAACCCAAGCCTAAGAACACCATGGTCCAGCCAACACCCGCGCCGTCCGGGCCGGCGCTCACTCCCCAGTTTTGCTTTTCGACACAAACCTTACGAGGTCAGTTTTCATTTCATGACAGTAGCTCGTCTTACGTTTCTTGTTTACTAATCCACATCAATTCATACAGACTTTCTAAGAGTCTCTCGCTCCTCCATCGACGACACCATAACCCAAAACCTCAACGCCCTCGTCACTCCCGCGCGGGCGGGCTTCGATCCATCCTCCACCACCCTACGCTCCCCGCGCCCCTTATCTCGCCAAATCGACCCCTCGGCGTGCCAAGAATTCAAAGACCAAGTGTTGTTTCCCTCCTGGCAGGCGCGCTCGCAGGTGCTCAGCTACTGCGCTTTGGTGGCCACGAGCCCGGACCCGGACGACCCGGAGGTGGTGATTCGGGAGGCCGAGAAGCAGAAGGATCGGGAAAGGGTGGTGAATGAACGGTTGGACCCCTACTCGGCGAGGTTTTTCCCGAGAGAGCCGCGGACGGAACAGCTGGCGAGTGTCATCAGGATGGAGCAGGGCGTGGAGAATATTGTGAGGACGAGGACGTGGGGGATTGTGGGGGAGAGGTGTGGGAGTGATGGGCGGACGTGGGAGCAGGCTTTGGGGGAGTGGAGGAAGGATAAGCATTTGCCTTTAGCGTAATGATGGCAGGGTGGTGGTGAGGTTGTGAAGAGGTGTAAGTTGAAAGTGTTTGTATAGCGTTGGGTATGGCGTACGGGATGGAATGTGCAACGATATACACGATTTTGTAACTGTACAGCAGTGGCTTTTCTGTCAAGATATGGGAAGAAAAAAGCGGAATCATCTACACTCCAGCTTGGATTCAGCATCTCATCAAGAAAGTCTCATGGTCTCGGGATGAGTTATCGCGGGATCTGGTGGAAGGCTTCCGTGTCTTCGGTGTTGTTACCGAGAGGGCCGAGCCGGAGTTTAGCTAAAGGTTAACCCCACTTATAGGGAAAGCGACTTGGAGAGCTTTCCGGTTGTTAACCAATCAGTAGAGAGCATCTCTTGTTTCAATGCACCTGCGACCATCTCATCAAATTGTCAGCTGTAAACTCCCACTTACAGTTTGGGGAAGGTGCAACGTCGACGCCGACAAGGACTGGAATAGTCACGTCCGTCAAGCACTCAAGGTCGTCACGCGTATTTTATTTGCTGTAGAGTTCAGGTACGTTTACTCATTTCCGTTTCCAAGCTCAAGTGTTTCCGGGAGTTTTGCGGTGCAAACTGGACCCTCTGTGTTTTGGCACTCTGTGTTGGTTTGTTGGAGCAAAAGTTGTCCCACCAGGCTCCGCTCCACTCTCCGACACCGAAACAGCGACACCCGCTTTCACCAAAACCAGTCCACTCTCGGCCGGCCCCTCGTCTCCCTCCCCCACGAACTGATCCCTGACCTGACATACCTACAGTAGTGGCAGTCTCCGACTCAATTCGAGCATCCCGTCTACATCCTCCCCCGAGCTCAACAACACCAAACTTCGCGACAATCGTCTCCCAGCCGCAACCCAACCCCGCGGCCATATTTCGACTCGGAAACAAAAACAGACCCGCCCTCATCGTCCCACCCCACAGTCCATTCCTCGATGCCGCAAACCCTGAGCACGAGAGAGGCCAACCTCTTTCGTACCGTCATCCGCCACTATGAGGAGAAGCAGTACAAGCGCGGCTTGAAGGCCGCCGAGCAGATTCTCAAGAAGAACCCCCGCCATGGTGACACCATGTCCATGAAGGCCTTGATCATGAACTCGCAGGGCAAGACCGAGGAGGCCTTTGCCCTTGCCAAGGAGGCTCTCACCATCGACATGAAGTCCCACATCTGCTGGCACGTCTACGGCATCCTCTACCGCCAGCACAAGAACTTTGACGAGGCCATCAAGGCCTACAAGTTCGCCCTCAAGCTCGAGCCCGAGTCCCAACAGATCCAGCGCGACCTCGCCGTCCTCCAGGTCCAGATCCGCGACTACCAGGGCTACGTCCAGAGCAGGTTCGCCATGCTCAAGGCCAAGCCCCATCTCCGCCAGAACTGGACCGCCCTTGCGATCGCCTACCAGCTCGAAGGCAGCCTCGAACAGGCCGAGAACATCCTCACCACCTACGAAAAGTCCATGACCAACGTTCCCCTCAAGACCGACCAGGAGCACTCCGAGGCTCTCCTCTACAAGAACACCATTATTGCCGAGCGCGGCGACATTCAGCGGGCGCTCGAGCACCTCGATTCCGACTGCAAGAACTGCCTGGACAGGTTGGCCGTTATGGAGATGCGGGCGCGCTATTTGAGTCAGCTCAACAGGAAAGAGGAGGCGGCGAAGGCGTGGCGGGCACTGCTGGACAGGAACCCCGAGCACCCCGAGTACTACGAGGGTCTGATCGAGGCTTTGGAGATTGATGAGAAGGACGAGGCTGGCCTCAAGGCCATCTACGACGAGTATGCTGCCAAGTACCCTCGCTCGGATGCCGCCAAGAGGTTGCCTCTCAACTTCCTCACTGGCGATAGCTTCAAGGCTGCTGCCAAGAGCTATCTGACCAACATGTTGGATAGGGGTGTGCCTTCGGTGTTCGCCAACCTGAAGCACCTCTACTCTGATGTTGCCAAGAAGGAGGCCGTCCTCGCCCTTGCCGAGGAGTATCTGAAGGAGCACAAGGGGTCTGAGCAAGCGAACGGCGACAGCTCCAAGGGTGTCGGTGCTGCTCTCTACTTCCTGGCGCAACATTACAACTACCACCTCAGCCGCGACCTTGCCAAGGCCATGGAGTACGTTGAGCAGGCTATCGAGCTCGATCCCAAGAACGTCGACTTCCACATGACCAAGGCTAGGATATTCAAGCACCAGGGCGATACCGCCAAGGCCTCCGAGGCAATGGAGAATGCCCGTAAGCTCGATACCAAGGATCGTTACATCAACTCCAAGGCCGCTAAGTACCAGCTACGGAACAACGAGAACGAGAAGGCTCTCGAGACCATGGGTCTTTTCACCAGGGCTGAGACCGTTGGCGGACCCCTCGCTGACTTGACCGACATGCAGTGCATGTGGTTCTTGACTGAGGACGGTGAGGCCTGGCAACGGCGTGGCAACACCGGCTTGGCGCTCAAGCGTTTCACCACCATCCACAACATTTTTGACATCTGGCAAGAGGACCAGTTCGATTTCCATAGCTTCTCCCTCCGCAAGGGTCAGATCCGTGCCTATGTTGACATGATCCGCTGGGAGGACAGCATCCGCGAGCACCCCTTCTACTTCCGCGCTGCTCTTGACGCTGTCAAGCTGTACCTCGACATGTTTGAGAAGCAGCAGGCTGCTGCCAATGCCACCAGCGGCACTGGTGAGGCTACCAACGGAGATGATGCCGCCGAGAAGAAGAAGGCTGCCAAGAAGGCCCGCAAGGAGGCTCAGAAGGCCGAGCGCGAGGCGGCTGAGAAGGCTGCCAAGCAGGATCCCAATAAGGCGACGGCCAAGAAGGACGAGGAACCTAAGAAGAAGGACGACGACCCCAACGGCCTCAAGCTCGCTGCCACAACGGATCCTTTGGGCGAGGCCATGAAGTTCCTCAACAACATCTTGCAGTTCAGCCCCAAGAACATTGAGGGCCAAATTGCTGGATTCGATGTTTACCTCCGCAGGAGTAAGTTTTGACACAGCCCTTGTATCTGATTCGTTACTAATAAATCGTACAGAGAAGTACCTTCTTGCGCTGCGCTGCTTGAACGCGGCCCAGGCGCTCAACGCCGAGCATCCCCGTGTTAAGGAGCAGTTTGCTGAGCTTCAGAAGGCGGTTGAGTCTCTTGACGATGCTCAGTCGGCCAAGGTCAAGGAAGTGCTCAAGGCCAAGTTCAGCTCTTAGAGGAAGCAAGACCGGGCTGTTATGGGCATATTGGCGGAGTCGGACCTCAGCAAGGAACCGGAAGCCCGACCAGCCGAACCCATATTAACGCCATTGCAATACATGAGCGATGCGCTTTCGCACCTCGCTTTCGCACCTCGAGATTTGATAAAGTCAGCTGTCAGCTGTCAGCCAGCATAAAAGCCCAACGAACGAGCCGCAGAGTTGAAGCTTGGGGGAGTAGAACTAGGTTATCAGAGGTTCTGAGGTATCTATCTCTATTCACTACTTTATATGTGGCGGAAGATGGAACGAGGTAGATAGACGGGTGTAAGTGGATGGGCTGATACAGCTAGCGGGGAGATGCCTGCCTGGGTTGACCGTTTGACTTGAAAGGGTCAGGATTTCACTACTAGCAAGGAGGGTCATCCGGCCGGGACAAAGAAAGAAAGGTATTCCAAAAGTTTAGGTTGATTTGCATACTTTAGTTGCCTATAGGAAGAAGGGAATGTGTAGACGGGGTGATGGCGAGGGAGCATTGGACTTCTTTTTGAACGCCGGAGTTTTGATCATCATCGACTTTTCTTTCTGTGCATATACATACACAGGCCGCATTATCTATCCCGCGATGTTCTCTCAAGCTCTTGAGGCTTGATGTGGTTCGTAGGTTTGAGGTTCTTCACCATCTGTCGCCCGATGTTGTGCGGGCGCGCATGGCCAAATCTATCACAACGGCAAAAAAAAAAAAAAAAAAAAAAGAACCAGAGACATCTCTAGTAACACGGTGTTAGTCTCCGAGATATCCGGCGTATCCGGTGCCGAGTATACTGTCGTTTAGCGGTTGGGCGGTGCCGGGTCTCCGGTCTTTGCTACGGATAGACCCAACCGTGGTGCGGGAGTTCATCTCATCCAGACGGGAAGCGTTCACTGTCAGCACACACAGCATGGCACAGCATGGCACAGTGCCACTCACCTGCCGGCCGCCCCGCCATGCTCCGGCAGTGACTGACTACCTTGCCTAGCGCGTGCAGTGAGATTCGGTGCAAGTGCGGGCATGCTTCCTGGTGCAGTTGATGGATGCACGATGTTTTAGGTGCGGCGATGCAGAAGCAGCCTTGGAAAATATGATACATCTGCACCGTTAAGGGGATATGGGCCTTGATACGGGCGTAAGCTCCATACAGCCATCATACAGTCGGGTCCGATACTCGTTTGTTTGTTGGCTCGAGACCTCTGGTCGACTTTCCCAGGCGTTTATATACCTCAAGCCAACAAACAAACCAGCATTAAATTGTACATGTACTCCCAGCTCGAGATAAGGGCACATCAGTCTGATAGTCTGATGACCTTTCTTCCGACTTTCAAACCAAAGTCACAGGCTCCCGCCAAAACAAACTTCTATACTTCCACCCACCTTTCTCAGTGCCCCCTCTCCTCACAACAAACTCCTCCGCATGATACCTATTCCTCCCCACCACATCCGCCTCAAGCCCCCCATCATACAACGGATGCCCCACGAGCGCCTCTTCCCCATACATCCTTCTCGCCAACAAACACTCCTCAACAAGCTGTCACTCCTTCACCGGAAGTCCTTCCTGACCGATCTTTCTTGATTCAAAGACGGCCGGACAATATACCCTGTCCTTGCCCCCTCTGCGAGCAGGACCCTGTCCCCTTCCGTTGCATACGCATGTCTGACCCCAACCCTTCCGTCATCCGTGGCGAAGACTCCCCAGGCAAGAGCTTGCAAGACGAACGGATCGAACGATGACTCCACCAGATCCGGCCTCCCTGCCGTTGTTGCCGTCTTTGTTGTTGCAAGTCTCTTGAATATCTGCTTGCATGAAGAAGGGGAACAGCTTGTCTTCCTTGGGATTGTAGGTGCTATCGAGGAGTTGTAGGCTATCCCGGAGGAGCAAAGCCACCTCCGCCACGGAGAGACGGGAGTAGAGGGCGATGCCTGTGAGGAGGGTGTGGAGGTTGGACAGAGGTGTGATAAGGCTCAGACCTTTCGTTGTTATGCGGGCCACGATACAACCTGGCAGAGTGATATTGTTGCTGTCTACTCCATCTTGCGCTTGACTGGTAGCGCTTTTGATGACGCGGTAAACACATCGAGGAGTTGAACATGAAGATGGCGGACATTACCTACCTCTATGCCAGCAGAGAACTTGGGTGAGCCATCCACATGCTTGTGGAGTGCAAAAGGGGGTATTTCTCCATAGTCCTTCTTGGAGTCAATCGCCCAACTCGGAAGCGTTGAGTCTCTGAAAAAAGACCGTTGTCCTCTTACACGACACAGAGATGGACTTCTTGTCCGGTTGGAGTAGATATGCTTGGGCCAAACCCGGCGGCCCCACAAGTGCCAGCTGCAGTGGGGCTTTGCTAAGTCCAGAAAGAACATGATTGGTTTGCTGGTTCAATGAAATGGAATGCCACGGGCCAGTGCACTCACTTGCTGCAGTGCTCTGTTCACGGCGTCTCCAAACTCGTAGGATTCCATTCAATGCATCCCTCTCTGTCCAAGTGCTGACTTTGACTTTGGACAGCTGTTCATCTTTTTCCTGGACAAAACACCAAAACACCAAGCTGTTTCACGCACAACAGAGGTTCCAATTGACGCCAGTGACCTGCCCCATTCCAAACAAACTGCCCTCTTGTCACATCACTGAACCTTTACCTTCTCAATCCATCATTCTTATCCCAGGGGAAACCGTCAAGGTTGTCATTCCATTCCACTTGTCCGCCGCCCTCGTTGCTCCCTCCCCGCTTCCATCCCCGTACCATTAGGCCCACTACAACCCACTGATCGCAATATCCTGGTACCTTGAGTCGGCCGTTGTCACCAATTACATATACGCAGAAGGATCCCCTCCGATACCCTCCCACGTCTCCTGAACGAGCTCCCGAACATTCTCCCGACTCTCGGGGTTGCGGTGACATAGCTATCATACACCCGGAACACCTACCACACGTGCGTGTCCGAATCGTTCCTCCCTCCCGTCCCCAGCCGCCATCATCACTTACGGGCAGGCTAACCGGAACCTAAAGACTATCATTATCAGCTTCGTGAACTCTACACTTGCCCTATCGCTGGACCGACGATGCAGCTCAAGAACCACGCGCCCTCCGGGGTGCTATTAGCTTCGCTGCTTGTAGCACCTCAAATCGCATCCGCTTTCTACCTTCCCGGTGTTGCGCCGACGACTTATAAGCCAGGCGAGCAGGTGCCCCTCTACGTGAACTCGATACGACCGGTTGCCGCCCCCGATGCGCTCCTACACTCGGTCGTTTCCTATGACTACTACCAACCCCATTTCCAGTTCTGCCAGCCCGAGGGAGGGCCGAAAAGCGTGGGCGAGAGCTTGGGAAGCATCCTGTTCGGAGACAGGATAAAGACGTCGCCCTTTGAGCTGAAGATGAAGCAGAACGAGACCTGCAAGATGCTGTGTCCGACCACATACAAGCAAGGGGTTGCCTTTTACGTAAACGACAAGATCAGGCAGGGTATGAGCCTGAACTGGCTCGTGGACGGACTTCCGGCAGGGCAGAGGATCAAGGACGAGTTGACGGGCACCGAGTTCTATAACCCGGGCTTCCTGATGGGCCAGGTTGACGCAGACGACAAGGTCATCTTCAACAACCATTACGATATCCTTATCGAGTACCACGAGGTCAGCGGAAACCCAGATCAGCTTCGCGTTGTTGGCGTTCTGGTACAGCCGGAGTCCAAGAAGTACACCAAGGATATTCCCAAGGAGAGCACCGATGTTTGTCTGTCCAACTTTGAACCGCTCCAGCTCAAGGAGGACGGCGAGACGAAGGTGCAGTTCACCTACAGTGTCTACTGGATTCCTTCCCAGACCGCTTGGGCTACTCGCTGGGACAAGTATCTCCACGTGTTTGACCCCAAGATTCACTGGTTCTCACTCATCAACTCGGCCGTCATCGTCGTGTTCCTCACCCTGACTGTCATGTCCGTCTTGGTTCGTGCCCTGCGAAAGGATATTGCCCGCTACAACAGGCTCGACCAGATCAACTTGGATGATCTCTCTGGAACTTCCGCTCTGGAGGACGGCGTTCAGGAGGATTCCGGCTGGAAGCTCGTGCACGGCGACGTGTTCCGCACACCCTCGTACCCTATGCTACTCTCCGTCTTCCTCGGTAACGGTGCCCAGATCTTCGTCATGACCGGCTTCACCATTGCCTTTGCTCTTCTGGGCTTCCTCTCCCCGTCCAACCGTGGCTCTCTCGGCACCATCATCCTCTTCCTCTACACCATTCTCGGCTTCGTGGGCGGCTACACCTCTGCGCGCATCTACAAGTCCATGGGCGGCGAGAAGTGGAAGATGAACATCATCCTCACCCCCGTCCTGGTGCCCGGCATCGTCTTCGGCACCTTCTTCCTCCTGAACCTCTTCCTGTGGGCTAAGGAGTCTTCGGGCGCCGTTCCCTTCACCACCATGCTCGTTATCATCCTGATCTGGTTCATCATCTCGGTCCCGCTCTCCGTCACCGGCTCCTGGCTCGGCTTCCGCGCCGCCGCCATCGAGCCGCCTGTCCGCACCAACCAGATCCCGCGCCAGATCCCGCCCGTGACCACGTACCTGAAGCCGGTCCCGAGCATGCTCCTGGTCGGTATCCTGCCCTTTGGCGCCATCTTTGTCGAGCTCTACTTCATCATGAGCTCCATCTGGTTCAGCAAGATCTACTACATGTTCGGCTTCCTGTTCCTGTGCTACGGCCTCATGATCCTCACTTGCGCAACCGTCACCATCCTGATGGTCTACTTCCTGCTCTGCGCTGAGAACTACAACTGGCAGTGGCGCGCTTTCTTGGCGGCTGGCGCGAGCGCCGGATATATCTTTTTGAACGCCATCATTTACTGGGCCAGCAAGCTCTCGCTCACGAGTTTTACCGGTAGCATATTGTATATCGGATATAGTGCGCTGATCTCCTTCCTCTTCTTTATCCTTACTGGTAAGTTGACCTCCATCTTCCCTGGGCATCATGGAATTACCTGCTAACTGAAACGCCACAGGCTCGATCGGTTTCTTCTCCAGCTGGTGGTTCGTACGCAAGATCTACTCTTCCATCAAGATCGATTGATCGAACGCTGAGGAGGATAGAACGGTATGAACAGGAGGATGAGTGATATTTATTCTTAAATGTGGGGCAAGAAAGACAAGGCAAAGATGAAGAAGCCTTGCTGTACAACATATGGGTAGAGTCGGACTGCTACCCCTGATCTGGCTTAGAGAAAACAAAGACAACTGGAGGTAAATGGGCGTGAGGATGGATGGTATCTTCTATTTTTGTGTATCGTCATATTTAGCCTTTTATTTAACCTTGGAAAGATCAATAGCTGCTCGTGAGAGCCATATCCTTTGGTCTCTTCTAGTTTCGCCTTCACATACCACCTGCAACGCCGATCATGGGTATCAAAGCCACACATTCTTTTCCCCCCTTTTGTTGTCCCACGCACTGTGTCACCAACAGCCCAGCCCGGCCCACTCTAATCCTCATCGTCGTCGTCATCATCATCCATCCCATCCAAGAAAGTAAACTGGCTCCTTCCCCCACCACCAGCACTTGGCGCCGCAGCCGGAGCACCTCCCGCCCCGCCAGCCGGCCCCGAAATACTCCCACTCCTCTCCGCCTCCTCTCTCCTGATCCGCTCCCTCTCCCTCGCCATCCGTTCCCTCTCCTCCCGCATCTTTCTTTCCTCCTCCTCCCTTTCCCGTATCGCCCTCTCCTCCGCCTCCTTCCTAGCCTCTTCTTCTTCCTTCTTGCGTCTCTCTTCCTCCTCCGGATCATAACCCCTGGGGTCTACGGCCCGCGAAATCAGCGACTGGTAGGCCGCCATGCTGCCCATGCGCACCTTGTCCTCCGTCGGCCAAGGGTGGAATTGGTAGCCTGTTAACAGATTGATGTGTGGCTTGAAGTCGTCGGGGAGGGCGGTTTGGTTGGCTGAGGGAGCGGGTGGGGGTTGGGAGAAGGGGGCTGTTGTTGTGGTGGTGACAGGGCCGGAGGCAGCGGGTGTGGGGGCCGCGCTGGCGGCTGGGGGTGCCTGCTGCTGTTGCGCCGCCGGGCATGGGTGTTGGCGCTGCCGAGTCGAGTTCCATTGGTTGTCCTCCTCCTCCTCCGCCTGGTCCTCCGCCTGGTCCTCCGCCTGGTCCTCCTGCTTGTTGTTGTTGGGATTCGCTGCCATCGACGATCAGGTGCGCGGGTGGAAGCGTGGTGCGACTTATGCGCTTGGCGTAGTTGAGCAGCTCATGCGTGGTGAACTTGTACTTGGGTCCGGTGGCAGGGTAGTTTGTCGCCGGCGTGGTTTTGACTTCTTTGCGCATGTTCCAGAGCCCGCCGATGATGTCCTTGGTTTGCTGGTCGAGTGAGGCCGTCTCTTGGCGCAGCTGGAGGATGCGCGCGTGGTTGTTTTGGTGTCGCTCGAGCTCTTTGAGACCCGCGGCCAGCTCGCGGTCGGCGGCCACGAGGTCTTCGGCCAGCTTCTCCGAGGGGTTGTATTTAGCAATTGAGTCGATAAAGGTCGCGAGGGCCTTTTCTACCCGCTCGAAGCGGGTGTCAAGGTATTTGTCCATCTTTCTTTGGGGTGGATTTGGAGAGTACGTAGATCGTTTTGCGCTGTGGGTAGGAGGTCGCGTGTCGTGTGTTTTCGATGGCGGTTTCGGGTCTAGGGACGGCAGTGAAAGTACGCGAGCAGATACGAGCCGGAATTTTGCAAGTAAGTCAGACGCGATCAGGTCAATGCTGTTGGTACTGAGTTGAGAAATCAGTGAAGACTCGTCTCGAGCCTGAAAGTTGACAATGATGGATGAATGGTGGGGCGTTTCAGTGCTACGACGACACGCCGTTGAGGTGCGCGCCAGTGACGGGACCAGGATGCAACTCTAAAAGAGGATCCACTCTTCCCGTCGGCCCAGGCTTCAGGTTACCGGCCGGCAAAAGCTCCCAGACTCACTGCGAATCATCAAGCTTCTGATTGGTGCCTGAGGCCGCAAAGTGATCCCGGCTTCGTCCGGCAAAGAATCTCGCGCATCGCGGTCCATCCAAAACCAGTTCCTAGTTCGAGATCTTGTCGCAGCCATTGAAGCACCAGCTCGCTCGTTCTCGACGCCATAGCCAAGATGTTCGCCGTACGTGCCCACGCCGCTCCCCAGATGCCCGATTTTCCATATCGAATTACACAGCGTCACATTTCCATGATGTGACAAGCGACGATGCCGAGTTTTGCCGAAAACAGACACGATGCCCGTATGACGACAGAATAACATGGAGCTAACCTCGATACTTCGCGAATCCATAGACTTCCGCTCTCCGTTCTTCGTACCCTGCGTACAAGAGCCCCTACGGCCCTAAGTAAGCGACGACCAAGACCACGATTCGCCCGCAAACCGACAAGCCTACTGGCAACGATTTGGACATGGCGGGAAAACAGCTCAGGGACAAGCTGCTGATGCGTTGGAATTAGGTACCAGTACCAGCCTCACTTCGCTGGCATCACTGCCAAGCAGGTCTACAGACTGTAGGTTACCTATTCCGCCGATTATCTTGGGTTCGGGTTGGGTAGGAGCTATGGGAGCTATGGGGAGCTTGGAGGAAACTTTGGAAGGAGAAAGGGCCGTTTCTCCAAGGTCCGAGCAGTATGGGCGGACGAGAGCTAGGGACGGGGGAATGGTGCAACAGTTCTGACAGTTCTGTTGCGTCGAAGGAGAGACCGCCCAATCTGCCTTTGGAGGAGCGGCCAGATTCTATCGGAGAGGATGCGGCGTGGACAAGAACCGTGACCAAAAGCTAACTGCCCGTTGCTACAGCCTCCCCACCTCCGCTGCTTTCGGTGGTGTCGCCCTCTTTGCCGTTATCTTCTACGCTTCCGGCATTCCCCGTGTCAAGAGCGACCTCCTCCAGGTATGAAGAAGCCACTGTCTTGGAGAATTGTCGGTATCAGATCACTAACGGCCACTCAGCACATCCCCTACTTCGGCCAGAAGTACTTCGTCAGCCACATCCCTGCCTCTGACAACGTGAGTTTCATGACTTTTCGGCTGCGCATTATTAAGAGTCTATCTAACATATTATAGCCGTTCTAAATTATCTCTTTGATACCAACGGAGGGCATGGTGGGGTTGTTTGGCGCTGGGGATGGAATGTTGTCTGGTTGGACAGGCGCCTGCCGTATGATACGGCTTGTATGAAATACAGCATTTTATAGACAACTACACATCAAGCCATCGTTTTCCTCCTAGTCAGCAGTACGTGGATGATCACAGGTTTTGAGAAGACGGGTTCTCAGCTTGACCATATTCTAGAAGGTCTTTAGGTCATGACGAGATGGGATGGATGATGCGCACAGACCCTTTCGGCTTCCAGGAGTGGGGCCGTCATTAACAGCTCCTTGCCAAGACGCATCGTCAACACCATTGAGATGTCCCTCGTCACTAACACCTCTACATCAACCATCAAATTGCACTGGTGAAGATCATTGGTCAGGCATTCCGACTTCTACGTTGTGTTTTCACCTGTCAAATCCTTTCTTCCACAAGGGTATGACGTCCACTCGTTTCTCACCTTGATCCTCAACTTCCTTCACGATGGATGCTTTACGTGTCCTCCTGGAGACATCCACGTTCAACGAGGTGGTGAGAGGTCTGGCTATCTCCATCCTTCTAGCCAAACTCGTTCCAAGCGGCGCAAAATCACAGGACTCTACCTTTATCACAGCCAGCGGCTTCCTGCTTCTTTACTTTTTCGCTCGCTCTTGGCTGGCTCTCGTGAACCACTATGCCCCTGAGCCCTACCTGGTGAGAAAGCCCTTAACTATTCTGTCACCCATGCTCAGTCACTAACACAGACATCAGGACGAAGTCTTCCACATCCCACAAGCCCAAACCTACTGTGAAGGCCGCTACCAAGAATGGGACGACAAAATCACCACTCCCCCGGGCCTGTACCTCCTCTCCGTAGGCTGGCACAAACTCATGCGTCTGGCCGAGTGCACTCCTTCCTCTCTGCGCTCCAACAACCTCTCAGCCACCCTCCTTACAGCCCTTCTTGCTCTATCCTGCCGGCGTAGAATTGAGGCCCACACTACGATTGGAAAAGAGAAGAACGATGTTTCGTTCTACGCTTACCATACCGCCATCAACATCGCTCTGTTCCCCGTCATCTTCTTTTTCTCGGGGCTCTATTACACTGATGTTGCGTCTACGCTGGTGGTGCTGGTGGCGTATCGGAATCACTTGAATCGCGTGGCTTCTCATTCCGAGTCTGAGAAGCCCGGGGTTTTCAATGGGCTCTGGACTGTTGTCTTGGCCGTTGCAGCGCTGTTTATGAGGCAAACGAATGTTTTCTGGGTGGTGGTGTACATGGGCAGTTTGGAGGCTGCGCATGTGGTCAGGGGATTGAGGCCCAAGCCGGTTCCTGAAAAGGAAACTCCGAGTATTTTCCTTTCGAAGCCAGGAGAGTTCTTCGCTTTTTGGCTGAGGAGATATGCGGTGGGTGATGTACATGATCCACCGGTTGATATGGCCTGGCCTGATGGTATGTTTCCCTACATTACCTCTTCCTGAAAGTGAAGGATGCTGATGTATCTTTACAGATTGGGCCTTGAGTCTTTTGAGTATCGGAATCGCTGCTTTTTGCAACCCTCTTAGGGTGTTGAAGCAGGTGTGGCCTCATATTACCACCATGGGGCTCTTTGCTGGGTTCGTGGCTTGGAATGGTGGTGTTGTACTTGGTTAGTCTCTCCTCTTCCTCCTAACTTGTGAACGATGAGATCCTAACTATCAAACAGGAGACAAATCCAACCACATCGCTACTATCCATCTCGCCCAGATGCTCTACATCTGGCCTTTCCTTGCCTTCTTCTCCGCTCCTCTTCTCATTTCCCCCGTTCTTTCTACTGTCGCGAACTTCATCTCTCGCGCCAAACGTACCACACCCTCAAACTCCACCACCGACAACCCAGGCCTCTCTTCTCTTAGGTCTACAAAACCATCAATGAAACCCGCAAAATCCTCCACGACCAAACCACCTGAAACCACGACCCCCGCTCCCTCCTTTTCCGCCGCCAAACCCTCAGGACCCGGCTCCCCCCTCCTGAATATCCTCTACTTCCTCCTCTCCCCCAAACTCTACTACCCGTTCTACCTCCTCGCCACCGTTCTCCTCTCCGCAGCCATCGTCAAATACAACACCATAATTCATCCCTTCACCCTCGCCGACAACCGGCACTATATGTTCTATGTCTTTCGATACACCATCCTCCGCTCCTCTTTGGTCCGTCTCGCCCTCGTGTTCGCCTACACTTTGACCAGGTGGCTGGTCTGGAGGCGGCTTGAGGGGAACAACCCCACGGCCGCGCGAGACTTTGTTGGCGAAATGCGGTTGCAAAATGTCGACAATAAGATGAGGTGGAGGGATGAGTTTTCGGCTTCGCCTTTTGCTACTGACGAGCTTTCGCTTGCGAGGCGGAGGTTCACCAACCGTGCCTTGGATGAGAGCAGCAGCCCGAAAACGGCCGCGAAGAAGGAACAAAAAAGGACAACGACAGCCAAGAGGAAGAAGAATTCCTCATCGGCACTTTTACAACCCTCAGCTCTTCCTCCTCGCAACCTAGTCCCGCCACTTCTTCTCCACGCACTTCCACCGTTCTCCTGTGGCTTTTGACCACCGCTCTGTCGCTGGTTACTGCGCCGCTGGTTGAGCCGAGGTACTTTATCTTGCCGTGGGTGTTCTATCGGTTGTTGGTGCCTGCTATGCCGGTGCCTTCTTCTGTTCTCTCTTTCGGTTCATCTACTGCCTCGTCGTCTTCTTCTTCCACCCCTACTAATAGCGGCAACGGCAGCGATGACGGTAATGAGAAGGATACTACTGCATCCTCTGTAGCGCAACAGAACGGTACCGACAAGGGTCTCCTCTGGAATATCCTCCACAGAACCGACTTAACCCTAGCCCTGGAGACAGTCTGGTTCCTAGCCATCAACCTCGGAACCATGTACATGTTTTTGTTTAAGCCGTTTTACTGGAAGACGCCCGGTGGGGAGATGTTGGATGGGGGGAGGGTACAAAGGTTTATGTGGTGATTTCCTTTTTCTTCACTCCGTTTTTTGATGTTCATTCTACCTACTTGTATGTATGCAATACTATACAATGGATGCTCACGATGTATCTACCTACCCTCATCGATTAGGTCTTTCTTGATGAAGTAGGTCACAGATGATGCGCAACGTGTGTTTGATGTATACCCCGAAAAAGAATTTGTTTGTCGATGGTTTCTGCCACCAAGCTTAAAATTTTTAATCCAGCACACCTCCATGCTTTGGTTTATCGTTGGTTCCTATCAACAAGCTCAGCAGCCCATCCTCCTTTAATTCATCGTTGACTCCTACCAACAAGCATAACAAGTTTATTCTAACGTCAATCACGGTTGGACACCGCGCCGGAAGCTTATTTCAACATTATCATCATCAAGCCCAATTCATCCCTTGCCGCCGCCACTGTATGCGCCGTACCGGATCCCACTAACTGCTAGCGGTAAGATGTTGGATGGCGAGAGGTTGCAGACAGAGGTTTATGTGGTGATCACCACCTACATCTACTTCACCTGATCCTACTTTATCTTCTTGGTATACAAACAAGACTATGTGCTTATGGTGTACCCATCTATCTATCTATCTGGCTTCAGTAAATAACCTGCATCACAATGAAATGCAATGACAGATAAAGTGCAACAAACATGCAATCAATGCAGCTAGCTAGCTGTTGTTATTTCGAAGATGGAAAAAGATGGCCAAGGAAAAAAGAAAAAGAAAAAAAAAAACCAAGAAAAAAAAGGAAGAAAAAATAGGTGTGGCCCGTATCGGATTCGAACCGATATCTTCCTCTGAGACGCGTACGCAGACGTGAAATCATTCCACACCAGGTATGTTATCCATTACACCAACGCGCCACGGAAAAGGTGATCAGTAAACGGTGCTTTTATACCTCAGCCGAGTGAACGTTGGGATGACAGAAGTGTGGCGGGCAGGAGGCAGGAGACAAGAAGGAAGGAGCGGCAGGAACGGGAGGCGGCACGCCGCTTTTGGGCCATGGTCTTTCTGCTATCCTTCCATTCCATATCATTGCATCCCATACACAGTATCATTGTCGGTGTCTTTTCTCTCTCTCTCTCTTTCTCTCTCTTTCTCTCTCTTTCTCTTTCTCTCTCTCACCCACTCTCATCCCAATTCTCAATTCCTCTTGCTGCGCTTAGATGGGTACACATCTATGTGTTGTTCACTCGTGTCTCCTAGATCTCCCGCAATCAACGTGATGTCTGAGCAAACGCCCTCTGTAAAATGATTCCGGTGAGACTAGATCCTGCTTTACGGTCAAGACAACTTTTCCCCTGCATAAATGATCATTATCCAATTCATTTATACACTACAGACAGAAAGCATTTTTATAGCTGATAGTGTAGTATAGTGCAATGTAAACTGATCGCCGTCACTGTAATGTGATATTTGTAGCGTCCTCCGTTCCTAAGTATCATAATTTTTTCCTTTCCCTAATCACCTAACGCCAACTTTAAATATCTGATCAAAACAATAAACCTTTGACGCCCCCTTTTGACAACATTCTGTTGATACGTCCTGACCACCCTGCAGTGTGCTGTTTCGACGAGGTCTATCCCATATGTCCATGCTGTATCCGTGTCGCTATGTGTTTGTGTGTGTACATATTGTCGTATCTTGTCGTTGCTTTTTTTCCCTGTCGCAAAAAATGTTCTGATATGGCGCTATCCAAGAAAGGCAATGGAGGCTTTTCCTGGCGCGGGCTAGACGTCATCATCCTCATCCTTTCTCTTCTCCTTAAAGACTCAATCGATCCAAACTCAACCTATCCCCACTCTTAATCCTCCTTACTACCCCCAATTTGAAGAACTTCTCCTCGCCTGTTGCTGTCCTCCCGCCAATATATAGTTTTTCTGCACCGGACACTTCGCGGAAGCCCTCGCTGCTGCTGTCGCTTCCTCTCCTCCTACTGTTGTGATGGTGGTGCCGATGATGTCGGCTGCCTTCTGGAATGGGAATGCCCGAGTGATGGGAGCGCGGTGATAGAGGAAGTTGCCCCATGACACCACCTTCAGACGATGATGCTTGATTGCTCGTGGATGTAGTGATTGTGCGCGGCGTCGCTACAGTGCCAGGGGAGTTCGTGGAGTTCGCTTGGGCAGTCGCGCCGCCTGGCGCTGTCGCTGTGGCATTCTTGTTGGGCTGTTGACCATTGTAGAGCGAAGAAGGTGGTTGTTGGCGGAAGGCGGCGAAGAAGGTAGACAGGAAAAAGGGACGTTGGGACGGCATGGTGGATGGCATTCCAATTCGGGACCAGAGCGGCGCTGGTACGACTCCTGAATGTTGTGTCTAAACGGCTGGATATGAGGGTTTGGAGGTGAGGGATATGTTGTGTCCCAAGAATATGGCGGTTGGGGTTTGTGTGGGACGGGAACCCAGAAATGTTTGTGGGAAGCGAGGCGGCTGCTATCGGAAACGATTGCTGGACGGGCGAACCAGAGGCCCCGAGATGCGGCGGGATGTGTTGGTCTGCCAGAAAACGGCGTCGAGTTGTCGATGCAGGATGTCCTGCACGTTGCAAGCCCTTTCGGGTTCTTGGACCTTGCTCGTATATCCTTCTCTTGACCTGCCCTTTTACGCAATTCTTGACGTCGGTCGTAGTGTCCGAGCCCTTGTCCTTGGAGCCCAGGTTGCGCCGTGCGGTGGGCTTGGCTTAGATGGAACGATCCCCGCAAAGTTGCCCTTTTGAGCGGCTTGGGAATTGGAGTTAGGGCGATAAAAATTTTGGGTTGTCGCTTTCGTGGTTGTAATGGTGGTCGAGGAACTTGGAAATATCGATGATGATGATGATGATGGCTGCAGTGGGTGGTGGACAGCAAGGTTCTCGCGATGCTAGCCTCTTATGTATTTAAGGGCGACTAGCGAATTTCGGTTCGATGGATGATGTTCAATCGCTTGACGCGCTGGTGTCAAAGGGCTGATTCGCTGTGATTGAATCTCGAACGGCGCAAGGGGTGAATTAGATATTAAAGTGTAGAAAGCTGAGTATCGCAGGCAAACGGAGCGCAGAGCTGAGAAGGAGTTTGAGGTATGACGAAGGCCGGGTTGAGAACCGAAAGCGACAACCCTCTAAGGGCAGGAGGAGTAAATGCACGAATGATGGTCGAGAGCGATCGCAAAGGATCGGAACTTTGAATGGGCGACGGACGGAAGGATCTTTTTCTTTTGGCGGCAAGACAAGCGACAACAAGCGAATGGCTCCTGCCGTCCAAAGCCGGCCGACCGACTTTCTGACTGTCTCAACCTCTTTCCTGCCCGCTCTCGTGGTTGAATGTGATGTTCCTCGGCTGGATGCCCTCGAGTGTAAGTGTTAGCGTTTACCCCTATTCCTCTCCATTCATCGACGTTACACTAACAGGTATACGACTGCTGTTCAGATGCTATCCAACAGGGTTCGCAACTGACAGTAAGAGGGAAATCCCGGAATGGACTCAGTAATTATGGGCCGCTGATTGGTCAGATTGCTGCATGACCAGAAATAGCGATGGTCATTGGTTGCGCTTGACCCGCAACGGTCCATCTGCATCCTGGGATTTATGCGGGGGAATCTGAAATCCTGGAGTTGAATACGCGGACACATCATTTTGTTTCCTTTGCAACAACTCAACATCGAGATCGACAATGCCCAGACAGCCCAGTTGAGCGTCACGTACAATTGCGGTACAGCTGACCGGTACTTGACATACAATGGCCCAAAATATTCCTGTTCTGGAAGCAACATCCTTTGGGACCAACAACATTCGGCAACATGGTGATGCCTTCACTTTGCTTGATTGCGGCTACTTGACTATCGACAGTCCAATCACCTCGGAGTCGGACACAATATTCCAAAATGGTCATCAGATACAACAATTCCAAACAGTACAACCGCTTGTGCTCGCCCATACCAAGCCTTTTTGCTAGACCTTACTTACACGAACCATGTACGATCTGGCGGTTGGTTCAGACTTAAGAGGCCAAGGCACTTCTTTCGGCGGCGGTGCTACATCAAAGATGGCTTTGGTCAGCTACCATGACTCTCTCTGTCACAGACCAAGGGAAACTTACATGGGAATCACGTAACCGTGGCGTGGGTTGGCCGGGAGCTTGTAGCTCTGCGTCCTGGACCATTGACCGCCGGCAATGTTGTATGTCTCGAACGGCATATATCCAGATCCCTTGGTGTAGTTGTCGATCCAGAGATGCCACTGTTTCAAATAATAACACGTCAGCACGGCCAACGGAATATTCAACATGTCAACAGACAGGTATAGCTGCGGACACGCACCTTGTTGCGGTCCTTGTTGTCCCTGAAGATCAACGGTCCCTCGCCAGCTGGCAACGAGCCCTGTCCAATGTTCTCCGAGACCTTCTGCCATCCTCCCGACAGTCCATTGTACGCCACGTTCTGCTGGATCAGCTCGTTCGGTCCGTTCTTGCTGATCATATAGAACTGTCCGTTGTCGCCGGCAATGATGGTGTTATCCATGCCGTACCCAGTAATGTACTGTTCAGGGTTGGTGAAGGTCACAAAGTCATTGGTATAGCAGCGGAGGATCTTCCACCCGGCCGTGATGCCGTTGGCGGTAGAGACGACGTTTGAGGTCCAGTACACCATAAAGGCATTACGGGCGGGATCCCAGATGGCGTCAGGAGCCCAGGTCATGCCCGCATTGTCGGGAGACACCTTGGCGAGACGGGGGCCAGACCAGTTGCGGAGGTTGGTGGACTCCCAGACGACGATGGACTTGGAGCCCTTGGTTGTCATGTCGGTGTTGGACCAGCCTCCTGGAAGACCGTTGACTTTGAGGTCCTAGTGGAGTGCAGCAGAGAGTCAGTGGTTGTTGTTTCGTTCAGGCTGGGGAGAGACATACGGTGGCGATGATCCAGAACTTGCTCCTATCCGGCGCAACGATCAGTGAAGGGTCACGAATACCCTTGGTACCGATGTTGCTGGTCAGATAAGGCTGACCGTTCTTGAGTGTCGTCCATTGGTTGGGGTCATTGTTGTTGCTGACAGCCATATAGACCTGTTCGCCGTTGGAGAGGCCTTCGCCCGTGAACTGGGCGGTCGTCAGTTTGCATTCCCTAGGTCACGGAGCACTGCAGAGCAAGGCTGACTCACATAAACATAGGCGTAGTCCGTGAAGCTGTTTTGCCTGGCGGAAATCTCGCTGGCTGGCTCCGAAACTGGGGCAGCCCAGATGGGCGACAGCAGGAAGGCCCAAGAGAAGTATGAGGAGGCTCTCATCGTGAGTGTTTGGTGTTAGCCGAGTCCAGTTTGATTGAGAACTAGCTGATTCCTTGACACCAGACACCGATCATCACCGCCATCTTTATATCAACGAGTTCCGGCGACCTCTCCCACAAAACCTCATTCATCACGTCGAAGCAACAACTGCCGAACTTTGGGTTGTTGATCATGAGGTAAACATCACAACCGTGTGCACTGGTTCAAACCTACGCGCACGAATGACAACCAGGGGTTGTTTGAGGCTTCTCGCGATGCCTTGCTTCCTCCCTGTTCCAGGTGCCAAGGACAGCCACTCCCTCGGAGGGTCTACCAAGAAATTGCCTATTTGGGACACGAGACGTTACCATACTACCTTGCTAAAGGAGTATTTCCCCGGATTTCCCGTTGAACTCTCCTCACATGCTCGAAGCAGGTTAATGGTGGAAGATTTCTTAACTTTTGACCTATTCTCAAGGATAGTGATTCGCGCGCTTCCGCTCTTCGGAGCTTTTGTTTGACGCAGTCGAGGATTTAAAGTTTCTGGTACCGCGCCCTTCAACTACCGGTAAGGTTTGAAACACCTGCCAAGAAAAGCTTACCCGCTCCTCAATCGGTAACGGATCTCAACAGGGATATCGGGCCAGCTTCACGCGGTGTAGGTCTAGACCCCGGTGCATTGCTTTCAAAAGAGTCAAAAACCTGCGGTCGCTAGCTCCAAGAACCATGGCCAAAAGCATTAACGATGCCTCGGGCAGCAATGTCCTCCACACATGTGATGGTACGGAGGCCGAGGGTACCACAGGCAGGGTTGGAATGAACATATGAGGATACTATTATCGAGTGATGAAGGACGACCCTTCTTCAGAGAGTCTATCGACGGAGACTGTTGTTCCATCAATTGGAAGGAGGCTGCAACTTTCTTCTATCCACTTCTCTCATACACCAAAACAGGAAGAACTGTTCTCCAACCTTTGCTTTGTGTCAGCCACATTGGCTTCATCAACAGCGCGAGCGGGCATTGTTTTTGAAGTCGAGGATGTCCTCACACGGCTTAGATTGGGGCTCAGAACTTCCACTATGAGATCCGGGACAAAGACCCGTTAAAAGCCTCTAAGAATACTTCACTTGAAGGTTCTTTCCCAAGGCTTTCTTTGTCGGCGGGTCATCACAGTTGAAAGAAACAGGACACTAATGGAGAAAGGAGCACGCCCGTGGAACTGAACAATGACTTTGATGAAAGAGCAGGCCTAGTCAAAGTGACAGGAGCAGACGAGTATCAAGTGATACAGTCAGGATCTCAACAATGATCATTGTCCATCGAGGCATTCTTGATGGGCACTTTAGCTTCTCTTGTCGATGAATCCTTTGGATGATAACGACCCATCTCCTCACTTTTGTGGTTTTCCTCAGAAAGTTTACTGTACTACCGTATGATCCTAGGGTAACGAATTGACCCATGAATTCTCTTGTAATTATCAATATCACATAACTTACACCACACAATGGATGCGTTATCACACCCTGGTCGGCTTCAGGTGGTTACTCGAGGAGCCAAGCGAAAAGCAAGCGAATTGCTAGAAAGCATTACCACCATTGCCGAACAACCAACCCGGAAGGCGAAACTACCCTATCTGCCACGGTCCTATCGACCAAGAGTGGGCACCACCAACACCACCACATCCTCCTCCAGTCCGACCTCAACCTCCCCAACGACCAAACAATCCTTCAACCACAATAGTACGTCCCCGATCTCTCCTCGAATTCCTCGTAACCCTCCAACACCCATAACCACCCAACCCCACCACATCCTCCAATCCCACCCCTCTCACACCCGCAAACTCACCCTCCGTACCCGCGGCCTCATCCCACTCCCATTCTCTCCCACACTCAAAGATACGCGTCTTTCCCCAACTTCCCACGCCCTCCTCCTCAAGAAGGCTTCGCACCTCTCACAATTTGGGCCCATCATCCCTCCTCGCGCTTTTCGACGACATAAAGCTACTACGGTAGACGCCACGCTGGCGTTTGCGCAATCGGAAGCTGGTACGGCGTTTTGTATCAGGGAGGATGGATTGCTGTTGACGGCGGCGCATTGTGTGGCGGAGACGACGGGGGTGGAGGCGGTGGGGAGGGTGGTTTGGTTGGTTATGCCGGTGTCAGAAGAGGAAGAGGGTGATGGGGATGGAGGTGATCGGAAGGATGGGCAGGGGGGTTCGGGAGTAATAAAAAAGGGTGGACGTGGACAGTTGGGGAGATCAAGATCAAAGTCAAGGATCATAGGTGCCAGGTGTATAGCGTGGGATCTGGGAAGGGATCTGGCGCTTTTGAAAGTTACGCACGCTCAGCTCCAGCCAGAGGAGGGTGGTAAGATACCTTCTTCTTCCAGGAAAGGGCAAGGTATAGGGAACTTCCCCTGCGTCAAACTACCCCCACCCGGATCAGGTAGAAAAGAGCCCCCCCTCGACATTCCCCTTGTAGCAATCGGCCACCCGGCCGACGAGCATCCGGACGATCCGCCGGGCGTCAAGGTGTACGGGTCTGAACACCGCCGGGTCTTGCAGCTGTCTTCGGGACGATACCTCGGGATTGCGCCAGATAAAGTCAGCAACCCGCAGGATAACTACGATACGGGCGCAATGCAGCATGATTGCTGGACGTGGTGGGGGTATAGCGGCGGACCGGTCTTTGAGCGGGATTCGGGAGTGTTGGTGGGCGTTCATGTGGATTGGAACCCGGAGGAGCCGTTGGTGAAGAGGGCGGTGCCGTGGGTGGCTGTGGAGGGGTTTTTGGAGGAGAATGGGTTTTGGAGTTGATGGGCAGAATAGGATGTATAAATCAGAATACGTAAAGCAAGTCACATAGTAAAGTTCACTTCACGAAAGGAGGAATGGACCGAGATGTGTTTTTTTGACAAAATGTCAAAGCATTCAATTGTCAAAAAAAATTTAAAAAAAGAGATGGGGTAATCGGCTAAGTAGATAGCAAGATTACCTGCGCCTTCTCACGCCTGCCAGCCGAAACAGATCCCGAATTCCAATCCCAGTGTCATCCATCCATACTATTGTTACAGCTCCCCCGTCATCCACGGAAAGAGGGGGTCATTAAGTCGTATCCCCATTGCGCCAAAATCATATCAGATAAGATCAGATCAGATGATGGTAAGTCGCAGAAATAGGTCGTTTACTCATCGTCAGCACCAGTGCCGCCAGAAGCCTTGCCGCCCTTGCGACCGGCCTCGCGGGCCTTCTCGGAGCCGGGCTCGAAGCTGCCGCTGGAGGCCTTGCCGCCCATGGAAGCGATCTCGCGCTGTTGTTTATTAGTCAGTCAAAGCTCACTTATCAGTAAGTAGGTGATCACTCGGGACTATTGTCAACATACCTGCTTATCGGGGTCCATGGAAGCGAAGCCACCGCTGTGGCTGGCCTGACCACCCTTGGAGGCAATGGCCTGAACTTCCTCGTGGGGACGGTTGGCGAAGTTGCCGGGGTTGTTGCTCGCGTTGCCGGAGCCGTGGCTGGCTTGGCCGCCCTTGGAGGCGATGGCCTGGACCTCTTCGGTGGGGCTGGAGAAATGAAGCATGTTAGTAAAAGCGTGTTGAGAGTGATGTTGAGCAGATGAATTGGATGATGGAGGACATACCGGTTAGCGAAGTTGCCGGGGTTGTCGTTACCAGTGCCAGCCATTTTGGAGATATTTGTGGAGGGTTTGTTTGTTGACTATGATTGTGATAGTTGTGAGTGGGAGTTTTCGAATTAGTTTGTGCTGTACTCTGTTCATGAGTTGCTTGATGGAGGAGAAGAAGTTATTGCTCGGTTGAGAGGAGGAGGAGAGGGTTTTTATATAGAAGGAAAAGCTACTCTGACCTGAATTGTGTGATGTCAGACGGTTAGATGAGGCTCCATACATCTCCTATCCAGTACGGCGTGAGTGTTTGCTTTCATCTGATCCGCCCCTTTGCCTTCCCCCCATTTTGGAATATGGTGATGTCAACGATGTCAACATGATGCCAAACTGCAGAAATCAGATTCGGATGACAATTGAGTCGATCACAGACGGCAAATGGCAGCAGCTTTCAGGTCAATGACTGTCTTTGAAACGCCCTGATCTCAACAGATTTGGACAGGCAGCAATTCTTCCCGTTTCATCGATCCCATTCCGTGCGGCATCGAGGCAGGAGCTCTCTGCGGAAATTGGAGATGTCAACAATCCAGAGCCGATTTGGAGGTGCCAAGCCTTTCTGCGTTCGGCAGCTTCCTGGCGCCAGCGGGGTCAAGGCAGAAGCACTCTTTGTGAGTGGTCAGGATACCCTTGCAGCCCTGCACTAGTCTACGCGTCATCGCAATGGATCGGCGCGGGGAATAAGCTCCCCCACATCAGCCCCACAGCGGCATCGCTGTGCCTGTCAGTGTCAGCCCCATATCGTCCCAGCTAAAGAAACTCCAAAATATCAGCTCGTCATGACTTCTTTGTTTTGTTTGCAGTCTTTGATTTGATTCGTAACAGAATGAGCAAGACGCACTTCCAAGTTCACGGCGATCTGCATTACTCTGTTTGTTCAGCATGTTTGCTTTCTCGGGGTGCCTCCCTTTCCGCCCTGCCACCTCGTAATGGGTCGATCTGACTTCTGATGTCAGTATATGTAGACACCAGAGACACGTCGACGCGCGGAACCAAGGAAGGCAACACTGCGGGGCTTGATATTGTGAGGCTCACTGAAACTCTCCGTGATGACAAAGGTTTACGGTTCAAACCATCTTTCAGGCTTAATGCAGTTTTCGTTCACCAGATACCAGGCAGTTAGGCTACAACTGCGGTCGAGGAATTGCGCCGAAACGAAGAGCTGAGAAACCTTCCATGGCCACAATATGTGACGATTGATACAATCAACGAAGTGCTCAAGATTCGATGGGTTTCCATTTTTGTTAAGATCGGTCACCAAGAAATCCTGAGTGGGAATGCAGATCAGATCGATGGTTGAGCCGTCAAGGTCTCCGGATCGAATCATTCCTTCCTTCGCATATCAGTGACCGGGGAGTCTGGATCGATAACTCATTTCTTTGTTCTCTTAAGAAGGAGCAAAAGGCTTCGGCGGAAATTGGGCCCCACAACAGACAAGATGTCAGACTACTCGTGTGTCTTTGGAGAGGAAAGAACTATCGGCCTTCGTTAGTCACTCAAAGCCAGTAGACGTCCCGCTCTCCTTAGATCTCTCAACTACCTCATCAGCGACAACAAAGCAATTCAAAGGTTACAATCTAACGTTGGTTAGTTTGTTAGCTCGGCATTTCTAACTCAGAGGACAAACCCCATCATAAACTGTCCCAAGCCTCACGAGAACAAGATGAATGACTGTGTACAAATTGAAAGGGTATAAACAAGACTCAACATGGCAGACACAAGGTAAGGTCAGGCATCAAAACACCTAGGAAGGTTGACCAGAGGTTTCAAGCTAACAAACAAACCAGTATTAGACTATACAAATCTGCCGACCACCTCACAAGCGACAATAAGGCAAATCAGATCTTGGTCTATCGAGAAGCACAGTCCAACGTGTTCAGCTATCCAAAACAACAACAATCATTATTCCAAATGGAAACCGTCCGATCACGTCCTGCACCAACAACTTGCAATTTCCAAAATCCTGAGCCCACGGCAAACTCCGTCATTCGAACCTCACGGAATCACAGTCCCTCCGACTTTAGACCCTGAACTTGGTACCCTTCTTACCCTTGGTCTTCTTCTCGGCCGCCGGCTTTGCGGGAGAAATGCCGGCCGCGACCTCGGCGTGGTGCTGAAGTTCCTTGACCAGGGCGTCGTGCTTCTTCTGCTTCTCGTCCGGCAACACTTCTGCCTTCACGGCCACGACTCCCTCGACCTCCTCCGGCGCATCAGCAGCTCTGAACCCGGGGCAGTTGCCACTGTCCTTTGCAGCAGGCCCCATGCAAACCGTAGTACTGTTTACATTCTGGTCAGAACCTGGTTATCAAGCACACGGGGTATTGTTCAAAAGGACTTACTCCTTGATCCAGTAACGATCGCACGTCTGTCCGGGCTGCTTACGCCACAGGCTGTTCAACTGTCCAACCACCTTGTTGACCTGATCGACCATGCAGCTGACATCGTGGCTGGTATAGATGGACTGCACCGTAGCATGGTATCCAGCCATGACTCCCACCTGGGCATATGACTCGAGCCAGGTTTGCTTAGCGTAGTTGTCTGCGACGCAACTTCCCTTGAGAACGGTATCCTTCCAGTTCTGCGAAAGGGAGTACCAATCGTTGAGCGATGA